AGGATTTAAAACCCACATTACTCCCACCACTCTGCAGATTTTATTCTATTTTTTTCCCAATAGATTTTATTCTGTCCCAGTTTGTCTACTTGCATTAGATTTGAGCGCACAGACAGCTATCCCCAAAACATCAGGATATAGCACAGTAATCATCTTTAATTTCTTATTATCTTAATCTGGAGCCCTGTATGACTTATACTGTTTTATCATGCCTGATCTTAGTTAAATCTGGTTTGTTTGATTGCAGTTTGGTCTGCAATCGACAGATTTTATTCAAAAGTGATATGATTGTTCGTATCAAGTCTGAGAGTACAGGCAACTACACTGAAAATGACAAGCTCTACGATACACACTCTGGTTTGTGCTAACTGCCTGATTTTGAAGTTCTATACTGTATACAAAGTTGTGTTTTTATTAATGCTATTATGTACTGATATATTTAATTATACTGTGTCTGATGATATAGCCAATTCTATTGAAGATAATAAGAGACAACACAGGAACCATGGTAGAACTCTTTGTACAATGGTCTTATATGTTTTTTTTTTTCGTTTCATGTGTTTATAGGAGTATGTTTTGTTTTGTCTTGCTTTGTTTTGTTTCTCCCTCTAATATAGAAAGTATGGAAATATATGTTAAGACTCATGCATGTGTAGAATCTATAAACAGTTTGTGAGAACTGATCTTATGACACATGATGAAATGAACAGATACTTTGAAGAAATAGAGACACTAAAATATCCAGTGCTGGTCCTGGAGTGTCATAATGTGAAACCCAGCAATAGTATTATTCTTTGTTCAGAGTGATATTAGACTGCTTGGGTTTGTTCAATCTCAACATAATTGAAGATATGGATAACTGCATGTATGTTTAAATGTATAGGATAGATAACCATATTTCCAAGTTTTTGTTGGATAGTTGAATAGACATGGTCGCAATCTCTGTTTGAATCCCCATTTTATATGCCCCACTTTAGTATCTTGAATAACTATTTGTAAGAAGACAAATAACTTGAATAACTATTTGTAAGAAGACAATCTGTAATCATCAACTAGTGATTTCTTACTGTTTACTTTTTTCTTTGAAATTATGTATTATTTCTACCCACTTTCTGTTTTGTTTAGTCTTTCTTTTTTTTTTTTTTTTTTTTGTCTTTTTCCTTTTTATCGGTACTGGGGATTGAACTCATGACTTAGTCTTTCTTTAAATTAAATTAAAAAAAAAAAAGACTATATTACCCAGTGCTGATCCCGGAGTGTCACGATGTGAAATCCAGCAGTATTCTTTGTTTAGAGTGATTTTAACCTGCTTTAGTTTGTTTAATCTAAACATAAATGAAGATATGGGTAATTGCGCGTATGTTTAAATGTATAGGATTGACAACCATGTTACTAAGTTTTTGTTGGACAGTTGAACAGAACTGTTTGCAGTCTCGCTGTTTGAATTCCCACTTTATATGTTCCACTTTTGTATCTTGAAAAACTATTTGTAAAACGACAATAATGTAAACATCAACTAGTGATTTCTTACTGTTTTTTTCTCTGACGTATGTATTATTTCTACCTATTTTCTGTTTTGTTTAGTCTTTATTTATATAATAATTAATAAAAGTAAAAAAAAGGGATGCCTAAAACGAGAAAGCAAAGAAAAAAAATCCTGGTGACTGTAGTTAATAACAGTGTATCAAATCCTTAAGAGTTTGTTTTCTTGCCGCAAAAAAGTAAGGCACTAAGTATGTTCTGGTGTGATTTAGCAATTGCATAATGTATCCTTGTTTTAAAAATGTGTTGTGTATGACAAATAGTGTTTCTTTAAAAAATAATATATTGTGAGTTTTTTAACCAAAATACTTTCTTCGAATAATTTTAAACACTAAAATTTTATGCATTGTATACATCTGTTATATCTTTCATTTGCACAGAATAGTTTGGTTGTTCAGTGTGTTCATCCCTTAAGCTTCTGTAGATATTGCTAACTATGAGTTATTTTTGGAAAATATTATTAATTCATACCAGCCAGACTCTTTTATATGAAGACAGATACGGTCTTTTATTTCTAAATATACAAAATAAATTTACTAAAATCCTAGATAGCTGTAATGATAGTAGACAGAAATGTACATTCTTCAAGTGTAAAAAGTTAAGATCAGTGTCAGTATCGTGTTTATTAGTCCTCCTCCAAAGAATTAATTTGAAATTTAACTTTTTAAGGCAGAGATGTTGCTTCAAAAGTCAAAATTAAATTATTTCTCTGAGTCTATAGAATTTTAGAATTTTTACAGTACAGTGGTTTGTTGAAAGGACTTAGAGATCTTAATGACCTAGAATAGCAAAAGCAGTCTTGGGTAACAAGAGCAAAGCAAGAGCCATCAGTCTTGGATTTGAAGTTCTATTACACAGCTATAAAAAAAGAGTATGGTACTGGCACAGAAACAGACAACATGGATCAGTGGAACAGAATAAAGGAAGCAGAAGCAACCTGAGCACATTCAGCTATTTGATCTTTGACCAAGGCCCAAAAAACATGCACTGGAGGTGAGACAGCCTCTTTAGTAAAAGGCACTGGGAAACTGGCCGTCCACAGGCAGAAGGCCGGACTACTAAAATAACAATTAGAGATCTAAATGCTAAAACAAATGCTTAATCTGCTGGAAGATAAATAGGTACAGCTCTTGAAGGCATAGTTGTAAGCTAAGACTTTCTGACAGAATCTTGATAATGCAGAAAATATGGAATCAACAAAGGGAATCATCAAATTTAAAAGGTTTTGTATGGCAAGAAAATCAGGAGTGAAGATACAAACCACAGAATGGGGAAAACATTTGACACCTCTTAAAGGATAATAGACTATATAAAGAACTCAGAAGATGAAAAATAAAAAGATACCTCAGAATAAAAGACTCAAGAAAATGGGCAAGTGTACCATCACTATGTAAATCAGTGTGGAGATTCCTCAGAATTAGGATTGGTAGTCCCATTCAACCCAGTTATTCCCCTTCTGGATATTTTCCAAGAATTCAAAATGTTGTACCACAGTTTTGTGTTTACACCCATGTTTATATTAGCACAATTTTTAATAGCTAAATCTTGGAAACAACCCAAATGCCTATCAACCATGGAATGAATATAAAAAGGATGTATTTTTATAAAAGGAGTGCAACTCAAATATAAGGAAGGATGCACTGGAGACTTTTATAGGGAAATGATGCAACTTGAGACCGTACTCATAAGTGAAATAAATCAGACTTGCGTGTATAAACATCATATTGTCTCCTTAGTGTAAAAAACTGAAAGAGTAAATAAGATCTGGACCAAAAAGTCTGAAACATATTGTTAAAGTGAAAGAGGAAGAAACTACTCAAAAAGAAAGAATAACTGGGATAAGGGAAAAGAGAAAAATAGAAAGAGAAAGGATTATTTATATATATATATAACTTATATATATATACATACACATTTATATACATATATGTGTATGATAATTATCCTACTAATTTCTATTAGTTCATCAAAAAGAACAGTTTGTGCTGTCATTGTTTAATCATTTTTCATGCCCGTGTCTTGTAATCTGAGCAACTTCTTTGAAGATAACAATACACAGTGTGTTAACCATTGTTAAACTCGTAAACAAAACTTGAACATGTGTGTTCATAGCAGCACTATTCAGTTATTGTCATGACTAAAGTGTTTTCTTTTGAGCTGGATTTTTTTTTCTAGTCTACCTCTTTTTTTTTTTTTTTTTTAAATGGATAACAGTTTTTAAGTTGTTTCCAAAAGGGGGGGGGCAAGTAAATCAAATGGACACTCAGAGAAGTACAAATGGCCAATAAATACATGAAGAAATATTCAAACGGGGCGTGTTAACATTTGCCTGTAGTCTGAGCACCGGGAGGCTGAGTTAGGAGAATTGCCTCAAGTTTGAAGCCAGCCCAGGCGAAGCAGGAAGTTCAAGGCTGGACTGCAATGAATAGTGAGACTCTGTCTCCGGAAAATAACAAACAAAAAAATTTCTGCAACACTGGCTACTAGAGAAACGTAAATAAGAACACTTGAAAATCTGTCTCATCCCAGAAACAGTGATTTGTCAAGAAACAAATGCAGAAGCCCAGCCTGGTGGCGCATACCTGTAATACCAGCCCTCCGAGGCTGAGGCAGGAGGATTCCTGTGAGTTCGAGTTCACTCAACAAAGTGAGTTCAAGGGCCAGCTTGAAATGTACAATGAAACCTTGTCTCAAAAAAAAAAAAAAAAAAAAAAAGAAAAAGAAATGCTGGTAAGCCTTGGGAAAAGACATCCTTTCTACATTGTTGGTAGGATTATGTTGCTAGGCAGCCACTATGGAGTATAGAGATTCCTGAAAAAATTAAAGATAGAAATTCCGTTTGATTTAGCTATTCCCCTTCTAGGTATCATTCCTTAAGAATTAGAGATGCCATACCACAGCAATATATGCACACCCATGTTTATAACAGCACAACCCATAATAGCTAAATCTTCTAAGCAGCCTGTCTATCAGCAGGTAGAAGGAAAAAGACAAGGTGGTATTTACCTCAGTGAAGTACTACTCTTCCATAAAGAATGGGCATGAGTCATTTGTAAGACAATGGATGTACCTCAAGACCACAATGTTAAGTGAAATAAATCAGCCACATAAACTTACATATTGCATGGTTTCTCTTATAAGAGAAGCCCACATTATAAATGTAAGACAGATAATAGGAAGTAGGGAGATAAAAGATCTTTCTCAAATGGAAAGAGATAGAGGAAGGGAAGGGGAAGAGAAAGAAATGGTCTGTTAGGTACATGGGCCGGCTCTTCACAAGTGGTATAGTCATTGTGTACTGTTGATCTACACAAGAGACAAACTCCAGCTGCCCTAAGTTCCAGCTTATAAAGACATGCTGAAGACTAGGAAGCTCTAGCTCTTTTGCTTGCAATAGTACTTTGTCTTTTATATTTTATCTGTATAACTTAACCTTAGTCTTTTTTTTCTTGTGCTAGGTGGTGTTACTATATTTGTGGCCTTATATGATTATGAAGCTAGAACTACAGAAGACCTTTCATTTAAGAAGGGCGAGAGATTTCAAATCATTAACAATACGTAAGTGTGGTATTTTATGAGAGGAAGACAGAAACTTTTTCTTTACTTTGAAACCACTGAGCTAACTGCTGTCGTGAAGAGGAGAGTGGTGGGGCTTGAGTCTCTATCCCCGGGTTGGGTGGTGTCTTTCACTTCCTGAGATACCTAGTGCAAGACCACTGCTGCAGGCAGAACTTCCCACTTGTACAAATTGTGCTGCCATGGTTTGACCGTGAAGAGTGGAGACTGAAGAATGAAGAGTTCTTAGAGAGGGTACATGCAAAATCCAATGAAGAGAATTCGGTATTCTTGTGTGAGTGCCAAGTGATTTAAAGATTCTTTTACCAGCTGGGCATACTGGTGCACATCTGTAGTGTCAGCATTCACGGAGGCCGAGGCAGGATTGTAAGTTTAGCCCAAGCTGGCAACTTGGAAACCATAACTCAAAATTAGAAGAAAAAGGACCTGGGAGTATAGCTAAGTGCCAGATACCCTGGCTTCAATCCCCAAGACCATAAATAAACATTTCCTTTCATCTAAAAAGAGAGAGAGAAAGTTGGTTAAGAATCCATTGCATTCCCATACTGACCACATTTAGTTGCCTTATGTGACCCTTATTGGCCCACCATAGAAAATACGTCGTGGAAGAAACATCCCATAATTTCATTAGCAAGCCTCACAGCCACTTACAACTTTCAGGCGCCTTGCTTCCAGGCCTGTTTGCCTCTGTCTTGTTCCTTCTGTTACTATTAGCACCCCTAGATGTAGAATAGGGTTGAGTCTCTCTGCTCTGGAGCCTTTCAGTAACTACTAGTTGCCATAAGGTAAAAGAAGGACAACAGTAATAATCATAAAGATTGAGAATTTGCCGCGTGCTTCTTACTGTGCCACCCAGCCATACACTCTTGCAGTTTTCTCAGTCCACTGGAGTTTTTCGCCCTCTCTGCACCTTCATATCCATTATTTTCTTTTTTTCTGTTGTCCTATCTCCCTTTCTTTTTTTTTTTTTTTTTTTTTGTGCTAGGGATCAAACCCAGGGCCTCATGAATGCTAGGCAAGTGCTCAACCCCCGAGCACTTCCCAGCCGTCTTTTCCTTATTTTGTCTTGCATCCCTGCTGTCCTCAGAATGCTGTGCAGTGCACTTCCTTGGTGATTATTTCCTTATATCCCTCCCTTGCCTGGCTTAGTCCCGTGCCCTGCTACAGTGTTTCTCTAGGTTTTCACAGGTCAGTCATAACTGTCACCGAAATTTAATTTGTAATTTATTGCTTGGCTTGATTGATTGATTGATTGATTGATTGAAGAAATAAAGGTTGTAATTTGTCATTTGGCTTGTCATTTTGTTTGTTTATTGTGGTACTTTGGATTGAACCCATGACTGTCACACTGAGCTACATCCTAAGACCTTTTTTATTTTTTTGCGTTGAGACAGGGTCCTGCTAAATTTCTGGGGCTCAGTTTGAACTTTGAATCTTCCTGCCTCGGCCTCCCAGAGAGCTAGGATTACATGAGTGTACCACTATGCTTTGCTTTGTTATTTTTTGGTCCAGTGCTTCTCAGTCTGGGACAGAACCATCCAGGAGATGTTTGTCAGAGTTGTATACAGAGGTACTTTTGGTTGTCAGTCAGGATGCTGCTATTGTATCTAGTGGGTAGAAACTGGGTTAAGCATCTTATTAACCATGCTGCAGAGGTTACTAAGTCCAGACTGGATGCCTGCAGCTTGCAAAACCTGGCTGTACACTATGAATTCCTTGATTTAAGGATGTCTTTCTACCTCTTTTCTGCATACTGTATTGTAAATTCTGTCACTTAACTAGGTAATTTTATTTATTTATTTATTTAGTCTTTTTGAAACAGGGTCTCATTATACAGTTCAGGCTGACCTTGAGCTCACTTCATATCCCAGGCTGGTCTTGACCTCACAAAGATCCTCCTGCCTCCACCTCCAGAATGCTGGGATTACAGGTGTGCGCCACCACACCCGGCTTTGTCTCTTCCTAGGCTTTCAGTTTGGATGAGTTAGTGGATGCTTAGTGTAAGACCAAATACAGTGTCTTCTATTTGTATCTCTGAAAGTACTATTAGGACGTACTAGGAATGCACAGCCCAGTATCTCAGTTTATGAATTTCCCATTTCACTTTTTAGAGAGCAGATTATGAAATTTCAATTGAGATAATATATGTATACGTCTGTCTGTGTTAGACACTAAAAGTATTTGTTATTTTTACTTTACCTTTGGGAAAGTCAGGATATACATATTACAAACCACATGTTTTTCTTGTATTTTGAGTTGTAATTGAATTTTGGTCTTACTAAGATGTTTTTGATTATCATTTTTATAAATACGCCATTTCTAAAAATTCAAATTTTGTTATTGCTTGCCTATAGGAGTGTTACTATGTTTTTTTTTCCCTAAACACAACTAAAAAAATTACAGCTTCATGTACTGTTAAAAAGAGGCATTTAGCAACAAAAAAAGAATGAACTACTGATATACGCTACAATTTAGATGAACCTTGAAAAAATAATGCTAAGTGAAAGAAACCAGTCACAGAAGGCCAGGTAAATGGTTCCCTTCATGTGAAATGCACTGTGGACAGCACAGTGGAGTTGCTGATGGGGGAGACAGGCTAGGGTGACTGCTGCGGAGCAGAGAGGTCCTGTAGGGGTGAGAACAGCCTGAAAGCTGCTGTGCGGCTGTGAGTGTCCTGAGAGCTGCTCTTTGTACACCTTGAGTGGAATTTTACGCTATGTAAATTCTATCAGGCTGTTAAAAACTCAGTCAAAACTGAATAATTTGAAAGATTTATCTCTCAGATTATTCACTATAGTTGATTGTCCTAGGTTGAAAGAATTATGTAAAAATTATGTTACAACTAAAATTCAAGTGTGTGGCATTTGAGGGTTGGTGTTGTTTGTTTGAAGTGTGCAATTGTGTTTTTGCTTCATGTAAAATTTTGTTTTGAAATGTTACTGTTGAGTTTAATTCTAATCAAATGTATATATAAATAAAAATGGAAGTAGTATCTCTCATTTGCTTCAAACAAGCAGACCGTATGACATGCTGCGGTGTCTTAGTGACTGTTGCTCTGTGTTGCAGGGAAGGAGACTGGTGGGAAGCGCGGTCGATCGCCACAGGAAAGAACGGTTACATCCCCAGCAATTACGTGGCGCCTGCAGATTCCATTCAGGCAGAAGAGTATGCTGACAGTCCATGTTTTATTAATTTTTTGACTTTAGAAATGTCTTAATGCACATTCTGCTTAGCCACAAATTTATATGCACACAATTACCAGTCTTAATACAGTTAATGTATCATTAATAGACTTTACTTGAGAATTAATAATTAATGTAATAGTATCTGCTTAAAGCAGTATCCTGAGTCTGCATTAATCACGCTGTTATGCCTAGTCTTTCTCCTCCATCTTTCCACGCATTCTTACAAACTTCATTAACCCTTTTCATATTTTGTAAATGCTCACTTCAGAAAGTTACCTCACTTAGATCTCAGGTTGGCCCTTGTGACCTGTTTCTGGAGGGATGTGCCCTTGTCTTCTGGGAACACACGCTGAGTTCTTCAAGGACGTGACCCAGTGTCGGCAGCTTTCAGTTGCAGAAGAAACGTGCGTGTTTGCACACAACACACAAACAGGAAGTGGAGAAAGAAAATGCCAAAACAGAATGCTGCCAGCTAAGAAGCCTGGTTGCAGAGGTTATGGGGTTCTAGGGGCTGTTTTTGCAGCTTTTAAAGAATTAAAAGATCACTGCTAGTGACATTCATTTTACATCCAATTAATTTAGCTACTCTAACAGTGCAGTATTTGTTCTCCTTTATTAAGAATATGTAATTTGTCTGAATAACTTCTACCAGGACATTCGTTGTTGTTTGTTTTGTTCTTTTATGGTCTTCCCTAGTATTCTATGAACTCTTTCCCAGAAGAGATTCATTTTTATTCACTAGGCTTTATTAAGTCAAAGCCCTGCAAATTAGAGTTTCTAATAATATGGGTTTGATACACTTGTATCTTACTGAACATGAGGATAACACGGGATCACACTGTTACCAAAGAACAGCCTCTTTTCTTGTTACTGTAGTTTTACTATTTCCTTCTGTCCTTGACAGAAAGCATCCATTATTTGCTATCTTTCCTTCTCCATTGACTGTGCCTGTGACTCAGAGTAGCACAAGAGACCTGCTGAACAGTCAGGACATGGAAATGCTGTCAGAGCACATTCTAAACATGAAATTTGTAATGCTCCTTTTTAACAAACAAGAATCTATATCTTACTAAATTTTAAGTCATACTCTGTAGCTATTCTTTTTTGCACTACCAGGGATTGAACTCAGGACCTCATGCTTGCCAGGCAGGCACTTATGCCACTGAGCTCAATCCCCAGCCCTTCTGTAGCTAATCTTTATTATCCACCCTACCCCACTCCATTTTTATTGATACTTCTGTGTAAGTCTTCTGATTCATGGCTTCTTAGTTCAAAACATCATCGATTTTTTTCCAGATGGTATTTTGGCAAAATGGGGAGAAAAGATGCTGAACGATTACTTCTGAATCCTGGGAATCAACAAGGCATATTCTTAGTAAGAGAAAGTGAAACTACTAAAGGTATGATGTTAATATGTGGACACAAGTATAAAATTTCCTGGGGCAGTATTTTGAGAAAGGTAGAGTAAAAGTGTCCCTTTCCCCCAGGTGCTTACTCCCTCTCTATCCGTGATTGGGATGAAGTAAGGGGCGACAATGTGAAACACTACAAAATTAGGAAACTTGACAATGGTGGATACTACATCACAACCAGAGCACAATTCGATACACTGCAGAAACTGGTAAAACACTACACAGGTGGGTAAATATTTCCAGAAAATTCTCTCTCTGTTTTGTGAGGACAAAATTTGTAACTTTAGCATGTGCCAAATATTGTCTCAGTTTTGTTTTTTGGTGTAGGATCTCACTGTGCAGTTTAGGCTGACCTCAAACTCTTTGTTTTAGCCTCCCAAATTCTGGGATTATAGGTGTGTCACACCACACCTGGTGTCTAGTTTTATAATCAGGATCAGACTTACTAGTATCTGAATTGAGTTATGGGGCAGTGTGCTAAATTCAGCCATTAGAATCCTTAAGAGTTTACTCGCATAGTATTTACATTGAAGTTCCATTTCATGCCATATAAATACAGAATGTGAAAGTGAATTAAAAAACATAAGAGCAAATTTTTATTTATGAACACTTAGTAAATTCTAAGCACTTACTAATAAAAAGCTTTGTGAGATGACCTCTTAACTAATCTTCCTCAAAAAATAGGTACTGGATCTCATAGGAGTCCCTAAAATATAAACCCAATGGGAAAATCTAACAAAAATCAAAAAGCCAAGTGTAATCCCAGCATTGAGGATTACTTCTGTAATCCCAGCACTGGGGAGGCTAAGGCAGGAAGATCAATCAAAGCTCAAGGTCAGCCTGGACTAAATGAGACCCTGTCTCCAAAACAAAAAAGCAGAACAGAATAATAAACCAGATGGAATTTGGTCTGACAGTACATTTTGTTATCCTTGAAAATTAACCTATAGCAACTATGGACATTCTTATCTCTAAAGGACTTTTGAAAAGTATTCAGTATTGGAGTCTTATATCTCAAAATTTCTCTTTACCAATTTAATGTATAAATACATTTGTAAAAAATCTTTAAATAATCAGTATTAGAGGAGGACAGATTTTCATGGTGCTTTCTTCTTCATTGACAGTTAGCTGTAACAGTGTACCAAGTCAGCCAGCAATCTTGACACTGAGGCCACATGTTCCAAGCGGGCATCTTTGTCGTTGCCCTTTGTTAGGTTGTGAGTTTGTGTGGTGGCTTGATGGGAATGGGAGGGCACTTGCCCCCAAGAATGCACAAGTCAGGCCATTATGAATCTGGGGCTCCCTCCCTTTGTGTCTCTCTTATTTAAAATTCAGTCCCCTAAATGAAAGTCTGCCTTAATTTTCAGTGTCTTGCAAATTAGTGGTTAATATTAGGAATAACAATTAGAGCATTTCCTTAAAATTAAATAATCCCAGTATACAAAAGAGAATTTTGTACACCAGCTGACCAGAACCCAAATCCTATTACTTAACTTGTTTGAGATATTTGTAAAATGCTGAATTAATGCCAGAACATAAGCATTCAATACATAACATAAAAATGTCTTAAACAAAATGTTGTGCTTTTTGTGTGTGTGTGTCTGTGGTACTAGAGATTGAACCCAGGGCCTTCATGCTGAGATGCTTCCCCAGCCCTCTTTATTTATTTATTTATTTTGGTACCGAGGATTGAACTTATGACCTTGCTCTTGCCAGGCAGGCACTTAGGCCACTGACCTAAATCCCTGGCCCCTCTCTTTTTTTATTTTTGAGACTGTGTCTCAGTACATTGCCCATACTGGGCTTGAATTTATGATCTTCCTGCCTTAGACTCCCAGAGCACTAGAATTATATGTTTGTGCCATCACACCTGGCTCTTATTGTGTGTACTGTTTTGTTTTTTCTTTGAGACAGGGTCTCAGTATGTACTTCAAGCGACCTTGAACCCACTATGTAGTTAGTCCACGCTGGCCTCGAATTCAAGGCCATCCTCCTGTCTCAGCCTCCCCTGTGCTGGAATTATAGGTGTGCACCACCACACTTGGCTATATTTATATTTTTACAGTTAAATTGGTAGGACATTGTGTTTTTGGTTTTCTATAATTTAAGAAGCTTTTAAAAACAATGTGTTATATATGTACTTTAATTTTTGTAAGGAGTTTATTTTACAGTACAGTTTATTCATTTATTTAGAACATGCTGATGGTTTGTGCCACAAGTTAACAACTGTGTGTCCAACTGTGAAACCCCAGACTCAAGGTCTGGCAAAAGATGCTTGGGAAATCCCTCGGGAATCTCTGCGACTAGAGGTTAAATTAGGACAAGGATGCTTCGGTGAAGTATGGATGGGTAAGAAGCCTGACCTTTTTTTTTTTTTTTTTTTTTTTTTTTTTTTTTTGTCTTTTTCATTTTTCTCGGTACCAGGGATCAAACTCACGACCGCCTGCTTGCAAGGCAGGTGCTTATGCCGCTGAGCTAAATCCCCAGCCCCAGAAGCCTGACCTTTTTGCTCAGACTAAACTTCAATGAACAGCAGTTAATATTTTATTATAAATTGTGGCACTTTAATCTTAGGACAAAAAACCCATCCTCTTTCTCCAAGAAGCCTGACCTTTTTGGAGAAAGAGGATGGGTTTTTTGTCCTAAGATTAAAGTGCCACAATTTATAATAAAATATTAACTGCTGTTCATTGAAGTTTAGTCTGAAAAATTTCACAATACAGATAGAAATTGTTTGTCTCTGTAGGAACCTGGAATGGAACCACAAAAGTAGCAATCAAAACACTAAAGCCAGGGACAATGATGCCAGAAGCTTTTCTTCAAGAAGCACAGATAATGAAAAAGCTGAGACATGATAAACTTGTTCCACTCTACGCTGTTGTTTCTGAAGAGCCCATTTACATCGTCACTGAGTTCATGTCCAAAGGTATATGTGTGTTAGCGTCTCTTGAGGTACTCAAGTTGGTTAGCTGTTTTAAGAAGCAAGATCTTCCTTTCAGTTTTTATGAATGTGGATTTTTACTGCATGGCGCTAATAAAGATTTAGTCAGCATTTGAAAGGAGGAAATTGACACTGATGGGTAGTGATGGGCTCCTGCTGCAGCTGCTGAGTTTGTGAAGCTTCCGAGGTAAAGTAGGTAGGCTCAGTTGATTTGGGAAGTAGATTTGACCAAAGGAAATAGAATAGCCAGGGATATTGAAAAATAAAATAGCAAATGTACAAATTGAATCGAAATGATAAAACCAGAAAGACATGTATGTCCTCAGGACTAAAGTAAAGAAGTAAAGGGAATTAGTCTTAATCGCATTTTGCTATAAATCTAGTCACTGTGCTCAGGACTCTTCAAAACTTGTTTTCCACTGCCATTCTCCCAAACCCAGATTGCTGAGTGGGATCTTCAGTAAAGAGTAGAAGGCCAGGATAAAGGAAGGGAAGACCAATTCTGTGCCCCCATCCTAGGCTAATGGTGCTTCAGAAGAGGAGCTGATGAGTCAGAATATGTACCCAGTGTAACCCATTCTGAATTGAATGTTTTTTAATTTACCATTTTAATTGGTTTGAATCAGACTGAAGTCACAGGTCACACACATCACCGTCTCTGCTAGTCTACCTTGGCCAGTGGCGTAGTTTCGTCTAGTGGTGGCTAGTAGTAACCAGCAACATATTTGCTGTAGGAAAAATTTTTCCCTCCAAAAGAACTAGAACTAAGTGATGCAGCCTGTTGGTTGAGAACTAAAAGAACTCTAAGCATCAGAGTGTGTGGCAGTCATTGGAGGGAGTTTCTGCTGCAGTCATGCCAAGAGTGTCGTTTTAGAGAGTGCATTGAATGATCAGGGACAGGGAGGAGTTTAAGTCAAGATACTGATAGCCGGAGAAATATAGTGGAGGCAGGCAGGAAGACTGCAAGGTTGAGGCCTGCTAGGGCAATTTATTAAAAGCTTGTCTGACAATAAAGAACATTATGCTGGGTGTCATATAATCCCACCCGTCAGGAAGGTGAGACAGGAGGATTGCCATAGATTCAAAGCCAGCCAGGGCTACATAGTAAGTTCAAGGTCTCAAAAATAAATAAAAATAAAAAGCATTAGAAGCCATAGCTGAGTACTTTTTAGGTTCAATCCCTAGTACCACATCAAAAAAGAAAGGATTGTTTAATTGGGAGGCATGGTCAGATTCTTTGTTATCAATCATTGGATTAGAATTATTTTCAGTTGGAGAGTTAGAATACAAAATAGAAACTTTTCTACTTTAAAACTCAGGAATTCCCCCATTTTGGTATTCAGTTACTTACTAATTCGTTACAGAATAGCCATGCAAAGTCATTGCTTCATGTAATCCAGCATCAATCCAGCTGCGCTCACCAGATAGATTTTCTTGTTGCTTCTGGTTTCTGTGACTGATTAATTGGTGTTATGTGTATATATTTGTATGCACATATGAATATTTTTGTGAGTCTGGAGGTCAGACCCAAGGCCTCATTCATACTTAACATGTGCTCTACCTCAGAGCTGCACCCCAGCCCACCCATGATCATTGTTTTCCTCACCTGGAATTCGGTTTCCCTGTCTCTTGACCAGACCACCAGCTACATTGGCCTGGTGCAGTATCTAGTCTCTGGTCTTGTGTTACATTGTGTTGTCACTTTTCTTTAGCTTCATCTAATCTGGAACTGTTCTTTAGCCTTTTTTTTTGCTGGGGTGCAGGAAGGGGAGTCTCATACAGGGTTGTTTTTTAAAAAAGCAGTCCAATTTGTTTTATAAAATGTCCCTTAATTTGGATTGATTTGTTTTCTCTTGATACATTCAAGTCCATGGTATGTTTTTAAACAGTTACAGAGAAAAAAACAACCAGACTTGTCCTTCTGAGGCTCTCGCTTTACTGTGTTCACAGTTCATGGTACCTTCTAAAATTGAGAGCCATTGGTCAGGCCAGCACTGCCACTGCAGCTCACTTAGGTGTTTATAGTTAATCGTAGCCACCCCACGGTATTCTGAGTAAGTTCTTGATTCAAGTAGACTTAAAAACATGTAAGTACTTTGTGTATCAAAATTAGAATCGTGATCAAAGCAAGGAAAGAATGACTCCAATCTGGATAACTCCATTTCTCTTAGGAAAGGGAAAGACTACATTTTTCTTCTTTGAATGTTGTCTAGAGAACTTTCTAGATTTTCAGTTTAAGGAACTCTTGTAGAATATTTAACATAATTTTTCAGAAATTTCAGAACTGCAAAAAATTTAAAAATGAAAAACTGAGAAATTTTGTATCATGGTAGGGTGATTTGTTTTGACACTGGAGTATTTGTTTCAGTCTTAATGCAAGATTGCTTACTTTATGAATGTCTTGTGACCTTACAGGAAGCTTACTAGATTTCCTCAAAGAAGGAGATGGAAAGTATTTGAAGCTTCCACAGCTGGTCGACATGGCTGCTCAGGTACTTGCATATACATGTATCAGTCAGTTTGAATTTAAGTACACATTTAAAATGCAGAATACTATTAGTAGAATATTTTACATAGCAAAATAATGAAATTTTAGAACAGGAAAGAATTTTGGAAATAATCCAGTGTGAACTCCTAATATTACAGATAATATACTGTCTGAAGATCAGATATACCTAGAATTCACATAGCACCAGTAGCAGAGCCAATGCTGGAACTGTAGGACTCAGTCCAATCCCTCCAAGCTGTAGTACACCATCTTCCATTTGTGGTCAGTACTCTTAGCACCAGCTCATCTTAGATTGTTCCTGATTTGGACCTTGACAGGCTTGTGTCCAGAGGTTCGAAATAACTATGTGACTTACCTCTTACTCTAACTGAAGCAAGAAGACAATAAGACATTAGGTTACATTGCTAGCAGTAGCTAGATATGCGGGTTGGCTGAAAAGGTTGGCCCTCGGAGTGTGTGTCAAGAGTTTTTTGTGTATGATGCTGGAGGTATGTCAGATTTGTGGTCGAGTGTAGCCTGCTTCTTTGTTAGTGTTTCCTTCTAGACTATGCTTGTTGCTGTCTTCTTTTGAAAGGTATAATGGCTTCTCCCTGCTTCTTTCATAATACTTGTTTTCCTTCCCAAGATTGCCGATGGTATGGCATATATTGAAAGAATGAACTATATCCACCGAGATCTTCGGGCTGCTAATATTCTTGTAGGAGAAAACCTTGTGTGCAAAATAGCAGATTTTGGTTTAGCAAGATTAATTGAAGACAATGAATACACTGCAAGACAAGGTAAAATTACTTTTTATATAAATGCTTATAATCTAATGTTCTGTTTTTTTCTTATTTAACATTTCTGAAAATACAGGTTTTTATAAAATAAGAATGGTTCTAGGTCCCCTCACAAGAGTCATGGAAACACTGATTTTATTATATAAAACTTACAGAATATATACTATGACTGTGTGACTTTCTTAATTACTTCCTGTGAAGAAGAATTTGACTAGGGGAACTGGGGATTTAACTCAGTAATCACCTGCCTGGCAAGCCTGAGGTCGTGAGTTTGATCCCCAGCACAAAAAAAAAAAAAAAGAACTTGACTAGGTATTCTTTGAATGACAAATTATAACAAGTAATAACCTTTTTATACATGATTAGTTCGTGAACTGTTGCCTTAGAGGCTCTCAATAAGGACAGTATCTTTCCTTACCCCTAACAGACATCTGGCAGTATCTAGAGACATTTTTGATTATCACAAAGCCCGAGCTACTGCTGGCACCTCCTGAGTTGAGGCCAGGGATACTGCTAAATGTCCTACAACAGCCGGCTAGACCCTCACCACAAAGAATTATCAGTCCTAAGTGGTCAGTATTGGCAAGTTGAGAAACTCTGATGTAACCACACCTTCTTTTTAACCTCTGTACCTTCATGCAGTTACCTCTAATTGAAATATCTTCTATAATCCTTACTTATAAAATCTTAACCATTTGCTTAAAGCTTAGTGTAGCTGTTACTCTTTCAATGAAATGTTTTATGATTGTGCTAGTGAAGATTGATCCTCTGTTTGTTGGAGTACCTAATGGATTCCAGTTGGTAGCACATTACACTTGCATGCACATGTAGGCAGCTTCAAATATACGCGACACTTTCAGCCTTACTAGCATAAGCATATGAACTTTTGGAAGTCATGTTTTTATGTGCCTGTAATGATAGCATAATGCCTGTGCTTAGCACGCTTACACTTATTATTCAAATAAATTAACATGGGCTTTTAAAATTGCTAACAATAAAAATTTCCAAAGAGATACACCGTAATACAAAAAAAGGAATATGATTGAAAATCAGTTAATCATTAGACCTCAACAAAGTATGTCATCATCATTCACAGCTACAGCTACTGAGTGCCTGACTACTTAAAAGTGATGGATTTTATAATCTATATTTTATAAATAGTCTTTTTGGGTTAAAAGTGTCTATTCCTCCCTTCCTTCTTTCCTTCCATCCTTTCTTTCTTTCCTTAAAATTTTATTTTGTGGTACTGGCTTTATACATGCTACATAGGGCTCTAATGCTGAGCTACATCCCCAGCCTTTTTTTAAAAACAGATTTGAGATGGGGCCTCAGCCCAGGCTGGGCTTGAATTTGTGATCCTCCTACGTCAAACTTCTAAGAAATTGTGATTACAAACATGTGCTTCCATACCAAAACTCCTACTTATGTTTTCTTGAAAGATTTTTCTATTCCCCGTACCAACTTTCTTTTTCATTTTCGTTTTATTTTGTTTTTGAGACAGGGTCTTGCTGTGCAGTTCAGGTTGGACTTGAACTGATCGTGTAGCCCAGGTCTGTTTTGAACTCCCAGAGATCCTCCTGTGTCAGCCTCCCAAGGGCTGAGATTATAGGTGTGCACCATAACACCTGGCTCTAATGTGATTTATTTTAGTATAACTTTTAAAAATTAAAAATTTTTCTCATGTGCTATGTATATTTGAAGAATTGGACACCAATGACACATACAATAGGAATATTGACAGAAAGTTAGCCCTGCTCATAATTTACACAAATCAGTTTTTAAAAAACAGTAATTTAAAATTGCCAATATTGTCTTAGGTGCAAAATTTCCAATCAAATGGACAGCTCCTGAGGCAGCACTTTATGGTCGATTTACAATAAAGTCTGATGTATGGTCCTTTGGAATTCTACAGACAGAACTTGTAACAAAGGGGAGAGTGCCCTATCCAGGTAAGCCGCCTTCTCGTGAGCTCTCAGGTGTCCTGTCAATGACTGAGTGGTTGTATTGGGAGCAGCACTGTGTGGTGGGGCCTTTATTTCTTCTGTCTCCAGGTCCGCTGCTTACTCTTGAATAAGAGCCCAGTCCTCAAGGTGGGGCGAGCACAGGAGGCATGCACATATTGCTCTCTGCTTCCACCCCAGGACTTTCTCTAAACAGCCCTTTTATTTGTTCTCTACTCTCCAATAGAAGCATATCTATCTTCCCATCCCCAGGGGGTACAGTAATTGTCCCTTTCTACAAGTGTGGCTGGTGCATTTTCGTAAATACATATTTGCCCCGTTTTCTTCCATGGACTATTTGAGAACAATATGTTTCCTTCTTTAAAAAAATAGGTAGATAGCTTGCCTACTTACTTCTAGGGCAAGGTAGCTTACTTGAGATTGAGCCATAACTGAGCATTATTTTAGTCTGATACCTCGTTGAGGAGACTGAAAGCACATGAAACCCAGTCTTGTTGAAAAGCTGCTGTGCTAATCTTAGGTATGTGCACATTTTCTAGCTTACCCCTCCTCCTGACACCTCGAGCTGTAAATCTAACACCAGCACAAGTCACTATGCACGTCCCTCCAGCCTGTTTACATAGTGATTCTCACTGCCCAAGCTGTCACTTAGTTGTGACTCCCCCTCCCCTTTCCAGCTAGACCCCACTCCTGTTTGAACTCACTGTCATCTCACCACACCGCCAGTGAGTCTTGGGTCTCTTGTTGCTTGAACTCTTCTCATCTGTGAACTTGCCATCACTTGTGCCTCAAAACCGTCCCCTTGCCAGTAACTACACGCGTCGTAGTTGCTGTTTCATACATCCACACTGTTACCACTACCTCCTGTCTTCAGCTCATTCTACCCAAACCCTAGCAGTTTCTTCACTCTCCCTAGATCTTAATCCTTTGACTCTACTACCTTTGCCTGCCCCCCACTCTCTTCATGGTGAAGAGAAACCTCATGGTGAAGTAGTACATAACACCTCTGTGTTTACATTTGTCCTCTGCTTTTCTCTCCTTTCACCACTATTGTTTGGCAAAATGATAGTGGTAGATAAATCTAGCTGTGCCTACATGATACCTACGCACATAGCTGGATATGATGTAGTTTCACTTCGAATTTACAACCAGAGAGAACTTTTGGATGGGGCCACGATGGAGTGACTAGTACTCCCAACTTGCTGCCTCACTACAAATAATTACGGAAGTTAGACAAAATATGTTGACACAAATGTTGCATAGCAGCCAAGACCCAGTCCTTAAACAGGCAAGCACATAAAATGAGTCCTGCATTATGTCATCTTTCTCCTAAAGGCATTTTTTGAAAGGGCACAGGGAAGAAACCCCAATAGGAAGTATCAGGCTTACTGAGCAAAAGAGACGGACCAGGTGCCCAGGGTATGGAGGACGGGGTGCCGAGAGGAAGAAGTCACGGTAAAAAGCTAAATTCCCCATAGGTCTGTGATCCACTCCTGAAGTTGCACATCCATACACAGGGACAGGCTTGAGAAGCTTCTAGGCTTCTGGAGAGCCCAGCAGGACTCGGGGGTTCTGCCGCTGTGGGGAGTCGCTGTCCAGCTCAGGTGGACAAATGTCGGTGCATGCGCTCGCTCTAGAAGGATGGGCAGAGCTGAACAGAACCCAAAGCCGGGCCTTCAAGGTCCAGGTAGTAAATTGGCAGTAAATTTATTGGTAAATAAAAACTAACATCCTTTAGAAAAAGATAGCAATTCGGATAATCCACAATGTATGATTCAAAATGTTCAGGAGAAAAGAAAGTTACTAAACATATGAGAAAAAGAAGAAATGACTGATGATTAGGTATTTGAGGTCAAGCTCTTTCCACCATCTTTTGTAGTGCTGTAATGGTGTGTGTTTACAACCTGGCTGATGCGTTCAAGAGCATCAACAGTGCTGAAGAGAGACAATGCCAGCACTTATTAGGCCATGCTTTCTAACCATGATGAGGAAGCATGCTTACACTGGTGCATTTGAAATCTTTGATGATCACAGGGCCAGAAAAATTTTGAACCTCACAGGCAGGTTAAACAAGCGTAGTGTGATCGGCCCAGGTTTGATGTGCAAGTTGAAGACCTGGAAGCATGGCAGGATAATCTGCTCCCATCCCGTCAGTTTGGTTTCATTGTATTGACCACCTCGGCTGACATCATGGACCACGAAGAAGCACCACGAAAACACACAGGAGAGAAAATCCTAGGATTCTTTTTCTAGGGATGTAAAACATACAGATAAAATGCCTCAGCAGTTGAGGGTGGGGGGAGAAGTGAAGATCCAGACCCTGATCTTGAAGTTAGCAAAAGCCTTCAAATTAGCAATATTTACAGTGGGAAAAAAGTCTGGAAAACACTGTTTCAACTGAAGGAAGCCGCACAGGCGGCACACATTGTAGGATTCTGTTTATATGATTTGGAAAAAAGGCAAATCCAGATTGTGTGCAGTAAGGATCTGATGGAAATGAGGTGACCAATGACAAATGCAGGTTTGGAGGGTGATGACAGTGTCTCACAGTTGGCCTGTGATGTTATGTAGCTGAATATATTAAAACCACCAAATTGTGTACTTTAAGGGAAGAATTATACCTTTACAATGTTGGGGTTTGTTATTTTAAAAACGGGAAAGAAAGACTGGCAACATGATAAAAAATATTGAAGAATTCCAACAGATCTTGAATTTATAAAAAAAATGGAAATGTTAGCGCTGTGAGCATGAAATATGAACAAACCAGATGGCCCTGGAAGACATGACTAGTGCACCCAAGGGCACTTTAATAGAAAATACCCAAATCATTATGTAGATAAAATGTGTGTAAACAGGGTGTGAGGCACACGCTTGTAATCCCACTCCTCAGGAGCCTGAGGGCCAGAGGATCAAGGTTTGAGGCGGCCTGGGCAACAGAGACTCTTATCTCAGAGTGATAAGGGGGTAGGGATGTAACTCAGTGGCGGAGCTGAGATCAATCCCCAGCACCAAGACAACAGCAGCCACAACAGAATGGAACAGAATGTCTGCGGTAACTGGGCCATGGTGAAAAGGTCTAGTTTGTACTTTGTAACTGCAGTCCCAGAAGGAGAGAAGAAAGGAAGTGAAACAGCTGTGTTTGAAAAACCAATAGGCAGCCTGCCTGGCAATCGTGAGGTCGTGAGTTAGATTCCCGGTACCAAAAAATAAAGAAAAACAGGCAAAAACCTCAATCTGATAGGGTGGGGGACATTGCACAGATTTAGTAAAGTTTGTGAACTTCAAGCAGAATAAATAGTCTATAAACTTCAAGTAAGCATTTCATGGTCGTCCATTGAGAATAACATTTAGCTAACATTTCCCCAGCATATGGGAGCCAGAAAAGCATGAAATTAAGTCTTTAAAGTAATGGGAAGAAAACTGCTTATTTAAAACAACAATAAGAATGTCTTGCTGAGTTTGTGATGCTTATAAAAGTAAATTCTGTGACAGTAACACAAGGACAGGGGAGGGTGGAGTAAGAGGTAAGCTGTTGTAAGTTTTTTCCATTGTTTGGAAAGCATAAAAGTAATCATTTGAAAAATGTAATAAGCCAAAGAAGAACACTGGACTGTATCTCAGTGCAACCCCTGACGTGGTAAGTAGAAAACTAGGAGAGCAACTGAGTGGTGGCTCAGGAGAGCGATGGCCTAGCATACGTGAGCCCTTAGATTTCACACCCACACCCACACCCACACCCACCCAGAGGAAAAGTAAATAATGAAAAATACTTGCCTACTCAGATGAAAAGCAAGAGAAAAAACTGTGGGACAAATGATAACCAAGTATAATAATAGGATGGTAGAGTTAAACCCACTTACATCCCAGATTGCATGTAATACGTTCAGTAAATATTCAAATTTAAAGACAAGACTGGATTTTAATTACACAGATTTTGTGACACTGTGACACAAAAAGGACAGGGTTTACAAAATGACTAAAATTTAAGGTTGAGAAAAGATACACTATGCAAGTCCTAACCAAAACAGCCTATTAAAAGTAGACTTTAAGGCAAGAAGTACTATTAGAAACAAAAAGGAACATTCCGTAATGATAAGATAACCAGTTTTATGATCAGTGTAAAGGTCCAGAATGAATATGCAACTAACTACATAGCTACAAATACAAAAGTTTGGGATAATCTAAATGCTCAGATGAGAATGACAATGTGAATGACCTATAAACTGGAAGTCAAGTATTTGCCTGAGAAGAGGGACTCCAGAAGCACTGCTGTCTGACAGTGGGGCTCATGTTGCCCACTGGCCCGCAGCAGGCGCTGTCCATTGCAAAGCCACGGCATCTCTTTGCTAGTCTCAGTTTAGGACAGTAACGTCCCTGGGCAAATGCGGTCAGGTATGAGCTATTTAAATTTATTGACAGGGTGCTAAATATTTCCCATTAATTTTAAGAATTGATAATCTTTGAATTAGAATTTTCCTGTCTCCTGAGCAGTGCAGGAGAGAGCCACCTTCCTGCTGTGCTCAGGGAGTAGTGTCTCATTCAGAAGCTCCTGACAAGAAATGGTTCCCTTCCTGAAGACTGAGAGTATCCCTGCCAGGGGGCCATTTTGGCCGTATATTAACTTTCCTAGTTGTTGGCATAAAATCATTCAGTAGTTGTGATGATCAGAAAATTCAAAAGACTCAAGTTTTGAATGAAAGTCTATTGATAACTAGGGCTGGGTGTATGTAGGCCCTGGGTTCAATTCCATGCACCAGAAAAACATGGTTTATTGGTGGTTTATTCAGATTTAACCTAGATTGAATAATTCTAACAATCTGTTAAAATAATAAAGAGGCATAAAATAAAAGAACAAAAACATAAGAGTGAAGAAGAAAAAATTCTCTAATTTTAGTAAGTTTAAATGAGTACCTGGCTCCTTTTCTGGTTACCACTAACAATTTGGTTTTTGTTGCTGTTGTTTTTTATACCAGGGATTAAACTCAGGACTTCGCACTGCCAGGCAGGCACTTTTGCCACTGAGCTAAATCCCCTGGTTGTATTTTTGTAAATACAAAGATGATGCTACCAACTTGGATGAAACTCTCAGAAAACTTCCTTTCCATTTAGCTCAGTGGCATAAACGCCTGCCTGGCAAGTGCAAGGTCATGAGTTCAATCCCCAGTACCAAAAAAACAGAAAAAGAGAAAACTTCCTTTTCAGTGTTAGGCCCCAAATTTCTGTTACCTTTAATATATTTTCTTTAAATGTTTTGATGAATCATTTTTTCCTGAGAAATATTAGAAGTAAGTACTTAGTGCCATTACATTACTTTAAGGGAATCATGGTGTATGAGACTTCTCATGTCTGATGGCAGGAGGTGGGAGGGCCATCCTGACTTGTGAACAGGCAGGAAAGGTGAGGTGGGAAGTGGGGAGAAAGAGCAGTGAGGAGAGGAATTTGGGGAAAGAGGTCTTTTTGCTGGCCTGGGACAACACAGGTGAGCTGACAGTGGTGGAAGTTACAAGCAGTGAAAGAAGGGAGCTGTGTAGATTGTGGCGTGAAGAAGCCAACTAGTGATAAGAGGTAAGGAATCTGTTCTAAGGAAGTGACTCAGTATAACATTACACAGTCAGTGTTTGTGGCAAAGCCAGGACTACAGTTCTTCCCCTGAATCCTGCTGGCAAGTTCCTGCAGAAACCGCCTTGCCCATGGTTCCTTGTTAGCCCAAGTGTGGTTGTTGCTGCGTGGTAACATCAGAGAGTACCAGTGCCTCAGAATGGCAGCTTGAATTCTTAATGACATGGGTTGGCTTCTGAAGATACTTGTGTTAAAAAGCTAAGGTAGAATGAAAATTTGACATGTTAAATAGAGTAAGATTTTCTAAGTTTCTCTTGTGTGCTCTGATAATTAAAATTTGTCTTTTTGTTCAGAGGGATTTTCACTAAGTAAACTACATGCCTCTAGTCACTTAGAGATTGGGGGCTTTGTTCTGTTCTTGTGAGTGTTGTTTGATGTTTGACTCTTGTGTGTCAGGTATGGTAAACCGCGAGGTGCTGGAACAGGTGGAGCGGGGATACAGGATGCCCTGCCCTCAGGGCTGCCCAGAATCACTCCATGAATTGATGAACCTTTGCTGGAAGAAGGACCCTGATGAAAGACCAACGTTTGAATATATTCAGTCCTTCTTGGAAGACTACTTCACTGCTACAGAGCCACAGTACCAGCCAGGAGAAAACTTATAATCCAGATAGCCTATTTTCTATGCACAGATCTGCCAAAAGTTAAAGAACTTGTGTAGAGTTCCTCGTGTACAGGAATCAAAAGAAGGAAGTCTTCTTCACTCTGCATGTTTTTAATGGTAAACTGGAATTCCAGGTATGGTTGCACAAAACCACTTTTTTTTCTCCAAGTGTTAAAATACCAATGATGAATTTTCCAATTTATTTCAGGGTCCAAAGAAAGGAGAGCTAAGATACTAGTAGAGAAGAGCAGCAAGGCTACTGTTTTAAATCATTTCCTTTCTTTCCCAAACTCAGATTTCTGTAATAAAAATTTTCTCATAATTTTAAGAGAAATATTTATTAATGTAGACAAAACTTCGGAGTTAAAAAGTTACACCATTAATAAAATTTAAAGGAACTCATAGGACCAAATAATCCCATTCCAGTTTTTTTTTTTTTTTAAATCTTGCATTAGTTACTCTCAGAAGGTTTTTTTTCCCGTGTGAAACAGTCAATCTGCAATCTTAACATACACTTCCTTTTGTGTGGAAATGGGCCAGGCTTTTCAAAAGCGAAATAAAAACAAAAAGGATTTTAAGCAGGATTTAAAACTTGACTATTAGACCACACCAGTGGTGTTTGAAAGTATAATGCACTATGTTTATACTCATATTCTTGGAACTGGAAAGTAGAAAAAGAAATTTTTCACTACTGTCATTTTCTGAGTAGTTCAGTTTAGAATAATGAAGGTAACTTGAAAAGTGAGTTAATCTTTTATAAGATCATATTGATTTTCTTAAAAGGCAGTATATAATTGAAACTGTACTGTCCAATCCAAGGGGAAAGACTTTTAATCTTTAGATGGCATGAAAAGTAAGACCCAGCATTTAAGCAGTCCGTCTTTTAAAAATAGACTTGGTACTGTGAGGTGTTGCTGTTGTGTTCTTATGGTAACGGGTGCCACAGACAGAAAATATCACTAGATCAGGGACTGGAATGCACTTTGCTTGTTTTGAATATAGACTAAGAGAGTGGAAAAACATATTTAAAAGAAAGTGTGAAAATTTTACAAGTAGAGGGATGGAATATAATGTTTAATGTTGATGTCATGGAGGGATAAATGGCTTTGCTGGCACTCAAAGCTTCTCACTTAGTTGTTTTCTGAAACTTTAAAAATTACAATATATGTCTGTAAAACTAACTTCCCTTAACATACACACTAAATGAGTGTTATATCCTCAAAATAGTGAAGTTAAGGCTTCACACTAATTCCAGTGATAATCAGCTATTACGCAAATCTTTTTAGAACTCCTATTTTCAAACCCATGTTTGAATTGTCATTCCCTTTTAAAATATACTTAATGGTTGTTATTTTTCCCTTTAGGAGTATAGTTGATTTGGGGAGGAAAACTTACTCAGAATAATAATAGTAGTTCAAACACACAGCAGTTTTTGACCATTCGAAGTATAAAGTGAAACATACAGTATAAAGCTAATTTTTTCAGCTAATGCAGAAAGAAATTCCGGAGTGTAAATTTGAATAACAGCTTTACTGATTTAAGAGTCTGGCAAAGAAAAATTGAATTTGATAAATAAAAGTCTAGTGTTTGTGTTTTTAGGAACAGTTGTGTAATCACACTTTAAAGCATTATGTAAGGTTCCTGTATTTTCAGCATATAATTTTTAACTCATCTGAGTTAATCATGAAATTAAAAATTCTGTGCCATGGTGTATATTTTCAAATTCAGGCCATTTTAAAATGTGACAAGTGAACTTCATGCAAGTTGGCAAAAATACTGGTACTAGAAATTACGGTTGTTTCCTCTGTTTACATAACCTGTTTAGTATTGAGGCCCTTGACTGGCCCTTGACCAAGAGGGCTTTCTGAAGAAGAGTGCCGTCATGATTTATCCTAACACAGACAACCTGTGACAAGAGTTTTTAAAGGGCTTTATGTGCACTATGATTTTGTAATTTTTCTAAGCATCTTCAAGGGGGTAGCAAAATTACGTTCATTTACTAATTCTAATCAGAAAAAAAGCCAGGAAAATTGATGGTGTTCATTAGATTTTAACTGAATGGAGCAGTTCCTTCTAAACACAATTGTATAGTAAGAATAAAGCACTAACTTAATGTGTATTCATTTTTAATTGTTATGTATTTTTAAATAGCCAAGAAAAATAAAGCATTTTGTATATTTGAAGCATTTCATCTTCAGTTCTTAATGTGGAACTTAACCCTTACCAAAAATGGAAGTTGGTAAAGACAGCCTTCTAGCACAAACACTTTTTTAATGAACAATGATAGCCTAAAACTTACTATTTTTATAAAGTACTATATTGTTTTGTGGATAATTGAAATAAAATTTCTCATTTGAATGTATCTGTTTATCTTTTCAGTTGCTATTCATTTATTTCTCATTACTTTTTTAAAAAATTGATATATTCTAAATTTATCCTTCCATTGGAAAATTTAATTACATGTAACTCTTGAGCAGAGTTGGATTCTTTATTAAATTTATTATTGATAAATTTGTTCTCTGAACAAATTGTGATTAGTTTTCTGTGTCAGCTAGGTGACACATTATTTTACAAGTACTTCATTTAAAAAAAATTATACTAGCAGATGCAGTCAACGCATCACATAAAGAAAAGAAAGTGACTCGAGGTCAGCTGTCCCCAATGGACCCACATGAATGACATAAAGTAGGTGGCTTCTTTGGAATATAAGGAAGTCAGTTTCCTAAAAATGCATCATGTGTGAACCATGTCTCTGTGTGTTGTACTACAGGTTTAAGAGAATCAAACTACTGTTAAATTTTAAATGGCCAATCAAAAGTATTTGTGATTTTCAATATTGTAGTTGTGTTAATTACCTTTTACAGTCTTAGCATCTAAAACTGTTAGAAGCAAATAACGTTTAGGCAACAAACGTTTCCTTTAGTAAACATTTATTGAGTATTTTTATAGTATTCCTTTTCATGTCTAGAAAGCACTTGTATTTGAAGTATAACTTTTTTTTTATGGTACCGGGGATTGAACTCACAACTGTGCATTTTGCAAGGCAGGTGCTTATGCTGCTGAGCTAAATCCCCAGCCCTTGAAGTATAACTTTTAAGGTCCATCTAGTAAAATTTCCCAGCACCACGCATTGTTTAATCCAGTCCCACCCCACTGGTTTGAGTTCTTTATCTTTGTTTTGTTTTGTTTCCCTTTACCTTAACACTCACTGGTGCCCAGGACAGCCTCATGCTTGGAATCTTCTGCTTCTGCTTCGGGAGCAGTATGAGTGCATTCTCCTGTGCCCATTGAGTTTCTTTTATTATGATGCATGTTTGTCCAGTTGTCATTTCTGCCATCAACATAATACAATTTCTTTTTTCTCTTTTTTTTTCTTTTTGCTAATGCACTGTAATTGGCTAGTGCCCTTTAGCTTTTTTTTTTTTTTTTTTTTTTTTTTTTTTTTTATCTTGGTATGTTGGAAAATTCTTAGTGATGCATAGCCTTTATCTTTGTATTTTTCTTGGTTGGGATTGCGTTTCGCCTGTAAAGTAATTTGGTGAGCATTGGGATCTTCCGGGTCAGTCTTGCCATCCCATCTTTGCGTGCCTTCACTTAGACTTCATAGTGTAGAGCAGTGAGGGGCGGGCAGGCTGGGAGTGTGGCTCAGTGGCAGCGTGCAGTTCACCTGCACGAGGCCTTGGGAGCAGTCAGTAAGCAGATAAATAGTAGTGAGATACTAGGCTGTGACAAACATGGAGGGAGCTTTAAGTTGTACAAGAACTCAGCTTGAAAATTCATATTGTATGTCCAACTGTATAATCTCCTGGGAAAGGGAAAAGAGATCAGTGGCTGCCAGGAGCACAGAGGATTTTTAGGGAAGTAAAGATATCCCATATTTCCTTTGTTGAGGTCTTAATGTAAATAATAGTCTGCTTTTAATTTCACATTCCATGTGTTCATTTGTAATATGGTAAAACCTTCATTTATGAGCATAATTCATTCTGGAGACATGCTTCTAATCCAAAACGTTCGTATAACAAAATGAATTTCCCCATGTGAAGTAGCGGAAACTCAAATGATCATTCCACAACCCCAAAATGCTTATATACAAATGCTTATGGTACTGTAATATAAAATAACAAAATACAAAGATATAAATAAAAGTAAATAAGTTACCTGTACCTACCTGTGAAAACTTTCATGACTGGTGTGAGGGAGACCAGAGGAGGGTTATTGTGTAGGAGGCAGTTGCTGTCACTAACGGAATTGCTGTTGTCTGTTAGCTCGGTGGAGTCTTTCATTTCATGCAGCCTTATTAAGGAGCCCATTCAGCCCTTGCCTTCACCTCCTTTTGAGGGTTTCATGAAAATATGACATTGTGCAGACGCTAAATAGATTCATTGCTCTTGTGCACCGCTTCAGCCTTATCCATGTAATGCTTTTCTACAGAATTTCGCACGATGTCCGACATTTTAGGTATCTCTCTAGTTTACTATGAAGTGAAGGGTTCCTCTGCCTTTTTCTCCTCCCCTGCAGCTGGATCTCCCTGACCTCCCCCACTATTGTTTGCAGTGCAGATCCATCAATTCATCAGCAGTTAGATCCTGGCCATGTTCTTCTACCAGCCCTTGGGTGTTTTCCTCACCCAACCTCAGTCCCATGGTCTTCCCCAAGGACAGTTGCATCAGCACCTGGTGACTCCTGTTCATGAGCAAGGCTTTCTAAGTCATGTCAGGCCATAATTTTTGCCATGCAGGAGTTGTGGGTTCCTTGGGGGTTCTCTCTGGGATAAAGTCATGGCAGGCTTTATCGATGGTCCTGTAGCAGTTCATGGTATGAAAATGATTTTTCCAAAACTTTTAGAAGATAAAACTTGTTCCTTTGGTCACCTCAAAGCATCACTGAAATAAAACTATAGTATAAAGCTTTTAAAGTTTAGAACGACTTGCTGATCAAATTGAAGAGATGTTGGGGCTGGGGATTTAGCTCAGCGGCATAAGCGCCTGCCTTGCAAGCAGGCAGTTGTGAATTCGATCCCTGGTACCAGGAAAAACGAAAAAGACCAAAAAAAAAAAAAAAATTGAAGTGTTGGGAAGCACATGATTTTAATAAACTCGGGCTCCTCCATCCTCAAAACCTGGAGGCCGAGCAGGAACTTTATATAGCTAGCAAGTTTTCAAGCAGCGAGTTCTTTTCTGAAAGGTATTTCTAAGCCGCAGGTCCAGCGACCTCACTGAGCCACTCAGTGAACGAGATATGAGTGACCCAGGCCTTGCCTTGGTGTTGCACCTCCACAAAACACTCTTCTGCACCTGGCATTTCTTGAAAGCCGGTGGTTCTCAGAATGATACAAAATCTGGGACTTGACTTTGAAACTGCTGCTTGCATTAACACCAAGCAAGGTGAGATGGTCTTCTGTGGGCTTGTGGCTGGGCATTGCGTTCTCTAACGTAGTCCTCTTTGGCCTCTTTGCCCAAGAAAATCCATCTTGTCACAGTTAAAAACTTGCTCTGGTAGGTGATACTTGGAGCTATGAGCTTCTGGAGCTTGGTAAACACCTCAGGTCCTCAGCATCCAAGTACACAGCCTCTCTGTGCCTCACAACACTGTACGCCACTTCTCTTAAGTTGTCCAACCGTCTCCTGCTTGCCTGGATGCCGCCTTTGTTTTCTGTTGATGTCCTTGGCGGTTTACTTTCTGAGGTCAGTGTACAAGGCCTTTGCCTTCCTGCAGATAACATTCTCAGTTACACCTGCTCATAACCCAAACCAGAAGCAACTTTTGTACATTCTAGAACTGTGGCCGCTGCTTTGATACTCTTGTGACTACTTTTACTGCATCTAACCACCTTATTTCTTCCTTTTTAACACTGTAATTGGTGAATGCAGGTTTCTTATAAAATCATGTAATTTTGGCCACTCACATATTTGGTACTTCTCAATGATTTCCTTCCTAACTTCCACTGTATTCATCTCCTTAAGTGCCTTGCTTTTCTGCATGGAGGCTGTTGTATATCCATGCCTGGATGTTAATAAACTCTGTCATACACTGTTTTGACTGAACCTTTCAATAAGGCAGAAGAATGGATCTGTAGCTGCAGGTAGCAGGATCTAGAATGAAGCAAAGCATTCCTAAGTGTCCTCTTGTATGCAAAAGCAAATGACTGTCTATGTGTTTTGAAGGGACAAAGACTACACTTGGGCTAGTAGTGGTGCCTCCCAGCATTCTGAAAAAATCACTGATTTCTGCCTAACACCACAGCCTGAGACTGAGCATTGGTGCATGGCAGGCAGGCAGAGAGAAGAACCATTGGCTCAGTTGTGAGCTTGTGACACTTGGTGTCATGTACTACTTGTATTGCAAGATGTTGCTCATTTATGATGTTAAAATTTATTTAACATGTTTGGTCATCTTGTGGAACACTCCCAGAGCAAATTACTTGCAGTTCATATTTTTACTGTAAGCCAGGAGTGTTGGTGCACACCTGTAATCCCAACACTCAGGAGGCTGTGGTAGGAGGATTGCTGTGAACTCAAGATGAGCCTGAACTGCATAGTCAGACCCTGGCTTAAAAACAGCAGAAAAAATAAGTTTACATAGGAAAGTGATCACTTTTTGTATTCAGCAAATTTGTTATCACTTATTTAAGGAATTTTTGTTGACATGGATTTTGCTACATAGAACATGCCATCAGTGAACAAAGCCTTTTTTCCCAATGTGTATGCCTATGACTTCCTTTTCCTGTTTTAAGCCACTAACCAGGGTTTACAACACAATGTTGAAAAGCAGTAATGAGAGGAAACATCTTTGCCTTGCTTCTGATCTTAGAGGTAAAAATTCTGTGTGATAAATAATACTAGCTGGAAATACTCCTTACCAAGCCATGACAGTTCACCCCTCTTATGGTTTAGATCTAAAATGTTCCCCAGATGTCTCACGTGTTCAGAGGTGGAGCTGTTGGAACCGACTGGGTCCAAAGGAGTATACTCTCATTAGGTGAGGGCCTGATGGAAGAGGTGGGTCACTAGGGGCAGGACCCAGAAAGGTGCATTTTTGTCTCCCATTCTTTTTGCTCTCTGCTTCCTGGCTGCCCTGGTTTGAGCAGCTGTCTGTACCAGGCCCTTCCATCATGCTGTTTCTTCCTTGGAGCCAGCTGACCTGGAACTGAACCATCTGAATTCTGAGCCCAGTAAACCTCTCCTGTATGCTGCAGGTGTCAGGTATTTTGTCCCAGTGATGGGAAAGTGGTCAGTACAACCTCTAATGCCTGCTTGACTGAGTTTTTATCATGAATGGGTGTTGGGTTTTATCCCAAAAAAAGTGTTGGTATTATGTGATTTTTCTGTAGCCTATTGATGTGACAGATTACAATGATTAATTTCTACTGTTGAACCAGCCTTGTATACCTGGAATAAAGCCCACTGTGTTGGGATGTATAGCTATTTTAGTACTTTGTTAGGTTCAGTTTATTAATATTTTGTTGAGGCATTCTGCATCTGTGCTCAAGACAGATACTAATCTATAGTCTCCTGTGATGTCTTTGTTTTTAGTGTAGGATGATACTGTACTTGCCGCATAAGATACGTTAAGAAGTATTTGCTGTTTCTGTCTTACAAGTATAGAGAATTATTACCATTTCTTTCTTAAATATTTGGTAAAATTCACCAGTGAAACCATTGGGCCTGTACATTCTGAAGTGAGAATAGTTTTGTTTGGTTTTTTTGTTGTTTTGTTTGGGTGTTTTGTTTTGTTTTGTTTTTTGTCTTTTCGAGACGGGGTCTTGCTATGCAGTTTAGGCTGACCTTGAGCTCACTTTGTGGCCCAGGCTGGTCTCAAACTTGCAGTGATCCTCCTGCTTCAGCCTCTCAAGTGCTAGGATTACAGGCATGAGCTGCCATGCTCAGCCAAGGTTGTTATGGACTCAGTTTCAGGCATAATCAGATTGTGTGTTTCGACAGTTCATGTTCTTGAAGGAATGTGTTCATGTTATTTAGGTTAATGTCCATAAGGGCTGAAGTGATAATTCCCTTTTTTACTGCTAATCTTAGTAATGCGTGTTCTTTTTTCTTAGCCTGGTTATAGAGTTATCAATTTCACTGATTTCCCACCACTACCACCACCAAAGAACTAGATTTTAAAAGCAGCTTTTGTTTTCATTGATTTTCCCTTTTGATTTCTTGGCTTCGATTTCAAGTTTCTTTGCTTTTTGTTTTCTTTTCATCTGCTCCCTTTGAATTTAATTTGCCTTTCATTTTCTTATTACCTAAGCTTGAAGCTTAGATATTTGATGTTAAAATCTTTTCTTTTCACATCCATTCAAAGGCTATAAACTTCCCTCTTAGGCACTGCTTTCACTGTATCCTACAAATTTTCAATTAATTCAAAGTATTTTAGAAGTTTTCTTGAGATTTCTTTTTTGACTTGAGTGTTATTTAGAAGTGTTTAGCCACTTAACTGAGGATGCAGTTAAGTGGCAGAAGATTTGCCAGACATGTGCAAGGCCTTGCCCACAGCTCACCAATACCACCACCAAAAAAAGTTCTATTTTTGGAGGGAGGGGAGTTTTTCTAGTCGTCATTATGTTATTGATTGTTCATTAGTTCCATTATAATTGAAGAAGAGACATACTATGCTTTCTATTCTTTTAAATTTGTTAAGGTATGCTTTATGCCCCCAGGATGTAGTCTGTTTTGGTGTATATTCCATGTGAACTTGAGACGAATGTATATTCTGCTAGTTTTGGGCAAAATAACCTATCAATAACTGATTGTACCCAGTTAATTGACTGTGATACTGAGTTCTGTGTGTCTTTACTCATGTTCTCCCCATAGAGTCAGGCCATTTCTCATAGAGGAGTGCTGAAGTCTCTGGTCACAAATTGAATTCATCTAATTTTTACCTATTGTGTTGTTTTTGCCTTATTTATTTTGATGTTTTGTTAGGCACATACACATGTTGACCCATCTGTTTCTTGGAAAATCAACCCCTTTATTGTTATGTACTACCCTTCTTTATTACTGATAACTTTTTTTGCTTTGCAGTCTGCACTATTTGAAAGCAATATAGCTATTCCTGCTTTCTTTTGATTTGTGTTAGGAGTCGTTGTCTGTCACAGTCAGTTTGTGCTGCTATAACATCATAGACTGGATAATTTATTGTGGAGGGTGTTGGCCAGTGTAGAGAACCCTTTCCCGTCCTTGTTGAGGTCCAGGCAGGTTTATATTTGTAATCCTGTGGAGAAGTTACTGGAATGTTAGTGATTTAATTCCAATCTACCACTTCCGTTGCAACCCAAGGCAAGAAGAAAGACACTAAAGACATATATATACAAGTTGTGGGAAGCCAAGAGGTCCTACATCCAGCCAAGATGATGGTCACCGGAACAAATGCCACACCCAGAGCCCAGCCTGAGCTTTATTAATTCTCTATGAGGGGAGTGAATCGGGATCAGTGAGGGTGTCTGGGGTCGGGTCACTGTGACTGCAGTGAGCTGGGCGAAGTAGGAGGTCTGAGGTCACCTCTGAGATATGCAGAGGGCAAGGAATGTAGAGAGAGCAATCTGCATAACACAGCTGAGCCAGTGTCCAGAGATTTGGGTCAGTGCTTCAGTTCTGATGTCCCTCAGGTAGTGTGGAGCACAGCTGTCTTTCCTGCCAGTTCAGTCACGTATTTGGGGAGTCAGTGGGTGGGGGTAACATTGACTATGCTTCAGAGATTACCCATCAGCTCTTCAGCCAGCCCCATTTACATTGCTTAAAGCCAGTTGAAGGGACAAAGAAATAGCCTAACAGTTCTGTGCATAGCAGTACGTGGAGATGGGGCCAGGTTTATCCAAAATGGAGACAGTTGCTCTTCTTTTCAAGGAGAGCCCTCTGCACCATCCCCCATGGGCCAGAGATCCATATGTAATGGAAATGCAGAGGTAGGGGACTTCCAGAGCCACACCCAAAACCTCCCAGAATGTGAATACGCGGTTATAGATTAGAAGATGATCTGCAACGCCACAGGCCCAGTAGGATCAAAGCACACTGCCTTAAGGAATGAATGCTCTGCCCTCTCCGCCCTAGGGTCAGTCATGTAACAGTCCACAGGGACCTTCTCCTGTGCTCCCCCTAGCTTCCCTGCATGAATTTGCACAGACCTCCTCCTTTTGTCCTTGCCCTTGCTTCCTGGCCCTCAGTAAAAAGCCACTGGAGCTTTCCATTTGGGGCTATTTCCTGAGACTCACACTGAGGGGTCTGAGGTAAGGCGGCCCTCTGGGCCTTAAGGGTTTGAATTGGACATTGACTCCAAGTAGTCTGTCATCCTTTGCACCATGCCACGGTTGTGAACTGCAATAATTTACAAAGAACGGAAATTTATTTCCTCAGTTCTGGAAGACAGGAAGTTCAAGATCAAGCACTAGCCCTGTGGGAATCTGGAGAGGACCCTGGTCTCTTTCCAAGATGGCTCCTCGAACCCTGTGGCTTCATGGAGAACTGGGTCAGTGCTGTTGCTTCCATCAGTAGCCTTTGGAAGGCTACTGATCCCATTCATGAGGACAGAACCCTGAGGATGTAATCGCTGCCTAATCCCATCTCTTCATACTGTCGCCCTCGTAATTAAGTTCCATCATTGGAGCTTGTTACAGGCACCATAGCGTCATCATTTACTTGAGTATAGGCAGCATAGTGCTGGATCTTATTGTATGATCAACTCGGGCATTTCTTTGAGTTGGTGCATTCAGACCATGACATTCAGTGGGATTATTGAGAGAGCAGCATCTACCACATCTGCTACTGCTTTCTGCTTGATTTCTTGTTCTTTGTTTTGTTCTTTGTTTTCATTTGCCTGCCTTTTGTGTTTGTAACTTGAGGATTTAGGACTGTCTTTTCTCTCCTTTCTTAGCATACAAGTTAGACTTGCCCGGTTTTTATAAGTGGTCACCCTGGAGTTTACTAATACATTTCCAACTAATACACTTCACCCCCTGGATCTTTCTTCAGTAAAACAATGCATAATCCTTGCTTGGCTCAGAGGGTTGTTAGGAGCTTTGTTCTCTACCGTGTGCTCCTCGAATTCTTTGTTCCAAGATGATTTTTAGCACAATCTGCTGCCCTTGATGCTCACTCCTCCCTCTTCTCTCTGTTATCACCCAGGCTGTGCCCTGCCTGCTGGCCACCCCTGCCTTCAGGCAAGGGACTTCATCAAACTGAGGGCCGTACTCATGTATTCATGCTCATGTTGAGTGTCCCTGAAAACATCCCCTGCTGGTCATGGTGGTGCACACCTGCAGTCCCAGTGCTTTGGGAGGCTGAGGCAAGAGGATTTCAAGTTCAAACCCAGCCTGGTGTTTTGGAGTTTTAGACCCTGTCACAAAAAGGCCTAGGATGTAGTTCAATGCAGATGCCTTAGATTCAGTCTCAAGTAAATGAGGTACAAACTACAGCACACCGCCTTTCAGTGAGCCTCCAAAATGGAGTGACGACATGGATATGCAAAAAGGAATACATACTTTTGGCCTGGGTGTGGGGGAAGAGATCTTCTCACCATGTTCTCACCACCGTGTTTTCAGGGGGATCCCGTAATTCTGAAAGTAAGACTCGTTTCTGCAGAAGCCCAAGTTTGCAGCCAAGACAGTGCCACAAGCAAGTCACTGCACCTCTGAATCCCCGTTTTTTGGTCAGTAGAATTCACATGACCTGCATGCCTTGGGCAGATATGGTTTCCAGCACTGCGAGGCTGTGTGGTGAGCTGCTTCTGTGGGTTGAGTTGGTTGGGTTTTCCTGAGTTTCTGATGGAGCTCAGGGCTTTGACAGTGTGCTGTAGCCTCAGCTCTTTTGTTTTTGGATGGAGGGTCTGGGTCGCTAAGGTTCTCAGGCACTGCTGGAACTTGAGATCCTCATCCCTCAGCCTCCCAGACTGCTGGGTCACTCGACCAAGACACTGGGCCAAGCCCTAAGTGGACTTTCCTAGCCCACTGTTCTGGGAGCATGGTAATAGCGGGCAGCAAGCCAGCGTCCCGGATCTGTCCTGACTCCTGCTTTTAGGGCGCGGCCTCGTGCTTGTCACCTCACATCGCCAGTTTAGCCGGGAGCAGGACTGAACTCAAGGCCGATGCGACCCGAGTGAACCCTCAGTACAAACCCGTGCGAACCCGCGACCGAGAAGGCCAGGCGCTTCTGGCCGGCAACGTAGGCCAGTTCTCTCGGGCCCAATCCAGATTCACGGCCCTCCGCCCCCTGTGGCACAACCAATCAGTATCTGTCGCTGCAGCGATGCCGCACCCCTCCGCCACCGCCCACTGGCGCGGCCAATCTGCTTCCAGCGCTGAGACGATGCCTCGCCCAGTGGCGCTGGCGGGTCCAGGCAGCCCGGGGGCGGTAGATTGCGGGCAGCATGGTGCACGGCAGGGTCTCCCGGCTGTTGGTGCACGATGTGCGCTTCCCTACGTCGCTCGGGGGCCACGGCTCCGACGCCATGGTAAGTGAGGTTGTCATCCAGCTTGTCCCGCAGCAGGCCGGCCTGCGAGGATGCGGAAAGCTTTGCCCTCGTGGTTCCTGTCAAGTGGGAGCCGCGAGGGAAGAAGCTTCCTGTGTCCCAGGGGTGAAATCAGCAGGAGACCTTGGCCCCGCCTGTCCCACCCCGCCTGTCCCACGATGGGCTTTTCTTCTCGGTGCGAACCTTTAGAATGTCTTGGTTTCGCTTTTACCGTGCACGTTTTCCTGGCAGAGGTCAAAATGCATACTTAAAGTGCAACACTAACAGGGGTTCTGTTGGGCTTCCCCAAGGGGCCCCCGAAACATACCACCGGCTCTCTCCACCAAGAACACGGAGTCAGCAGCGAGGGAGACCAGGAAGCCCTGAGCTGGGAGTTGGAGAGTGGAGGTGGCTTGTCCTGTCTCTGTTGCTCTCTGCTGTGTGACTTGGAGAAGGCCCAGCTTCTGGCCCATCTGGGAAATAGAAGTGGCACAGTCGAGCTGGGAAACCAAACACCTAATAACTGTGCTCAGGGGAGATCCTGGTACCTAGGAACACGCCTAGCAAGCGTTTGTGAGTGCCAAGTCGCCTGCACAGGTCAGCCTTAAGAGCTGCAGTAAAGGCCAGGGATATAGCTCAGCCCCTCCTGGCAAGCGTGAGGTCGTGAGTTGGACCCCGGAATACTTAAAAGACTAAAATAAAGGATGGCTCGAATTTTGACTCCTACCGATGCCGGAGGCCTTTCATGCTTGTTGAGAATATTAGAGGGACTTTTTCCTGCCTCCGGGCCAACTGTCTATCGTTCGCTGGTTGAGACACAGGAGCCCTGTACAGGGACTGCCCAGCTCCCGACCACTGGCCCCTCACAGCGCCCCCTGATCCACTCACGTGGAAATGTCCTGGAAAGGAGGCCATCAGCCCTGTAGAGAGGAATGGGACTGCGGTCAGGGACGCTAATTCTAATTCACCGGGATATTTTTACTTCCTGAGCTGTGTGGATGGCAAACATGCTCACTAGGTTTCTTTGCTCTTTGTCAGCCTGAACTTTCTAAAAACAGGCATCTCAAAAGAATGCCCTTTGTTCTGAGATTAACTTCTTCTTTTTTTTTTTTTCTTTCAATTTTGAAAGTAGTAAAATACAACATTACAAGACAGAATAAAGCCAACTAAGATCGTACAGTGAAATTGGTACAGAACCTCACAGCAGGTTACCGGGATAACAGTAATAGGTATCACAGTATATTTTGTTATCTTTGCAATAGTTGTTCTTTCAATCATGTATATCAAAATAAAATGAAATACAGAACATTATAGAACTTATCAAAACAGAATATTGAATAGAGCAGTACCATTAATCAGAAAAGAGCAAAACAGTAATAAAAATATTTGCCTTCAAAGAAATGGTAGAAGAAAATCCCCCTTATTTGCTATGGTCAACCTCCCAGGATTGCTTAGATTTCTGGTTCCCATTTGCTAATGGGGGGGAGCACAGGTCAAAGGGGTAGGGGAAGTGGGATGTTTGACTCTAGACCATGCACCAGTGGGTTCACTGTTGCTTAGCAGAGAGGCAGCTGGTTGCTTGGTTTCCCAGCTTCATAGGTTCCAACACGGCACGGATCTCAGAAGACACAGGTGGTTCTCCCCGTGAAGGGCCGCAGTCTGCCACACCACTGCCGCTTACCAGGGAGGGGAGGTCAGGTTTCATCTTTCCATTGCTTCCTTCCCTTCTAACCTGGAAACTGCCAATTGGTCTTTAATTCACAGAGTCTCTCTAGCTTTGTCCTTCAGTTCCACTCCAGGAGCAGTGATTGTGCCAAACTAGGTTGGCAGCAGCCCTTGCCACAAGCCAGCCTTTCCCTTAGCCGTCCCCTCACTGCTTTCACTGCCACTATTCCTGCCTGTCTGACATGCGTTACTGTTAAAAAATACCCAGTGCCAGGTAATTTATAAAGAAAAGTGGTTTACTTAGCTCACAGTTCTGGAACTTGGCCCTGGCCCCTGCTCAGGCTCTGATAAGGGCTTGGTGTTGTGTCACAGGATGGCAGCAAAACACAGGATGAGGGGGCACAGAACCAGATGCAGGGAGGACCTGGCAGGGAGACCCAGAGCAGGTGTCTGGCTGACTCTCCAGCTACCCATTCTTACAAGAACTCATCTCATCTCAGGAGAGCTAACCTAGTCCTCCAAAGAGACAGGAATCCACTCAGGAGGAAGTACCCTCCACGGCCTAACCACCTCTTACAAACCCCAGGGCACCATAGTATTGTCATGGGGGACCAGGCTTGAGGATGAGCTGTGGTTGAGAACCAGCCTTAGCTGGTACCTGGCCTGAGAGTCTTCCCTCCCGGATCCTTCCTGTGCTCCCCACTGTAGAAAGCTCCCCGTGGATTTCATCTCACCACCAAGCCTGGTGCAGCCAGAGGACTGAGCCCGCTGCCTGACCTCATTTCCGTCTCCCCCAGGGGCTGAGGCTACACCAGGCACCATTAAGAGTGCTGGTGACCGTGTCTCTCAGCAGTGACCTCCTTAGGCAGGCATAGCTGTGTCCCCCTCGGCCACACGCGCGGTCTCTGATGTGCAGCTCAGCGACACAGCAGCCTACACTACCTGCCACAGCGGGCTTTGACACAAAACTTGGGCTTCCCTCTATCATGCACCCCTCCTTCCCCGCCTCACACCCAACGCCAGCTGAACACAGGGACTGACATTCTGCCTGCATTACTCCCAGGCTAGGACCTTGGGCAAGTTACTAACCGTCTTTCAAACTCGCTTAAATGGGAACCTAGCACTACTTTATAATATTGAAGCGACAGTTAAATGAAATAATGCGAAACTCTCTTTGGGGTTGGTTTGTTTGACTTTATGTTTTGTTTTGAGACAGTGTCTCATTATATAATTCAGGCTGGTCTTGAACTCACTTTGTAGCCCAGACTGGCCTCAAACTCACATCAATCCTCCTGCCTCAGCCTCCCAAGTGCTGGGATTACAGATGTGTGCCACCACTGCTGGTGTAAGGTGAAATTCTTTGAATAATGTGCCTTGTCCTCTAAAATATTATATAACTGGTTGAGGCAGGAAAATCATAATTTGGAGCCTAACCTAGACAATTTAGTTACCTGGCAAGAGCTGGTCTCAAAAAGAAAAAAACAAAAAACAGGGCTGAGGATGTAGTTTGGAGCAAAGAGCAAAGGTCCTGGGTTCAATCCTTAGGACTGAAAAAAAAAAATACATATATATATGTGTGTGTGTGTGTGTGTGTGTGTGTGTGTGTGTGTGTATACCACTAATAACAATGACAACGATCCTCCTAGGCCTGTGCAGAACTCTTTAGTGGTCGCCGCCTCCATTCTGCCCGGCTGCCCAGGGTGCTGCTCGCTGCCCTCGTGCTGCCTGTTGTGTCTGGCCGCCTTCACCTCCCAGCCTGCGCCCCACCACCTCTGGCCCTGCCCACGGAGCTGGGGTTGATTGCTCCCTTGCAGAGCTGTCTCCACCAGCCTCTGCCCAGCCAAATGCTCTGTGCTCCGCAAGACACTTCCCCCAGGTTCTGCTTCCTCTTTGCTCTTTCACCCCTGAACCTCCGAGTGTTTATAACTGACCGTGCTTTGGTGCAGAACCCTGTGTTCTCTTAGTTTATTCTCTCCTGGCTTTGAGTCTCAACTCTTTTCTTCCCACTCTATGAAAAGTTTCCCCCATATTATTCAGCCTTGCTGAGTTTCCTAACAGTTAAATAATAAATACCAAAATACTGTTTGAAGCCAGGCATGGCAGTACTGAACCTGTAATCCCAGCTCAGGAGGCTGAGGCAGGAGGATCAAAAGTTTGAAGCCAAAAAAAAAAGTTTGAAGCCAAGTCAGCTTGGACCACTTAGCGAAACCCGCTCTAAATTAAAGGCTAAGGGTGTAGCTCGGTGATAAGTACTTCCCTTGCATGCATGAAGCCTTTAGTTCAATCCTCAGTAGCTAAACAAAGCAACCCCCAAAACAAAACAAATGCTATTTGATGGTAAAAATCTAAAATCACCTAGAGAAAAAGGGCCGTCTACAGCATTACATCTTCATTCCCCCTTGGGGTCTCTGAACTAGCACTGTTGTCTTGTTAGCCCTGTTGTAAATTGCCATGGTGAAGCTCAGTTTTATTTAACAGCTTTCTAAAGCATTGGCTTGCTCAATTTGAAGCTGCTTGTGAATGGAACTCTGTCCAGAGAGCTGCAGTTAAAAATTCCTGGCTTTAAAATTGAGCTGAATACTAGTTACACACTAGCAATAAAGACGTCTGCATTGCTAAGCAGGGCGGCACACTCCTATCATCTAGGCACTCAGAAGGATGAGGCAGGAGGATCCCCATGTAGTTCAGGCCACCCTGAACTATACAAGACCCTATCTCAAAAACACCAAAAAATTAAATAAAAATGTCTACATTTGGGGATGGGGGTGGAGCTCAGTGGCAGAGTGTGTGCTTAGCATGTGTGAGGTCCTGGGGTCAACCCCAGCATGCACACACTTGCTTGCATCATATATGTATATATACATGTATGCACCTTGCACCTGCTGGCCCTTTCAAAGCTCTTGGTTTCCTTTAGGCTCCTCAGCTGTCCCTGAGCTGGGAGTCCTGTTCGGTGTCCCATGTTGCATTTTCTATTCTTGTGTATTCTTCTCGCATTTATTTTTGCGTCTCTCATGTTTGCATTTTGGGGGGACTCCTCTCCCGCAGCACACGGACCCTGACTACTCGGTAGCCTACGTTGTCCTGGAGACCGACGCAGAGGACGGGCTCCGGGGCTGCGGGCTCACCTTCACCCTGGGAAAGGGCACTGAAGTGGGTGAGTTGAGCATTTTCTTGAGGTTCCTGGATGCTTCCTTTTCACTTAGAAGCCAGTCCTGATCTGCCCTTTCTTTGTATTTACTGATTGAGGGGAGTAAACAGTACAGATGGTTTGTTATTTATTTTGTGGGGAGAAATTACAAAGTGAGTGCATTTATAGCCTGCTGGAATCCACGCATTTTTTTGTGTCAGATGGTAACTACCAGAGTGTCTGCCACTGCTTTAACTCTTGACTGACATGGAACCTGGAGCACGTGATGCAGGCAGGTGACCATGGGGAGCAAGAGGACGCAGCTGTGGTCTCACCACACCAGGCTCACTGTGCGTGCAGTGAGGCTGCTCAGTTCTCAAGTCAGCAGGCTGAGCAGATCCCTGGGGTCCGTGTACACATCATCGTCCCCCTGTCCCACTTTCCTACACCAAGACAGTAGACATAGTAAAACATCCCTCAGAGCTGGACAAGAGCTCAGTGGTGACGTCAAACCCCCCCCCCCATTCTTTACAGACAGGGAGACTGAGGCTTAGACAGCAACTCAGGAGTGGCAGAATCTGACTCCAAAACACACCATCTCTAAAACAGTTAAACACGCCTTGTTTGTGCACATACCACCCCATTGTCCACACTGAAGAAGAACAAAGTCAGCCTGCATGGTGTCAGATTCATGGTGTGCAGGGCCAGAAGCCAGTGTGGCAGGCTGGAGAGTGGGGATCAGGAAGGGGAACACAGGTGTCTACCTGTGTGACAGTGTCACGCCTCTGTCCTGGAGATTTGCATTGTTAGCCTGCTCGATAGCAGTAGGTAGAAGTCTTGCCCTACTGAAAGATTTAATATTGTCCAGCAGATGAAAGATGTGTGTGTGTGTGTGTTGTGTGTTAGAGCGGGGGAGGGAGGGAGAGAGAGAGAGACAGAGAGAGAGAGAGAAAGAGAAAAAGAATGAACAACAAAAGAGGCTTGCAAGTCTTCCAACAGCTGCTGCCATCGTGGCTGCAGTCTTAGCTCCTCCTGGGCAGGCAGATCAGCCACCTCCTGCCTCAGTGGTCTGCAGACCTCCCTGGAGGATGGCTGAGTATCAGGCTGTGCTGGGCACTGCAGAACTTAGTGGAGGGAAAGACACAGAAGACAGCAGAACAGACAGAGGAGCACTGAAACTTATTACAGAGACAGGACCATAGTGCAGTGTAAGGCGCTTTAAAAAGCGCCTCCAACTTGTCCAGAGAGAGGGTCCTTCCTTCTTATCTTATTGGGGACCTGGCCAGGATTCCCAACTACTTGTATGAGGGGTACAGCAAAGGATAAAATAAGAAACAGAGACAAAGTTAGTAAAGCATGGTGGGGGGCTGGAAGGTCAGTGCCTCAGGATGGGCAAAGCCCCAGATCCTCCAAGCCAGACACTGTTTAGTGGTCAGTGGGTGTACACAACGAATCCAAGTACTCCAGGAGGCTGAGACAAGAAGATAACACATTAACAAGATTCTGCCTCAAAATACAAAAAATTTTAAAGGCTTAGGATATAGCTCAACATAAAGGCTCTGGGTTCAACTCTAGTACCTTACACACACATGTGTACACACACACACACACACACACACACACACACACAGTTCATATCACCACTTATCCAGGTCTTTCTCAAGTTACCTGACCAGTCTTTTAGGGCAGAGAGTAGAGAGTGGAAGATGTTTTCAAATGTATAGAGTAGACCGATGTTTTTTGTTGATTGTTTTTCCTTTAGACGATATCTTTATTGAATTTACTTAATTATTCTTTCTTCCCTTCCTTCTTACTTTTTCTTTCTTTCCATGTCCCCACCCTGTCTGTCTGTCTATCTGTCTCTCTCTCTCAGCTGAATCCAGGAGTTCACACTGAGCTACACAGCCTTTTTAAACAGTTTCTGAGTCAGGGTCTTCACGAATCACTGTTGCCCAAGCTGGGCTTAGACGCAGGTCCTCTTGCCTCAGTCTCCCACAGTGACAGATACAGAGCTGTGTACTGTGCTCGGGGCAGTGTGGAGCCGTGTGCTCACCATGCCACACATGCCCGCAGAGCACTGGTTCCTCTCCGAAGCTGATGTACCCCGGCTGTTGCATCAGGTTCATGTAGGCTCAGTGTTGCACATCCTGTGGGTTTGGAAAATGTACAGTCGTGTGCCCAGTGGAGACCAAGCTAGTGTTTGTTTTGTTAAGGTACAGATATAAAAAGAGAAGACGTTTTAAATAGACCAAAATAGGTAGCTTTTAAAGATTCATGTCACAGCTGGGTGGTTTTGTACACACCGTAATCCAAGCTCCAAGAGGCTGAGACGAGGATTTCAAGTTCTAGCCCAGCCTAGACACCTTAACAAATTAGCAAATTAACAAGATTCCATCTCAAAAGACAAAACATTTTAAAGGCTTACGATATAGCTCAGCGTAAAGGCCCTGGGTTCAACCCCTAGTACCATACACACACGCACACACCACACACACACAGTGTCACTGAGTGTCCTTCCAGGGCTGGAGTCCTAGAGAATTAAGGTCCCAGGAGAACACCCGTGGTTTAGTCAGCAAGAAGCCATCTTTTAAGGGCCAAGGTTTTCCAGTTGAATTCCCACTTATCCCATGGAACATGCAGATCTGAATTTCTCTGCCCTGGGGTTAGATCACCACAACCCAGATTTCTATCAAAAGCAGCAGATTTTAGTTAACTCCCTGCAGAGTCTTTGTGTTGAGCAAGGAAAATCCGCATATGACAGATGAATAATAGCAATGTGGCTTCTTCATCCTTTAGGCTGGAAAAGATGAAGTCACCCTCAGCTTTTGATAGATGCATTTGCTACTGTAATGCAAACCATAGGCTGCTTTAGTCAGTGATCTGCAGCATGCTGTGGCTCGTGTTTAGTTGTCCCCCAGAGCCTCATGGGGTCCTAGGTGGGGCTGGATCTCGTGTGTGATGCTGGGATTCATTCCTGGTGCAATCTAGGCTCAAGGGCACTAAGATTTAAGGGTGTGATTGTTCCCTGCCTAAGTAGCCTGGGTGAGATAAAAGGCACCAGAAGGTGCTATTAAGGCCCCTTGTTGCTATTGTTACCCTGTGGGCACCATGGACTGCTTCTCCTCTGCAATGCCCTTCTGCCAAGCTCCCTGCCTCGGAGCCAGCCGACTACGGACCAAAGCCTCTATAAACTGAGCTAAATAAAACTTTCCCTCTTTTACTTTGTGTGTTAAGGAAAAGATAGGAAAAGGGAAGGCATTTTAAACAGACTGAAAAAGGTAGCTTTTAAAGATTCATGTCACAGACGGTTTTGTCTCAGCAACAAAGTCACTAAGACACAGCAGCAGTTTAAACCCATGGGGCCAGGGTTTGGTGCAGATCCTGTAATATCCCTGCCATGTGTCACTGCCTTAATCTTTAGATTTTTTAAAATCCAAGAGCATCAGCCATTATGGAAGGAAGAGGATACCATCTTCACAGTTCTAGGGAGTGAGGCTGGGCATGGTGGCGCACGCTTATAGTCCTATCACTTGGCAGGCTGAGGCAGGAGGATTGCTGCAAGTTCAAGGTCAGCCTGAACTACACAGTGAGATGCAGCCCATCAACAAAAGCCCGAGAGCACCCAGAATGGCTGGTTCAGCCTCGAATCCTACTCCTGTCCACAAGCACAAGCCCAGGTTGCCCAAGAGCCCAAGGTACTACTTCAGAACATTTTCCTCCTGGCATCTGATGGACAGCAAAGCTGTGCCCTATTAGCTATCAACATGTTTATCAAAATACTTTGTAATAAATAAATGCCCTGGGGCTAAGTTGTTGATTCAATTTGATTATTTGGTCATTTACCTGTATGCTAATGTTTTCTGGAATAAGCAAAGACTAAAAGAGTCTTTCTGGTACAGTTTGAGACTGGGCAGCCACAGAACTCCATCGTATCCCACCCCTCTTCATTTTAAATAATGCAATGAAGTCTTTCAAAGCACCAAAAATAATAATGGACAGTAGTGCTGACCAGTTAGCCTTCCGACTACTTATATGAAAAGTAGCTGTCAGGTCATAATAATTCAGTAGTAAGAAGTGCAGTGGGGTTTTGTGTTTGTTTTGTGGTTGTTGTTGTTTAAGACAGGACCTCACTGTGTAATTCAAATTGGTTCTGAGCTCACTACGTAGGCTGGCCTCAACTCACTGTGATCTTCATGCCTCAGCCTCCAAGTATGGGGATTATAGGCTTGCACCACCATGCCTGGCAAGAAGCTCAGTGTTAATGAAGACTGTTTTCATGTACTTTAACATTTCATAAGTGTATGCTAAAGGGAAATTCATTGTATTTTTTTCTTTATGTTTTTCTTTTCAAGTTGGTCCTGAACTTAGTATGTAGCCCAGGCTGACCTCAAACTCACAGTGATCCTTCTGCCTCAGCCTCCTGATTAGAATGACACACCTTGCTTCCTTTCCTCTTTAATACTGTGTGATATTGTAAATTCAAGGCATTTTCTGTACTTGTCAATAATGAAATGACCATTTTTAAAAATCTGTAGGTCAGAATATTATTTCCTAAAAACTTTGAACTGGTAAGGTTTAACTTTGAACCTGATTATCCAAACACTTTACAAAGTAAAGAGGAAAATAATTTGGGAATCTTATTTAAACTCATGATCTGTGGTTCACATGATAACCAGTTCAAATGTATGCGCTCTATTCGGGAAGTGTAGCTCTGCATACTGACCTGCAGCTGGTCTACTTGTGACCTGTTAACTATGGCAAGCGCAGAGAGTGACTCGGGCAACTGGACAAAGCATATACCTTGGAAACTAAACTTTTTGTTTCATAAAAATTAATTTGTGTGCTTTCATGTCTTTTTTTTCTTCTTTTGTTTCTAAGATATGGTCTCACTATGTAGCTTAGGCTGGTCTTGAACTCACTGTGTAGCCCATGCTCATCTCAAGCTCCTGGCAATCCTCCTACCTCAGCCCCCTGAGTACTGGAACTGTAGTCTTGGTTTGTTGACTACATATTAAAACATCAAGAATTGTATCCTTCTCTAATAGTTGTCTGTGCTGTGAATGCTCTCGCCCACCACGTGCTTCACAGGGACCTCAAGGACATTGTTGGCAACTTCCGAGGCTTCTACCGGCAGCTCACCAGCGACGGACAGCTCAGATGGGTAAGGGTGCTATTTTATAAGGAGCTTTTGCACACGGCATTACTGAGGTCTGAGATGTCCTGTGTGAGCTTGGAGATGGGTTTGTAATTTTAAAGTAAAACCTTTCACTCAGATAAACTAGCCCTGGAGCCCCTCAGCTAATTGCCCTCTTGAGGCCATCAGTTCCTTTCAGCAAGGAGTGAATCCAGAGGTGTTTGGAGCCGAGAGCTTTCAGCTCTCCTGTGCCTCCCTGCCCTTTCCCTGGACTGGGAGAAAGTGCCCGAGAATAAAGAGCTGAACGGAAACCTTTTGGGGAAGGAGAATGTGACTAGCATGGCTATCATGGGAGGAGGACATTGAGGGGAGAAACCTAAGCGCAGAATTTGGCAGCGCGGACCATGGTGCCTTTCTGTGTGGGCCGCCATGTGAACCCTGCTGCAGAGCGGCTCAAGTGCAGGTCAGAGGACCGGTTCTAACGGCCAGAGAAATCCAGAATCCCAGCTCTGTCTCGTCTCCTGATGCCTGGTTTGCCCTTTCCTCACTGTGCAGTGTCCCGTCCATGCATAGAGAGGGGCACAAAGGAATGCACTGTCCATATTGCCTTGGGTTTTATTTTTGACTTGCTCCTATAAGCTCAGCTTTCCTTGAAAGAGGCTCCCACTGGCCACATCCAGGGCAAGTGAACCATCGGAATAAATGTGATAGTACTGGTTTACCAAAGCATACTGGATGAGCCCAGGAGCCCACAGAGATCATAACAAGGGAGAGCTCAGCACTGCAGTAGGTACAAGGTAGTGAATACAAGATGAATGCTGATGCCAAGGAGTTGCCATCATGCAGCCATCATAACTGCAGCAAACAGACACGAGTCATCAGTGAACGCAAAACTCTGGGGATGATAGTTATCATTTATTTAGAAAAGGAAGATGGTAACTTCACAATAGAGAAATGGACACTAATTTACCCAAGCATTGCGATTTAGTAACCCTAATAATAAAATAGCATCATCATTTACACAGTATTTAATTGATCTAATGATGAAGGATCTCCAGGCCAGCCCATAATGAGGATGCTCGAGAAGTCATCTGGCCCATACTCTTTAAAAATGTCAATGTGCTTAGAAAAAAAGAAAAGGGATTCAGATTGAAAGACGCTGAAGAGACCTGATGACCAAATGCAGCATGTGTTTTGTAGTTTGGAGAGGGACCGGGACACACTACTGTGTGAGTCAGCTCCCCGCTGCTGCCCCAGTGCCCAGCGTCCACAGCCCAGAGGACAGAGCAGTTACTTGGCTTGTGGTTTCACAGGATTCATCCATTGTCGGCTCCAAGGGAGGAACATCATGGCAGAAGGGCAGGACTGAGCAAAGCCGCTTCACTCATGGCAGCTGGGAAGCAGAGCAGGGAAACAGCATAGGAGAGGAAGCGTCCTGGGACCAGACATAGTACCAAGGGCGCACTCCATGGCTCAGCCGACTCAGAGAAAGTTTGCTTCCCTAATCCCCTAGCTGGCCTCCAGCCTGGCCATGTGCACAGTTAAGCTTAACAACCACAAGTTCATTATCAGGACTGATGATGGACCATGTTTTAGATAATAGTGTTCCATCAATATTAGGTCCTCTGAGAATAGGATCATGGTGCTACAGTTATGTAGGAGGATGTCCTTGTTTTTATTTTTTTAATTTTTTTTTTTTAGCAACTACACACAAAAGTATTTATGGATAAAAAAAGTGCTGTCTGCAACTTTGCTCTCATATAATCCAGAAATAAAGACAGGGGGCCAGGGATTTAGCTCAGCAGCATAGGCACCCACCTTGTAAGCTCATGGTCGTAAGTTTGATCCCCAGTACCAAAACATAAAAATAAATTAAAAAAAAAAAAAAAAAAGAAAGAGGAGAATCAGGGAACAAGTTTGAGTTTTTTGGCTTTTCTAACAAACATTTATTTTTATATAAATTATTTTATATAAACATTATTATAATGTTCTAATAATAAACGTTATTTTTTTTAAATTTATTTTGGGGGTAGGTACTAGGGATTGAACTCAGGACCTCATGTTTGGCAGGCAGGGCTTATGCCACTAAGTTAAATCTCCAGGCCCCCCCCAGGTTAGGAAACTTAAAAAAAAAAGTTGACCTTTAGATGTGTTGCTTTTGCTGCCTTTCAGTTCCTGAGGTGCTTCCCCGGCTGGGAGACCTCAGTGTCTGTCGGTCTGAGAAGTGCTGTTGCTCTTTGTACCCTGCCAGATTGGTCCGGAGAAAGGCGCGGTGCACCTCGCCACAGCGGCGATTCTGAATGCGGTGTGGGACCTGTGGGCAAAGCAGGAGGGAAAGGTAACTCAGCCAGAAGCCCGCCTGTGACTCTGAGCCCCCCAGCGACGCGTGACTGTCACCATGGGCAGCGCTCTGAAGACCAAAGACTAGTGCAGTGCAACTCCTCGAGCAGAAGAATGCAGAGGCTGGGCTCCTTTCTCTCCTAGAGATCTTGGCGCTGCTTAGGAAGTTGCAGGAGTGGATTAGGAAGGGCTGAAAGGGAAAAGGGGGGACCCAAAGGTAAAGTGTCAGGAGGCACAAGTGGGTGGTTCTGACGGCAAGAATTTACCACTAACAAATTTACTAGCAGAACAAAAATGAGTGCTTTATGTATATGATTTTTAAATATTTTTTTTTTAATTCCAGCCTCTGTGGAAGCTACTTGTGGACATGGTAAGTAGATCCTTTTGCATTACAACTGCTTTCTTTCTGTTTGTTTTTGTTTTTGTTTGTTGAGACAGCTTCTCACTGCACAGCTCAGGCTGGCCTTAACTCACAGTGATCCTCCTGCCTCAGCCTCCTGAATGCTAGGATTACTGGTGTGTGACACTATGCCTGGTTTATAGCTGCTTCTAATGAGATAGATTTCCTGGGATATTTGCCTTTGGAGAATCAGTAATATTCAAGACTGTCTGTTAATCACAAATGATAAAGCAAATCCCTGCAAAAGGCAGTTATAATAGCGGTGCCCAGCAAGGCTGGGGGTGTGGTGGGAGGTGAGCTCAGGTCCCGCCCTGCTGCACAAGACGGAGATGCAAATTCTCAGCCTCCACTGCCTGCCAAGGATGGTCAGAACCCCTGTGAACCTCACAGAATCAAAAACCCAATGGAAAAGGAACTTCCTAAACTCAAAAAAGCGATATTACTCGTAAGACATCAGCCCTGCGCCCTGTGAGCGGCCACTGCCCCTGTGTGACATCTGCTGTCCACACACAGGCCCTATTATATGGCACCAAAACAAGGAGAAACCACAGCAGCAGAGGCCTCCAGGACATTGGGTTAGGCGGGCTTGTTCATCCTCTGGGACAGAAGACAGGGGTCTGTCGCATCTGCTCCTAGATACAGCTGGGGTGGTATGGGGATGGCCTGGGCTGACCTGGTGACCTGTCCTCTGTGCTCAGCTGCTCCAGGACCACTCCCAGCCTCTGAGGGGTCACTGAAGGTCACCTCAAGGGCAGGACAGATGTGGAGAAGGAAGCCAGGTGTCACTGTTTGTTTGTTTTGTTCCACTATTGATGTTGCAAAGTCCTCCAGCCTGAGAGCTGGGTAAAAAATATGGAAGGGGACAGGGAGCAGAAGACAGGGAAGGGAACTTAGCACTTGTCAGGGCCAGCAGTGAGCCTCAGAGGACTCCATGCCAAGAGACGACAGGTCCAGACAATTTCACTCAAGTCCCAAAAGCCCGCACGATCCCCGTGGGTCAGCAGAAGCAGCCCCTTAGACCCACAATCTGCCTGCATATTGATCTGGCCTTGCCCCTCCTGTCCTGCTGCCAGGACCCCAGGACGCTGTTATCCTGCATCGACTTCCGGTACATCACAGATGCCCTGACCGAGGAGGATGCCCTGGGTGAGGCTTGCTGGGCGGTGGGACCAGGAACCTTGGGCACCACCCTGGGTGAGGGTGCACCCGGCAGCTGTCAGCTCTGCTGGATAAACAAGTGAGGACAGTCTTTGTTGTTTGTTTTTCAGAAATACTGCAGAAAGGCCAAGTTGGTAAAAAAGAAAGAGGTGGGTTGGGAAGCAATTTCCTTCCACCTTAGTTGTCCACTTGCAGGTGCCCCTGCTCCCTAGATGTGACCTGTCCTTTGGGATGCTTTGCACCAAGCAGCTAGCTACACTGTCAGCTGGATGTGTGGGTCTTGGCCACCAGGGGACATCTGGGCTGCAGGGTCATTTCAGCCACTGCTCCCAGGAAGCTGGGCTCTAGGGTTGCACTGTGGGGCCCTCAGTGGGTATCCTGGTCACTGTTACACCTCTAGGGGCCTGGGCCAGTGGTGTGTGCATGTGAGAGGCACCCAGGGGAACAACTGGAGGGTCTACGGGCATCGACTTAGCTATAGGCTGTTCCAATGGCAAAGTTCCTGGAAAGCACAACATGTTGAGTGTTCCTGGACATGGCGGTATAGATCTATAATCCTAGCACTCGGGAGGCTGAGGCAGGAGGATCACCTCGAGTTTGAGGCCAGCCTGGGCTACATCGTGAGTTTAAGGCTGACCTGAACTACATAGCGAGACTCTTTCTCAAACTGCACCACGCCCACCACCCGCCCCACTGCAAGAAAATCAAGTCCTGTCTTTTCCAGAAGAACAAATACTGACACATGGTTATCCTGCCTACACCACGTCGTGTGCCTGGCTCGGATACCCGGATGACTTGCTGAAGCAGGTGGGCTGTGTACCGGGGTTTTGCAGACAGGCTAAAGGGGGGACAGCAGACTGATTTTCCGCCCAGGCTCACAGCATGAGGATCATGGGTCACTTCTGACACAATGTGTAGGCTCCAGGGACACCAGTGGGCATCCTGCAGATTCATTCAGCTCTGAGTGAGGTCTGCTGGGAATTAGCATCAGGCCGTAGGGTGAGGACTCACCTCCCAAGTCAGCCCCCCTTCAGATGCCGGTCTCATGCATCCATGCTGGCACTTGAGTTTCTGAGCCACTGGCTGGAGCACAGCTCCCCTCGGGGCTCCCTTGAGTCTGACCCTGGGCCAGAGTGGCTCACAGAGCTCAGGGAAACCCTGACTTATGGTACTGGGTGCTGTCAAGGTGACAACTCAGGCAGCACCGCACAGGGGTGATTGGAACCTCCGTCCCTTCTCTGGACACTGGGTATCCCGACACATTCACCAGTCCTAGAGCTCTCTGGACCGAGTCTTTGTGGAATTTTACAGGGTGTCTGTAAGTACACAGGTTGATGACATTGTTAACCATTGGCAATCAACCTTCAGTCCTTCTGCCTCTCTGGAAAGCACATGGCAGCCAGCATGGCTCATTTATTACTCCTTCTCATCATAGTGTTTTATATAGAGTAGAGAGAGACAGAGATGAAGCCACAGACGCTGGCTACTGCTGGCTACTCTTATATCCACCAGTTCTCTGGGTGCCCCAGAAAATGCTAAGTTTAAAAACAGGGACACGGGATGCTGGGGATATGGCTCAGTAGTATAGCACCTGCCCGGCAAGCACAAGGTCCCATTACCAAAACAACAACAACAAAACCCCAAAAAACAGACACTGCCAGGCGTGGCCCCACATGTCTGTAATCCCAATACTCAGGAAGCTGAGGAAGGAGGATTGATAGGATTATTTCCAAAAGATGAGAAGTATAAAGCAAAAAGCGGCCTTTATTCTGAGAACACGGAGAGAGATGACCGGCACTCCCCACCCCCCACACCCCCCACTGGAGTCCGGCGATCCCCCTAGCGGACACGTGGCGTGGGGGTATGTAAGTAGCCTCGGTTTGGGGTGGAACCTAAGAGGGCATCAGGGATGCACGGGTAGCCCATTGGTCCTAGGTTTGGCGCCATAGGCAAATTCCCAGGGGCGGGAAGCCGGCGTCACAGGTAAATTCCTAGGGGCGGGGAGAGAGGGGCTTCCTGGTTCCGGTCTGGGCCAAAAGCCTTTCAAGGATCACTGCAAGTTCAAGGCCAGCCTGGGCTACATAGTGAGTTGAAGGCCAGTGAGACCTGATTCAAAACAAAACAGACACGGAGAGGCTCACGCTCCATACTCCTTCCCTTCGGAAATGTTGTGACAGTGAAAGGGATGGTTTCCAGAGAGAGGGTGAGGAGCCACCCTGCAAGAAAGAGCGAAGCTGTGCTGGCCAGGCTGTTTCTCCCCCTGATCTCAACAACACGTGGTTGTTTCTTTGGTTTACGCAGTGTTCATAATGTTCGTGGAACCCAAATCAGAGAGCAGTGTGTTATGTAAACTGTGAATGCAGTGACAGGTCCTCCCTTCCCCCACAGCTCTGCGCCGCGGCCCTGAAGGACGGCTGGACCAGGTAAGTCACCCTGTCATGACTCTCCCAGCCTGCTTAGCAGCAGGAAACCAGGGACTCAAAAAGCCAGAAGGAAAAAAAAAAAAAAAAAAAAAAAGCCAGAAGGAGTCTGGCACGGAGGTTTAAAAAAAATGCAGTGCAGAAAGGTGGGGCGAAAAAAGCATCTTGACATGGCCTCACCCAGCGCATTCCCTGAATCTGCTGCCGGCTAAACCCAACGACCAGGAAAAGGCAATGTTTTGAATTGATTTGGGACAATGAGGCAGCCAAGTAAGGACACTGATGAAAGAGGACTTCCTGAACGGTTTCAGACAATAGAAAGAACAATGGAATGTGTGTTGAGGCCAGTGGGAGTATTTTGAGAATCAGAGCAGTGTGCCTTTTTACTGTAATAAAAAAAATTTTGGGGGGGTCTTTTTCGTTTTTATCGGTATCAGGGATCGAACTCACGACTGTCTGCTTGCAAGGCAGGTGCTTATGCCGCTGAGCTAAATCCCCAGCCCCTGTAATAAATTATTAATGTAAATATCCAGCCTGTTTGTCAGTTACCCTTCCTACATGATTGACGCTGAGTGTATAGTCATGCAACGTGCCGCGCTCAGGCCAGGGACTCTCCGCTGAGGGCAGGTCCCCAGGAGCCTCTATGGTGGCCACAGCTCAGAGCACAGCTAGACATGAAGCCAGAGTGGGCAGCTCCTTTCCACGCATGTGTAGTGGGAAGAGACCTCAGCAGGGGCCTCAGCTGCCCTCTGCTTTCCTTGGAATGTGACCAGGTCTGCTCCTGGCCTCGGGCCCCTGCACCCAAGGGACCCATGTCCTATGGCCTTCCTCCCTAGGGGCTCGCTTAAGACAGGCTCTTCGGGTGCCAGGCTGTAAAACAGAGAGATGACTTATAAATGAGCCTCTTTTCATTGAGAGTGCAGCATGGGACTCGGCATCCCTGTCATGCCACCGTCCCCTTCGGTTTTGCCTATTTACCGTCCATGCTGCTAATTCCTCTCCATGAGACCACAAAGGCCTGGGTCCTGGTACTGAACATCTGACCTCCCTGGGCTCCTCACCTGCGGGCCGCAGTGACTGAGAGTCACGGTCCCTGCAGAGTGGAGCTGAGACCTGCAGGTTATGATCTAGGGACGCGGCTGACATTGACTGGGAAAGAGCTGGGAGGGAAGGTCACAGGAAATGTGGCCCGTGAATTACTGCCCAGTCTGAGGACCGAGCTAAATGAGCTGACCAAATGTGCTTCTAGGTTCAAAGTGAAGGTCGGTGCTGACCTCCAGGACGACATGCGCAGATGCCGCCTCATCAGAGACCTGATTGGACCCGACAGGACTTTGGTAAACACCGTCGCACACCACAGAGAAAAGGCGACCTGGCATGTCTTTGTCCAGGCCCAGAGCACACCTCATTTCAGATATCTGAAGAACCTCAGGGGTCTTAAAAATCTTGTCAGATACAGTATGGCTCTGTGGTCTTGCAGTCGGTGACTGTAAAAGGAAACAAAACACCAACACATAGTGTCTAATACTTTTGAGTTTTTTTAATTCTGCAGAACTAGTTAAATTCGATTGGGATGGAGGAGGGGTCCTGTTTTCTCATGCAGGTCTCCCATTGGCGCCCTGGCGTGTCAATCATCAATCTGCGGGCTCTTCTTCAGGCCATGCCTTTCAGGGAGATCCTGCTGAAGTATTGAAACTCCGACTGAGATAAACATAAGGATCAGCTGTTCCTGATCCTGATCTGTATTTTTGTGAGATGGTTCTTATTAAGTGTCAAATATTTTCCAAAAAAAAGCAGCGTGTGTGGTGGTGCAAACCTATAATCCCAGCATGCTGGGAGGATGAGGCAGGAGGATTACAAATTCAAGTCTAACCCGGGCAACTTAGCAACTAAGCAAGACTCTGTCTTAAAATTAAAAGAAAAAAATTTTAAAAAGACTGAGGATGTAGCTCTGTGCCAAGGTCCCAGGTTCAAAAAGTTGCAATCAGATGTATTCATAAAGCTTTTGAGGCTCCTTCATAAATGAAAATTCAAGATTGGAGTCTTGATGTAGGACCAAAGTCCCATAATTGATACATGAGTTAACGCTGCTTTTGTTTCATGAAGTCATTCTCTCTCAGATAACTGGTAAAACTTTGTTCCAAGCGTCCCATCTTGCGGTTCTCAGAGTTCTGGGGAACTCTTACCATTTAGCACTTCCCATAACCTCCCATTTCCTCATCTGTCCCATCAGGCGTTGCAAGGTTGATGATCGAGGGGAGGGGAGACACCCTCACCCAGTGCCTGACTGTTGGGCCAGGTAGCAGCAGGCAGAGAGCCAGGTCATGGACCTGGACTTGAGCTCTCCCCTGGCCTGAGCAAGTTACATCTCTGGGTGTCTCTTTCCTATCTGTGAAATGGTCTAACTCCGTCTTCCTCATGGAGTTCTTGTGAGCATTAAATGAGACAAAACCCATCCGGTGGCCAGGGGAACACGGGCTTCATTAACAATAGCTGTTCATTAATGTGAGCCAAACTCAGTGTTAACTACGTGAGACTCAGTGTGTGATAAAATGGTCCCAACTGGGCTAGGGATATAGCTTGGCAGCACAAGTACCTGCCTGGCAAATGCAAGGCCCTGAGTTCAAATCCTGGTACCCCCAAAAAGGTCCCAACAAACAGAGCTGATGCCATGAGACACAGGTTTCTGGGGAGCAGCTTCCATTAAGGCTGCGCGCTGGGTGTCAGAGTCAGCTGGGGCTCACCCTCACCAGGAAGGGGCTCTCCCTGCAGATGATGGATGCCAACCAGCGCTGGGATGTGCCTGAGGCAGTGGCGTGGATGTCAAAGCTGGCCGAGTTCAAGCCGCTGTGGATCGAGGAGCCCACGTCTCCTGATGACATCCTGGGGCACGCTGCCATCGCCAAGGTAGGAAGACCACTGCTTGTGCCACCCGGGCTGGTGACTTTCGGGTTTAGTTTTTCAGAGTGGTCACAACAGACCCCAGCATTTCTGCACTTGCTGCCTTTCACATTTCCTGCTGGTGCAGCTGCAGCCATTGCAATAGGGGACAGGCGGGGGGCTGCAAACCTGATGTCCCAGGTCCACTGCACCACTGCCTGCTGTAGATGAAGTGAGTCACTGAAAGCTGCAAGGTTACCAGACTCTAGTTTAACAGACATGGTCCCCATGCTTTTAAGTATAGAAATGTGGCTGATATTTGAATATAGATGGCCTCTGATTTATGACGGTTCAATGTAGAATTTTCCTATTTTATGAGCGTACCTTGTTGATATGCAAATTGTAGAAAGCATAATTCATGTTTTATTGTTTTGTTTTGTTTGTTGTACCAGAAATTGAACTCAGGACTTTAGGCTAGCCAGACAGGTGCTGTGCCATTGATCTATATCCCTGGCCCTAGTTCATATTTTAGGGAACAACCAAGACTTAGTCTTGCAGGGTCCTGTGTGGCTCAGCCATGATGTTTGGTGGATCACATGTTAAGTGCGTTCTCTGCTTATGATCCTGTCTGGGTAGCAGTTTATCAGGATATAACTCCATTGTCAGTTGAGGTGCAGCTGTAGTTACTCACCCAGAATGAAACAGTGCAGATTCCTCCAGATGACACTAAAGAGGATTTGCTTAGCCACTGGCAGAGCCAGGCTTTCCAGAGATAAAGTAAAGCTGTCTATTTCCCATGAGCCCTTGGGACAAATTCATACTCTCTGGAGTTGCCTCCCTCCCTTTTGGGTTGTAGAAGAAGCTGATACATCAGAACATGTGAGGAACCTCTCGTGGGCAGGGAGGCTCCTATTGCCTTGGCTTACAGTCCTGATGTACAAAGTCACAATGTCACTCAGTTAATTTGTAATTTGTACCAGACTGTAACTCCTAGGGTTGTGACCCTTGGCCCAGAGCAAGCTCCATAAGAAGCCATGAGTGTACTGCAATCAGGGCAGAAAGCTGGTTATGAAATTCAAGGATGGCTCAGTGTGGCCGTCCTCAAGTTCAGACTGCTTGCTTCTGCCCACGGAGTTGCTGCCCCGTTGCTCCCTTGGCATAGGCCCAGCCAGCCTGTGTCTTCTGCTGCCCCTTCTGTGTCTCTGAACCTTTTCCTCCCTGGGGTGCGAGGTCAGAGGCTCCAGGCTGGTTCTTCTCCAGCTGTCCCGGCAGATCAGTGTAGGATAGACTGTAGGTCAGACACGCCCCACAAGCCTTTGCTTCAGGAACACCCTCCTCACCCAGCTAGGCCTCTCTGGAAGGGAAAAACTGAGACATAAGACAGAGATGGGTGGGAGCAAGACCTGGGCCACTGAGTGCCAACTGCAGTAGAAGAAAGCTCGTGGTGGACGGGGACTTGGGGATGGGGACAGTGGAAGGTGGCCTCATGGCCTGGGGAGGGGAGGCCTGAGCTGATTATAAAGAACACCATTCTACAGCTGAGGGAATGTGGGCAGGAGCCATGGGACAACCACAGCCACTTTTACTGAAACAGAAGCTGAGAGGGGAGCCTGGTGGCAGGATGCTGTTGGCTGAGGCAGGAGGCTCTCCTTAAGTGAGACTAGCCTGGATTACATAGAGTTCAAAGCCACTCTGAACTACATGGTGAAATCCTGCTTCAAAAACACACACATACAGAGCAAGAGAGAGAAACAGAAGCCAAACCTTCTGAGAAATCATTGCAGTGGGTGTGAGAGACAGAAGTCATAGGTCAACAAGACTCCTCCCTTGGGCCCGCTCACCCTTGCTCCTTAAGGTTCCTGGGGTAACAGAACCTGCAGAAGACGACTCTGGGTACTGAGCCAACCTCTGCCCACCTGGAGAGTCACCTTGGTTTTGCCTGCATAGTGAAGGAAGGAAGGGACCAATGAGCCAAGGCCAGCTATGGGGTCAGCTGCTCTCTGCGGGGCAGAGGGAACAGTTCCGTGCAGAGCACAGGAGGGGGAGGTGCCATCGTGGCTCCAAGGGTGCTGCCCCACAGAGGTAGCCACTGCAGGACCCTAGATGAGAGGACACCATTGTCCAGTGCATTGAGATAGGGGCTGTAGATGGTGAAGAGTGGGCAGAGGAAACTGAGGCAGGGCTAAGGCTGGAGGAGGAAACTTGGTACCCAGTGAGTGCTGGAAATACTGCCTTAATCAAATAGCCTCTCTTCCCCTTCCCTCCTCAGTTTCTGTCTCCTTTTTCTCTTTTGAGACAAAGAACCAAATTCAAATTAGAAATTTCAGGAAGCATAAAGTGTTAGTGCGAGAAGGTACATTTGAGACCTTTGGCTGAAACAGAGACTTCCTGTAGTCAGGAAAGCCAGGCCCTGGTGGCTCTGCGTGCCCTGTCCATGCCCACACATCCCACCCCAGGGAGGATCCAGATCTGAGTCAGGGACACCTTGGCCCGCAGTTACTTCACTGAGAAGTTGGCATAAGCCAGCGACCCAGAAGTCTCCTCCGGCTCTGGCGTCAGCCTGGGGACAAATAGCTCTGTGACCTGACTGGGAGGTGCCCGTACACTGCACTCCTCATCTCCGTCTGTGAAGTGCAGACGCTGACAGCTCCTTTCCCGCCAGGCTGTGAGCAGGAATTACACACAAGTGTTTTCACAGTACCTGACAGGCAGCGAGGGCTCCAAGTGTGTCCCTAGGAAATGGAAGGAAACCGAGGCAGTCACCAAGGAAGCCCGAGGTGGGCAACTGGGGGGTCACGGCCAGTGGAGCCCAGGTGGCAGCGAGGGATATGGCTTTCCAGGGCCAGGCAAGTGGACCAAGTCCAAGCAAAAGTTCCAGCATCTCAGTGGATCTGTTTCCCACAGAGTGGCACAGGTAAGGGTTTTGGAAGTGACAGAGGCATGAGAAGGTTCTAGAATAATAGATGAAAGGGTCAGAGACACAAGGGAACAGAAGGGAACTTCAAGAAGTGGTAAGCAGAGGTTGACAATGAGTCCTCAAAGAGCCACCAAGCGGCCTGCTGTGTCCTGAGCAGGAACCAGGTGGGCAGGGCAGGAGCCGTAAGGAGGCTGCGGCAGGGGCCAGCAAGCACAGCACTGACCTTGTTCCCTGTGGACGCTGATCCCCCGTCCTTGTCCCTGGGCTTCCTCCTGCTTGCCTTGGCTCAGCAGCAGGGACTTTCCTTCTGCAGCCGTAAACATTTTTAAACATGAGGTGCTGTGGATCCGAACCTGGAAGATCACAGCAGGTCACCCTCTCTCCTAGGCCCTGGCCCCTTTAGGAATCGGAGTGGCCACAGGAGAACAGGTGAGTGACACATCCTGGGTACCACTGCCCACCAGCCACTGAGGGACGCAGTTGGACATGAGGCTGTAGCACCGGTTACATCTTGAGCTAGGGAGCTTTTACCATCTGAGAACTCGGTAGTACATTAGTGTGAAGTCAGAATCAAAAGTTGATGGCTTGGGGCTGGGGATTTAGCTCAGCGGCATAAGCGCCTGCCTTGCAAGCAGGCAGTCGTGAGTTTGATCCCTGGTACCGATAAAAAAGGAAAAAGACAAAAAAAAAAAAAAAAGTTGATGGCTTTTTCTACCACGTATATAGCTCAGATGATTTTTTTTTTCCCCCAAAAAAACGTCTCCTCAGAAGCCAGCAGTGTGAAGGAATTGCAAGGGCACACAACAGCAAAGACAGCTGACTTCTAAACTGGGTCAGCAGGGTGCTTGTTAAAGAAGGCCAAGTGACTGCCAAACCCTGCTGCAGCCCCCCCCCCCCCCAGCCTGGCAGAGTAGAGAACAGATTGTTTTCCCAGAACAATACACTCTGCCGGGTTCTGTTTTGTCAACCCACCACCTGCACGGTGCTGTCACCTCCCACTTGCTGGGGCGTATGACAGTTACTCCTTAATGCAGAGAGCTGGCGTGATCCGTCCCTGCCTCACATGGTCACATCTGCAAGAAGCGAGTGTAAGGTCCCACCCTCCCCGGCACTGTCAGGGAGCCTCCTGCTCTGAGAACGAAGGAGAAATATGGCCAGGGTTTCCCAAGGCCACTGATGATGAATCATGGTGCAGAATCGTTGCACCGCCAGGCCTAAGGATCCCAGAGGCCAGCGCAGACTCTTCTGATGATGTCTTCTTGCTTTCAGTGTCACAACAGAGTGGTGTTTAAGCAACTCCTCCAGGCGAACGCCCTGCAGTTTCTCCAGATTGACAGCTGCAGACTGGGAAGTGTCAATGAGAACCTCTCGGTGATACTGATGGCCAAAAAATTTGGAAGTAAGGGCCTGGCCTCCTCCGCCTGCCTTCCCACTGGGGTCCCCCACTTCCTGTGGTCTTGGCCACTCAACTGAGTCTGTAACCTGCCATGCTGATTTTTTTTTTCCTAACTTTCATCCAGGAGTCCTTTGAGACAGGATCTCTATGCAGTTCAAGCTGGCCTTGAGCTCACTTTGTAGCCCAGGCTGGTCTCAATCTCAAAATAATCCTCCTGTCTCAGCCTCCCAAGTGCTGGGATTACAGGCGTGAGCCACACACCCAGCTTCATCCAGGAGTCTTTTTTAATGGTTTTCATAATGGGATTTTGTCCCTAAATAGTCATGACTTTAATCACCTGTCAGCACTCGCAAAGCATAGGTCTCGCTTCCCTGCCTCTCCCTCCACTACTCTTGGTATCCAGGAGCAACATCTTCCTCCTAGTTCCTGTGTGTCCCCACGCTGGTGGAGTTGGCCTCTGTGAGCTGGTGCAGCACTTGATTATATTTGACTACATATCTGTCTCCACAAGCCTTCAAAACAGGTCAGTACGAATTTAAGTGCTCACAGTTTCGGTAGCATCCATCAGCCCGGCTGCTCTCCAGATATCCTGCTTTCACGATCAGACATCCAGAACACCGCACACTGGCAACGGCCTACTAAGAAAGCCAGCTGCATGGTGAACAGTGTGGCAGCAGCAATGTTTGCAGGAAGAACAGGGGCCCAATGTGTCTTCCAGAGCTGGGGTGTTGGACTCACCTGCTCAGTACACTGCGGGTGAATTTGCACTCAGAACTCCTCCCTTGACTGCCTTTATCTCGTGCCTTCCTAAAGCCACGGTTTCTCACACGTACATTCTCTACTGAAGTGCCTCTTCTTGGTGCTAGTCTGCCACCACTGTAGTTCCATCTTCCCGGCATACCAGGAACTTTACACTGGGACAGTCTTCCTTTTGGTCCTCTACATATATGGCTTTATTAGGTTTGTTTTCTTTATTTTTATTTTGTTTTGATTTTTGACAGTCTCCCTCTGTGGTTCAGGCAGCCTTGAACTTGCTATGTAGCCCAGGCTGGCCTTGAACTTGCAGTGATCCTCTTTCTTCAGCTGGGATTACAGGCGTGTGCTGCCACACCTGGTTTATCATGCCTTCTGGTCTCCTGGAATGAAAACTGGTACAGAAAGCTCAGTACAGATGCACAGCAAGGGCCAGATATGCACAGAAAAGGCAGATACCAGATTTGGGCCCGAGATGGGTGCCGTCAGGGCACCCAAAGGATTAGCCATAGTGGTTTTTCCTTCAGCTGGTAGTAAGGAGACCCTCGCTGCCTTTTACTCTGCCCAGGTGACATTATGCTCTAAATCAGATAGGAAAGAAGGAATCCTGAGCCTGGAGCCACCACAGGTCAAGCTCATCTGAGTCTAAAGGCCTGTGCACCCTGGAAAGTGAAGGTTGGGACCAGATCATTCTTCTCTTCCCCGAGTCTAGAATGAAGAGCCTTGGGTCACTCTGTTGTTACCCAAAGTTCCTACCTTCACAGTCAGCAATTGTGACCCCCCCTCCCTGTGCAAAGCGCTGCAGGTTTTAAGGGTGGGAGAGGCCCCTTACCATGCACTGCAAGGTGTCCTTGGTGGATCCCCCAGCACGGGTGCCTCAGCAGGGTTTGCTGCTCCCCAAGGCCTCCCTACAGGTAAACAGCTGCCTGACGCTAACCCTATGCACTGTCATACAGCAGCCCGCTGCTTTGTCACCCACTGCGTGGGACACATTTCCTGCCCTTCTTTCCAGGCCCAAATGCCCTCTCCCCTGTGGCTGTGTCTTCTGCACCATCCTTCACAGGCCACACTGCAGCCAGTGGCTCAGTGCCTAAGCTCACAGAAACCATGTGACTCCCTCGCAGCCGGCAGCCCCCATCACTTGTGTGCCTGAAGGAACTTCATGTGGCCATTCAGTCTCATCTCACTTCCAGCCAGGCACCAAGAGGACCTGACATTGCTGGAGTCTGACCCATGCCTCTGGGGGAATCACAGGACCTTGAGTTGTGACGGACCTCATGGTTCACACTGCTGCCAGATGAGCAGCACCCAAGGCAGAGGTCAAGAGCTTCTCATGAAAACACTTGGGGTCGCACACGCTCCCCTTGTGCTTTAGTGGTTAGCAGCTCACGAATGACCTGACTTCGGGCACTGTCACCTCACTCCAGCCCCTTCCCCCAGGATGTGTGAATACGTGGATCACCTACATGAGCACTTCAAGTATCCTGTGTACATCAAGCAGGCCTCCTACATGCCTCCACAGGTGAACCGGGCCCCGATGCCTTGGACACACGTGCCCCCCTTGTTTATCTTCAAAATAGCTGTCCATATTTTTATGTATATTGAAGTTCAACAAAACAGGCAGTGGGGGAGGGGCTGCTTGGTTTCCCAGCACTCCAGGTCCCAGCATGGCACGGGTCCCAGTAAATGCCAGTGGCTCCCGTCTTGAGCTGCCACAGCCTGCCACGCTCACAGCCGCTCACGGAGGGGTGGGGGAGGTGGGAGGTTGCTTCAAGCTGTTTTTTTCTAATGAATTGACCATTTCACTGCCCAAGTTCTGAAATGGCCAACAGACCATAGAAAGACATCTCTTTAGGCTCCTGCTTGAAACCAACAGCATCAGGAAGCTGCTGGCTTTGATTCAGGGCCAGGACACATACCCCTTTTACATAAACCAGGACTATGTACGAGCCATGGCTTTGTTCCAGGTTAAATGCTCAATTTATTGTTTTTTCTAGGATGCAGGCTACTCAACGGAAATGAAGGAGGATTCTGTAAAGAAACACCAGTATCCAGATGGCGAAGTCTGGAGGAAGCTCCTTGCTGCTCAAGAAAACTAGCCTTGAGCTATACTACCTCCACTCCCTAAGTGGTACTACCTACACCTCTTCTTTAAAACTTTTCAGCTAATTTTAAAAGCAGAAGAAAGAAACCTCATTCTACCAATCAAGATCAGATGAAAGTCCTAATAACTTTAGGAATCAGATTCATCATCGATCCTTTTAACAAATTGACACAAATTCTATTTAACCCCTCAACAAACTCTGACTCACCAGACCAAAGTCCAGGAAGATGTTCTTACAAGATTTCTACCAAGGACTGGTAGCTGGATATTAAATTACTGGGACAATCAGCAATATATTGTAGTCTGTTAAGAGCAATTCCTTCTTCTGTGTAACACTTCTCATAAATTCGAATAAAAATAGTTCTGGATCCCATAGGTTGCTGGTACTTGCAACAAAGGGAAACAAGCTAGTGCTAAGACCTGAAGTGGTTAACATCCCTTTTCTTAACTAGTCAAAGAGTTAAGAATTCACTCCACAAAACCTCTGCCTAAATACTCATTATATTTAATGATAAAATGCTTCTAGAATGAGATGAGTCTTGGAAAAATACGGTGAAATAATGCACTTTAGTGATTAAAGTGTTAGGTTAGCTAACATTCTCATACTAGCCAAATAATACACATGGGCCAGGGAGGTAGCTCAGTGGCAAAGGCGTACGCCTAGCAAGTACAAGGTCCTGAGTTTGATTCTTGGCACCCCCCCCGCAAAAAAAAACACAACATGTGACCGTAGGAGCATTCAGGTGACTGTTTAGGCAGGAACTAAGCAGATAAAAGGCAGAGAAAACACAGATAAATGCAAAATAATCCTTTATTAGAGGAATATATAAAACAAATGAAACAGCAAATGTTCACAAGCAAACTATCCATCCTGACTGGTGACAGATTAGATCTGAGGGAAGACAATCTTTATACAACTAATGACATTAGCTTTGCTGTATACAACTGAAGTGCATATACTCATTTTTGCTAATATACAAACTTTCACTGTTGTTACTTATGATCTTAGCATTTTCGTGCACTTTTATTACTAAAATTAAGATCTTTTGATACAAAAAAAAAAAAAAAAAAAAAGCACCTTGTGTCTGCCAGGGATGGCATCTTCCAAAATTAGCCAATAATGACAGTTTTTTTACCCACTTCCTTTTTTCTTTAGAAACAGAAACACCCAGGCTCAAGCTCTAAACAGGGCCATGTCCTTCCAACAGCACCATCTTCCCAGGAGGACCCAATAGCACCGTGAAAAGTACTCTACACAGCCATTTCCATCTTAATGGCAGGATGTGGATTGTACCCTTCCAGCCGGAAGTCGTCAGCTGTGAAGTCATCAATTGCCTCAACTTTTCGAACGATTTTGAGCTTTGGGAAAGGTCTTGGTTCTCGTTGAAGCTAGAAACAAAACCAACCATTATTCTGTCATTTTATTAATTCTGTCCCCTGCATAAAACAAGCAGGGTATTTTATGAGCCAAGTAGTACCTTGCCCCTGCTTATTCCAAGGGTAGGTGACCACCTTGTCTTCCTACAAAGGTAAGCGTGAAGAGCGTTTGTGACTACATAGCATCAGGAGCCTGCTATCTCATCAGGCCCGAATTCTTTCTTTTTGAGACAGGATCTTGCTATACAGTTCACACTGGCCACTAATTTGCAGCAATCCTCCTGCCTCAGCTTCCTGAGTGCTAGGGTTACACATGTAGATCACTACACCTGACAGTTTTATATAGTAACTCTTGACATGTTTATTAAAGACTTGGACATAGTCTTTTTTCCTTTTCTGTAATTCACAGTAGCATCACAGTATGACTTTCTAAATTTCATAATCCCTGGCCCATCTATTCCTGGTGGAAAGGAGAACAAAGGATGGCCACTGTTAGCAAACCTGCAGCTGGTCTAGTCAAGAGGCCAAGCTCTAATCTGGAAGGGGCACAAAGGGTTTTGGTGCTGAACTTTTTTCCTCAGGGCTCGTGTAGCACAGCTGCTCATATTTTTCCTGCCATGTCAACTCATCATGGGTTGTAAGGATTTGGACAGACAAGCTGCTGAGGTTCTATTAGCATAAAATTAAGGGAAAATATTTGCATTTCATTTCTCCTTCAAGTTAAAATATAAGTTACAATGCTAATTCAAAGAAAATCCCAAATCTCCTGGCCTGAAGGTATCCTTTCTTTCTGGTACTGGTGCTTTGTACCTTACAGCACCTATCATGTTCAGTACCTGTGGTTGCTGAGGCAGGTGGTGGCTTTGTCCCAGCCCAGCTGCCCATTACCCTTCCCTAAATGGAAACTGAGATGTCACCTTGCACTCATATGCAGAGTGACTGTGACAAAAGAGATGTTGCCCAAGTCAGCCTTTCCCCCAACAGAAGGTCCCAAGCTCAGAAAAGGAGAAGAGATGTAATCCTCACCTGAGTTTTCAGCGGCTCAATGTGATTCAGGTAAATGTGTGCGTCTCCCAGTGTATGCACAAAGTCACCTGGCTAAATAAACAACATGGGAGGTGGAACAATGATATTAGTTTCAACTCCTTTTTGAGGCAGGGTCTCGCTATGCAGTTCAAACTGGCCTTGAACTCACTGTGGAGCCCAGGCTGGCCTCAGATTCACTGTGATCCTCCTGCCTCTGCCTCCCAGGTGCTGGGATTACAGATTATACCACACCCAGCTTTAGTTTCGGTTCCTTTAAAGCACATCATGTAGTATATAAACATATCCCAAGACATTTCCAAGAACAAAAGAAGATTTAACCGGTATAGTTTTGAAGCCAAGTTTACTGTTGTAGATTTTGTAATTTTTTTTTTTTTTTTTTTGTCTTTTTCATTTTTATCGGTACCGGGGATCGAACTCACGACCGCCTGCTTGCAAGGCAGGTGCTTATGCCGCTGAGCTAAATCCCCAGCCCCGGAGCCAAGTTTACTAATATGTGAGGCTTCAAGAACCAGCAGCCACCTCGCTCCCCTCGCAGCCCACCTGCAGGCCCGTGACGTGCGCAATCATGTAGGTGAGCAGGGCGTAGCTGGCAATGTTGAAGGGCACGCCCAGGCCCATGTCCCCAGAGCGCTGGTACAGCTGACAGGACAATTCCCCGTTCACCACGTAGAACTGGCAGAGGGTGTGACAGGGAGGCAGCGCCATCAGAGGAAGATCTGGGGAGGCAGCGGGGCAGGGGCACAAAGGCGCAGCTGTGAGCAAGGCTGATGGGATCCAGAGGCCACCCGAGAGGCAGGGATGACATAGGGAGGCACCAGCTGCATCGATGCAGGCACTCACATCCTATGTCAGGCCAGCCCCTCTCCCACCCCACAGCATAGTCCCAGAGCCGACGGGACTGGTCCTCAGCCTTCAGCCTAAGATTTCCAGGGATGTACCCGACAGCCGAAGTGATGCTCCTCCATCCAAGCTGAAACTGAGTATTTGTGGCACCAAAAAGAGGAGGAACTGTTACATTCACAGAAGTTGGCATCCCAGGCACACCCATATGTTACAATCTCTATTACTGATGCATATTTCCCAGTCTGGTACTTACTACCCATTATGGCTGTGTCTAGATGTCACCCCAAAGCCTCACATGGTCCTAGGTGGGGTTTTTTCAGAGGTGGTTGGATCTAGAGTGTGTGATTCTAGGATTGAGGGCATAAGGACTGATGGTGTGAGTGCTCCGTCCCCTAAGCAGCCTGAGTAAGTACAAGGGACAGAAAGTGCTGTGGCCATCTCTTATTGCTTTGCAACCTTCTGCCTGTCATGAGCTGTCCCTCCTCTGTGATGCCGTTCTGCCATGCCACCCCACTGGGGAGCCAGCCCATTGTGGACTGAAACCTCCACAAACTGTGAGCTAAGTAAACTTTTCCCCCTTTAACTTTGAGTATCAGCAATGAGAAAAGTAACTAAGATACTGCCCTTGGTAGGGTTTCATTTTTACAATAATTGTTAAGAATAAACTGAGCATGATGATCCATGCCTGTAATCCCAGCACTGAGGGATCCTGAGACAGGAGGATCCCAAATTCAAGCCCAGCCTAGACAACTTAGCAAAGATGTAGCTAAAAAATAAAAAGAGCTGAGGATGTAGCTCAGTGGCAGAGACCCCTTGGGTTCCATCTCTAATACCATCAAAAAAAGAAAGAAAAATATCAATAATAGGAAGAGATGACTTGAAACTTCACCTGCCCAAATTAAAATGTTAAATCTTTTTGATATGATAGGTTCTTGCTAAATAGTCCAGGCCGGCCATGAACTTATACCATGTATCCCAGGCTGGCTTCAAACTCACAATCATACTCCTGCCTCAGCCTCCTGAGTGCTGGGCTTATGGCAGTGCAAGATTATGCCTGGCTTAAAAAAGAAGCTAAGTGTGTGGTGCCCAGGCAGCCCAACTGCACGCTGCTTCCCTGGTGTTGATTGTATGGAGGGGAGGCGCCCTACCTTTCGGGTTCCAGGCACACATGATAATTCTTCTGTCATCAGGGTTGGTTTTGATGGTGTCAATCACTTTCTGCAGCTGGTCAACTCCTTGACCTGAGTAATCTGCAAGATCAACAGAGGGGACATTACACAAACCATAGCATCTCGTGACAAAGTCCCAAAGCCACTCAAGTGTCTTTCCTCTTTTTTTGCAATTTCCTGTGAATGTGTAATTATTCTAAAATAATGAAAATTTCCCCCAGTGCAAGGGATGGAATCCAGGGCCTTGTGCATGCTAGGCAAGTGCTTTTCCATGGAGCTAGGTCTCTGGACATTTAAAAACAACATTGTCAAACTCGTCTGCTGGAATACAACAGCTAGCATTGAGACGGCTCTAAAGTAAGGCCGTCATTTTCCTATTAAGCAACAAGAAATAGCTGACTTCCAGGTGGGATGCAAGGCACCATGGGCCGGGGAGCAGCCACATCCTCAGGAAGAGGCCCTAGGACAGCAAGCGCAGGCAACTGACAGGCTACTTACATGCAGAAGGCTGGGTCCACACTCAGGGCTTTAGAACTGAGCCACATCCACAGCCTTTTCTTATTCTGAAACAGGGTCTTGCTAAGTTGTTAGGTTTCCCAGGCTGGGCCTGAATTGCCAATCCTCTTGCAACAGCCTCCTAGAATGCTGGGATTGCAGGCATGTACCGTCATGCCTGACTCACTGCAGTTTTTATTGTGATAAGGTACACATAATGTTCCATGTACTCCACTAACCACTTTTAAGTGTGCAACTCACATTAATTGCATTCCTTTTGTGCAACCACCACACTAGTCATTTCCAGAATTTTCATCATCCCAAACTAAAACTGTACACCTGGCTAGACCTGAATTTCCCATTCCCTCCTCCCTCCAGCCTCTGACTACCCCCATCCCGCTTTGTGCCTCTACAAATCTGCCCATTCTTGGTCTCTGTAGCACTTAAAATCTGCTTGATTCTGGAGGCTGAGAGGGGAGGAGGACAAGTTCCAGTCTAGCCTGGGCATCTCAGCAGGACACTGTGTCAAAATAAGTAATGAGGTTCTAGTTTCCACTCCTACTGTGGCGGGGGTCCTTAAAGTTGCCAACATCAGAAAGACACTGTGGCCGCACTGTTGCAACTTCAGGCTGGCAGCACAGGCCCAGCCCCCACAGTGAGTACAGCTGAGTTGTGACACTGTCCTCTTTAGAGGGGTGAGATGAGCACCAAAGGCCAGGGCTGGGCTCTGTGACTCAGTGGTGCCACCAACAGCGTGGAGAAAGGTGGGCATCCTGCAATGGGATGTGCCTCCCTCTTCCGTGCCAGCACAGCAAGGAGAGGGTGACCACTGGCTAGTGGTCCAGTCTGGTTTGTTTGTTTGGTTCTGTCCTACGATGTATTCAGGCTGATGCTTAAACTCATTACATAGCCCAGGCTGGTCTCACTCTTGAACTTTTAGTGATTGTCCTGCCTCAGCCTCCAGAGTACTGGGACAACAGGTGTGCACCATCATGCCTGGCTGGTCCAGCCCTAAAAAAGGAGAGCAAAGCCACCACAAGACCCACCTGGGTGGCTTTTCCCACAGACCTACTTCCTCCAACACGGACAACAAGCCTACAGCCACCTGCTAGTAACGCAGGTAGAAGCTCCCAGCTCCCCGGGGTCAAAGTTCTCCAACAGCTCCCAGGACTTCGTAGCCACCACCCCCAAATGAATCAAACTCAGGGTAGGAAGGGAGGGTACTCGGAGCATCAGGGACATGGCTGTTTGGTTGTCTCCTCACCTGAGTCCATATCTTTGTACTCAGCCCCAAAATGCCTCCACTGGAAGCCATAAATGGGGCCCAGGTCCCCTTCCTGGCGGCTAGAAAACCCCAGGCTGTCCAGGAAGTCTCGAGACCCATTGGCATCCCAAATTTTCACGCCCTTGGATGACAGTTCTTTGGCATTTGTAGATCCCTGGAAAAAATGGGAGTACAGTGGGAACTGAGTAAAGTTTTTTCCTTTTACCATACTGGGTTTTTCTGAACCCAGGACCTTTACACTAAATTATATCCCAGCTCTTTTTATTCCGTATTTTAAGATGGGGTCTTAATTGCGTAGGCTGACCTTGAACTGACCTGGGCTGTCTCAGTCTTCGACAGTGCTGGGATTACATGTGTGTGCCACCACAGCCAACTGAACTGAGTAAATTCTGAGCCATTTGGGTCATGGTCCCCCAGAGCCTCTGCTGACTCGAGTCTCTCCCCCAAATGACATGCTGGAGCACGGGGATCTGACACTGTCCTTGTGGAGTCTGTCCTGTCTTGGAGCTGACTGATTCCAGCCCAAGCTTCTAGAGCCCTAGAGGATCGTCCAAACTCTTCTTTGGAATCGCCTCTCACATCCATTCTTCTATTCCCCTCAACTAAATGTTTGAAACACCTCCAAATCTTTAAAATATTTCCCCTTCACCTGGAAGTTCTGAGGGTTGTTTTGTTTGATTGGACACAAGGTCTTGCTGTATAACTCAAGGTGCCCTTGAACTCATGGAGATACTTCTGCTTCAGCCTCCCAAATGCTGGGATTACCGATGTACACTACCACACCTAGCTTTCTTTTTTTCAAAGGTCTCACTAGTATCCAGGCTGGCCCTGAACATGGAGCAGTCCTCCCCAGCCCCTTGCATACTGCTTTAAAAGCCGCATTTCCATCCACTTAGACAGAGCTCTTGCTGGCTTAATGATGCCCACACTGACAACATGAGCAAAAGCCCTGGCCTCATTCTCTAGTGCCATCAAAATAATAAAACAAAAAGAATGTCCTCTCCAGAAACTCCTGGTGATGATCCCAGGCCAGGCACTCCGTGCCAGTTGAGAGGCGAACATAGAACATCCCAGAACACACACAGGGGAAGATGGGCGCTCCGAACTCCAGCCCTTCCTAAAACAATCAGACGTCTTGGGTTTGCTTTTAAAGTGCTCCAAAAGCTCCACAGCAGGGATCCAACTTCTGTCTCACGTAGCCCGGGACAAAGTCTGCCTCTTTGGGCACCCTCGGCCAGCACTGAGCAGAACCTGCCCCACCCTGGACCGGGACCTTAGCCAGGAGGAGCCTGCCCACGTGGTGCTTGTGGGACATTTTACTTATCTGTCTGCCTTCCCCCTGCTCATGGGGAAGGGCAAGGCTGGCATCACACACTGGACGTTTCCGTGGGGGAAGTCAGTCCATGACTGGGAGGTCCAGAAAAGCTGAGCCAGCATAGTGGTGCATACCTATAATCCCAGCATTTATGGGGCTGAGGCAGGAGGCCATGAGTTGAGTCCAGCCTAGGGTACATAGTGAGTTCAATTCCAGCCTAAACTACATACAGCAAGACTGTCTCAAAAAAACAAAAAAAGAAAAAGCATGTTAAGCGGTTAGGATTAGGGTTAGGGTGTAAAAGGAAGGATTGGGGAAGAAAGTTTTAGAGGTGGGAATGTCCCAGTGTCCCCAGAGGTTAGAAGGTAGCCAGGATGGGTGAGGCGGAGAAAAAACAGGAGGGCCAGAGCCAGAAAAGGAACCCCATGAAAACCCTGGCTCCCAAGTAAAACTGGAGCTGCTAAGGGCTTTAGGCTGAGGCGTGACAGGACCGAGGATCTGACTTTCATGCATGTATATGATGTGTATGTGCGTGGCCCTGGGCCTTTACACTGAGCTACATTTTATTCTTTGAGGAAAAAGTCTCGCTAAACTGCCCAGGTTTGTGGCTTGCCTCCAACTTGCAATTCTCCTGCCTCAGCCTCCTAGCTATGATCTGTCGTTTTAAAGGTTCGCACTGGCCTATGCTAAGAAAGAAACATCAACTTCTGATGGCAGTTGCTTCTTTACCTTAATAAACCACAGCAGCTCCTCCAGAATACCCTTCCAAAACACACGCTTGGTCGTCAGCAGGGGAAATTGATCTGAAAAAGTTTGCCAGACAGTTCAATGGTAAGAAGACAGAACTTCTGCTTTCTCTGGAGGAAAAGTGCTGTGAGGTGACCACAGGAACAACAAGGAGAAAAGCAAACTCCTGTTCAGAGGGCATGTGGGGCTGGTGGGGGGGAGGCTCTGAGACTGGAGGGCCTCCTAGTGCTCCTGGACACACTGCCATTCGGGGGCCCAGCTAATGTGGCATCCATCACCGGGGAGATGACAACACCCCAAACTGTAACCCCAGACAAAGCCCAAATGCTCCTACAACTAATTCCACACGATCCTGCCAGAGAACCCTCACTCCTTAGTACACACTGCAAACAGGAACAGAGAGCTGTTGACAAATGTGTGCAAAGCCAATGGACCTATGAGTATAGTCTATCATAAACTACTGTTTGAACACTTCACATGCAGGATACAGCCTAATCCAGGACACACCCCACCCAGGGGAACCTTTAAATTCTTCATTTTACAGGCACCAGGAGGCAATAAGACATTTACACCACTTAAGGAACAAAAGGCGTGGGAGCAACAAATGACAGAGAAATAAACTGGTAAAAGCTTATCTCTTAATGCAGCACCAAGGGAGTCCAGGTTATTGGCTGCATATAAGGTATGACTGAAAAGAAAAATCCAGTGAATGTTTAAATTTTTTAAGAGACATTGCCAGGAATCCCCCTGAAAATCCTCCCCCTCACTTCAACCACTCTTCCCACAGCCCTTGCCACTTTCTGAAGCAGTCCTGGAAGTCTTCAACTGCGCTGTGGTGGCTGCCTCTGTGTCCTGAACTGATACATTTCCTGGTCTTTTTGACTTGAGGGCAGAGCCAGATTCCTACAATGGCAGATCTGGTGAATGAGTACAACCTGGGGGGTGGATTTTAAGAGCCTGCTTTTCTGTTGGGTGGCACATGGCAGGCCGCAGCATCACATTCACCATACTTCTGATCATTTTCCCTAGACACACTCTGGAGCCAGGACTCCAGAACTGCTTCAGAAAGCAGCAAGAATACGGTATGTGTGTTTGAAGCAAGGAGGGGGGATTCTGGGAATCCATGACAATGTGCCTTTTACTGTAATAAATTTTTTTAAATGTTCACCGTATATTTTGATCACTCATAGCTGGTATTCAGAGAGATTTTTTTTTTTATCAGCTACTGCTCATGAACTCCTCTTTCTGTAACATATGGGATTGTGGAAGACCAGAGCTTTATGCTGCTTCAGGGTCCGGCAGGAAGGGATCCGGGTGAAGTTTTGAGTCTCTGGTACAGGGGCACTGTGGAGGGTCCCCCAAACCACTATAAGTCTGCTTTACCAGAGTAGGTGCCCTCTCAAACCCTGTCCCACACTTGCATTGATGTGGCTCCATCGTAGAATGGTCAGGGTCACCCAAGACTCAAAGGCCTTGCAGGACCTGCCCCCCACCCAAAGCAATTAACAGGTGCTCGACCCAGGGCGACAAAACCCTACGCCCCTACCCCAGCTCTTTGCTCCCCCTAACCTGACCCCCTCGGCCAGTATTCTGCTGTATGGAAAAAGAGCGGAGGAGGAGAAGGAGGAGGAGCAACAACTCCGGGCCGGCGGGAAACCTTCAGGAACCCCAACTTCCTACCCAGGCCGGCGGCGCTGGCTCATATTATTTTTGCTCCACCTTTTAAAAAACTTGGCGAAGCAGAACAGCAGCCGGGGACCAGAATCTCCCTGTTTCCCATCCCGTGGGGTGCTCACGGGTCCGCGCGCGCTGGCAGGGTCGCTGCTGGGCGGGCGGTCCGGGGTGCAGGCAGAGGCCCTCACCTCGTAGGCTGTAGCGCGCCTGCATACCGAACACAGACAGCGTGCCGGTGCCGGTGCGGTCCTCCTTGTGGAAGCCGCTACGCAGAATGTGCTCCACCTGCCGCAGGTACTGCAGCTCCCCATGCGGCGCCAAGGGCTCCGGGCCCGGGTCCTGTGCTGCAGTCGGCGGCAGAAGGTCGGAGCCGGCATCGGAGCCGGCAACTGGCATGCTGCGCGCAGCTCCGGACGGGGACTGCTGTGAAGGCTGCAGAAAAAGCGCGGGCCGGGTCTTCCGCGCGCCTTTTCCCGGCCCCGCCCCCCCGCTCCGCCCCTTCCTACGGAGCACAGAGCCGCATTCAGAGTTTGGGACCCCGAGCGCACGTGTCCCGGGTCTCCCAGGATTTAACGCCCTTAGAGATTGTGGAGCGCACGCCCATTAGCATTCAAAAAGCTGAAGCAGGAGGATCACAAATTAGAGCCCCGCCTGGCAAGTTTAATGAGACCCAGCCTCAAAGTAAAACATAAAAATGAAAAGGGCTGGAGATGTGACTTCGTATGAAAGCTATGGGTTCAATATTCAGCACTGCATAAATAATAAAAAATAAAAATTTGTTTCGTTTTTGTGGCAGGGTCTGTTTTGTGACGGGGTCTCGCTCTGTAGTTAAGGCTGGCCTTGAATTTGCAGTGATCCTCCTGGTTTAGTTTTCCAAGTGCTGGGATTACAGGTGTGCGCCACGCCTGGCCAAAATAAAAGTCTTTGGAACCGGGTGCAGAGTGCACGCTTGCGTTCCTAACACTGGAAGGCTGAGGAAGGGGAATCATGAGGCCAAAGCCAGTCTCCAAACAACCAAGAGAGAACTACCAAATCTCTCATCCTGGTGACCTGGGTCCAGATGGATCGTTCTAGTTGCACAGTTTCGGGGTCCACCCCACCATTCTAAGCCAGGTTGGTCGAACCTCATCCTACCCCATGTTCAGGAGGACTAAACATTGTGAAGTTTCCTACAATTAAAGGGACAACTGACAAGCAAATGCAGCTATGCAGCTTTTCCACACTGGAGGTTTTGGAAAGTTTTTAACACCACGCTTTTCAATCTTGCTGAAAGATTTTATAATGAGGTAAGTAGGAACGGGTTGATGAGTAAAATGTACTAACTCGTGCTATAAATACAAGCCTTTTACATCAGCTGTTTATTGAATATAGTGCTGTCACTCAGCCCAACTGCTCTGCTTGATTCAGATGGAAACCAGAAAGGTGCAGCTCTGCTACCAGTCCTGATGCCACCAGCTGACACCAGATCATGCAGAGACAGTTGCTGATCTTCCTTGACTGCTGGTCTCTCGAATTCTTCAGGGCTAACAACCCCTAGTGTTCTTAGCTCTTTTTGAAGACTATGTCCATACTACTGGAGAATCCTGAGTAGATTTAGAGGACTTTTCATAGCACACAGTACCTGAGAAATAAATGAACAGACTAATAGGACCATAACAGAACCCTTTAACAAGGCCTGTGCAGAATCACTAAGACCGACAAGCTTGGCGAGAGCCCTCCAGACTAACTGAAGTGATGTGGGAGTGCTGCTTAAATAGCAGCTGCAGACCTGTGATTGGTGCAGGACTCCAAGTGTGCAGACTTGTGATTGGTGCAGGACTCCAAGACAGCCTCGCTCTCACCTCTGGCCTACTGAGGGGGCGATGTTGAAGCAAGGGAATCTTCTGGAAGGCCGATGGAGACTGGGGGAGAGGACTCACCGTGGACTCCAAGCCCGCTTAGCCCCTCCTTTCGTCAAAATGGCAGCTGTCGCACAGAAATGGGGGTGACAGCCGTGGCCATGCTGGAGTGGCATGGGGGACAGTGGCGGGTCGGCGGCAGCCTCCAGCCCAGGGAAAGCGGAAGAGCCAGTGCGTGTCCCAGGTCCCAGCAGTAGGTGCCGGGAATCTGTGGGCCCCGTCCGGGCTGTGAAGAACGGGGTCTGCGCTCTGCGGAATCACCGCAGACGCTGTGAATTTTACTTTTCGTGTATGCGCTGGCGATTAAAACCCAGCTGGAGCTCACGTTTCTCTTTGGGGTATCTTCTGCTTGACGTCTGAGTCAGCCCTATGGCTCAGGGTCCCCTACAGGCCGATGGTAAGAGCAGTGGTCACCAGACGGTGGCGCCATTGGAAGGGGATGGAGGTGGGGCCTGTCGAGCGAAAGTGAGGTCATTGGGGGCGTGGTCTTAAAGAGGAAGCTGGGATCCTGGCTGCTGCTTCTCCGCTTCCGGTTGTGAAGAGGGGTCCTTCTCTGTGATGAGATTCTGTGATGTGGTCACAGGCCCAAAGGCAACCAGCCAAGGACGATAGACTGAAACCTTGAGCCCAAAGTACTCCTTGCTCCCTTGTGAGTTGATTATCTAGGGGCTTCTGTCACAGTGAGGGGAGCTGCCACAGCAAGACTGGTATCTCTGCTCCAATAAACCTCTCAAGATACTTACAGTGGAAATATTCTGGGAGGAGTTAGATAAATCGCTTTTATCTGCAGCCTTGCCTCCTCTGCCAGCTAAAACAATGTCACATGCTTTTATGTGACATGAAACCTTCACAAAACAGACTCTTAAAGACAGTTTACAGAATGGCCGCTTGAATTAATAGGATGGAAATGATAGAACCAAGAACAGAATAAGGAAGTGTTTCGGGGGAAAAATCTCACAGCCCTGGGAGAAAATTGGGGCTGTTGCTGTTTGAAGATTTGAATGCTCACAAGGCCACAGGACATGAAAACCTATTGGGTTACAGGACAGCAGGTATTTTAAATTGGTTTCCTACATCCCAGTATTCAATCGGCTCTGACTAGGCTTCTTTCCCTCCCAACATTTCCTTACCCCACCTCCAGACCAGTGACTTTAAAAGCGGCCTGTATCATCTCTGAGAATGAGACCTATAAGTAGGCCAAGAAAGGTAATGCATTTTCCTCATCTATGTCAAGGTCAGGGCTGACACATCTGTAACAAAGACAGGTTAAGGAGAGATTTGGCTCCACTCCTTTTTAAGTGTTCATTTTGAGATAGGAAACTTTTGTTTTTAATATGCTATTTTTTTGAAACAGGTTCTCACTATGTCATTCAGGCTGATCTTGAACTCATTTTGTATTCCAGGCTGACCTCAAACTCAAGGGAATCATCCTGCCTCAGTCTCCTGAGTGCTGGGATTACAGGTGTGCACCACTAGGCCTAACTCAGGATGCTAATATTTATAATATGTGGGGAAATTAAAATTTACTGAATTTTTAGTTTATATTGAAAAATATCACAGGATAGCATATATATATATATATATATATATATAATATATGCATGTGTGTACATATATATAATATATATATCTACATGTCATATATATATATATATCTTTAAGTTTCTGTAGAAGGTATAAGTGAGAACAAAAATGTATGAAATTGTTAGTCTAGAAAACTTCCCCCTTTTACTTACAGAACAAACTCTCAAACATGTTGATAAAATTAGGTAAAGGAGACAGGAAACCGACATTTTTTGACAGCCAAAAATGGGTCGTCTGGTATTTTTTCATCATTATAGTTACTATTTATTAATGCTTACTATGAACCACACATTAAGGTTTATTTAGTATCGTTCTCACAACTACTCCATAGAACAAAAATTTTTATCATTTTAGAAATGATGCTGAAGTTTTTTGAGGTCAAAGATCTTGCCTACATTGTCTAATCTTCCACTGGTCACATCTGGACTGAAATCAAGGTAAGTGCCATCTGGACTGAAATCAAGGTAAGTGCATGCAAGGCTTATGCTCATCTGGCTGCTTTGAACCTGACCTCCCTATTCCTTTCTCTTCTCACTCTCCAAGCTTTTCATTGCTCATTGGATAGAAAATAATTTGCCTTTATAACTTATTTTTTGGCATCTTCTATAACAAATATGTGAAATGTATGGCTGGGTAGGCTATATTTACTTGAGATTTACTGTACTCCAAGGAACCCAGGATTTTATCAGTAGTTTTTCTTTTTTATGCCCTCAAGTTATAATTTAGGAAAAGCTGTATCTTCTTCAGTTGATTCTATATATTTGGCTGCTTCTAAACTTTTGCTTAGCATACTTTCTATCAAGAAAGCCCTTTGGACCAAGACAGGCTAAAAAACTCTTTAACAGTTTAAAATCTCTCTTTTTCTTTAAGGTTTAAAATCTTTTTACTTTTTTTAAAAATTATTTTGTTTTATTTCTTTGAGACACAGTCTCAGTGTATAGTTCAGGTTGGCTATGAACTCACTATGTAGCCCTAGCTGGCCTTGAATTCGTGGTGATTCTCCTGCTTCAGCCTCTCTGAGTGTCAAGATTTTAGGTGTGTATCGCCACACCCACAAAAGCAGCATTATTAATAGTGAAAATATGGAAGCAACTTGATGTCCATAAGTGAATGAATAGATCTGCAAAATTAGATCTGTAGGTACAATGGGTTATTTCAAAAACCAAATAGGAAATTCTGACATGTTACAGTATGAGTGACCCTTGAAGACATTACACTAAGTGGAACGTATGAATTATAAAAGGATGAACACTGTATCATTGTGCTTGTGTGAAGTACCTAGGGCAGTCGGATTCACAGAGACAGAAAGTAGAATGGCGATTGCCAGGGCAGACTGAATGGGGGCTCAGTGGTTAGTGGGTGGAGTCACAGTCTGGAAAGATGACAGATGTTCCAGAGATGGATGGTGAATGCTTGCATACCGAGTGTGGGGAGCAGCTGAGCCTCAGCTGAGCTGGAGGTTGGTGAATTTCTTTGGGTTAGAGTAAGGCTAGCCCTGAGAACATGGGGTGCCAGAGGCTAAAGCAAGACTAGAGTAAGGTCAGTCCAGTAGGTGCCCGGCCTTGGTGCTCCTCCCTGTTAGCTGTAACACGGATAGCTCTGAAAATGCTTCGCTTTCAGGGTTTGCAGCAAAACACTGAGACCTTGCACTTTCAGCTCCATTGCACTCCCTGCCCCCTTTTTATAGTATGTAAATAAAGAGGCAGACTATGCTGGGTTGTCACTGCCTCTCCATCAGAGAGGTCAGGTCCCACCCAGTTCCAGCTTTCCTGTTAGTATGTCTATAGTTTTTTTTTATGTCCCGTTGCCTCCTCTCAGGATCCTGCTCACTGGGCAGGTCACGGCAGTGAATATACTTAATGACACAGGACTATATGCTTAGAAATAGTTAAAATGGTAAACTTTATGCCATGTGTATTTTGCTTCAATAAAAAATACACAGAAGCTATTGATCTTTGCTAAATGAAGAAATGAATTACATATTTTTAGAAGTCAATTATATATATATATATATATATATATATATATATATATATATATATATATTTTTTTTTTTTAGACAAGAACTCACTATGCAGTTCAGGCTGACTTAGAACTCACCATAGAGCCCAGGCTGACCTCAAACTTGCATTGATCCTTCTGCCTCAGCCTCCTGTGTGCTGGGATTACAAGATGTATCACTATGCCTAACTATAATATACTTTAAATTCAAAAACAAGTTGAAGAAAGAACGTTTGGTAATTAGAAAGTGGCGTATTTGTGGAACATACACACCTAGGTGACTCAGTATTTATTTAGTATACAAAGAACTAATGCATCATATTCTACATATGTACATTTTACTTTTTAGGAAGAAATTTTTATATTAACTCAATTTGAATAGCTATTAAACTTCCATTCAACAAAGTAAACCAATAGTGCTTCCTAATATATACCTAACTTTCATGCAGCTGTGTTCATTGTGTTAGCCTGCTTTGTATTTTCAGAATTCTCAGGTCTTGGCCGAAGGTGTAATTCTTGCTGATTATAGGATGGACTAAATCTTCTTACCTTTAAAAAAAGAACAGCAATAATCAAAACACTAATTTCTTTTAGTGGATTTTTTCTTTGAGTAGAAGTTCAGAATAGGTAGAAATTAACATATAGCAAAGTATTAGAAAAACCACATGTATGAATATTCTTAACATCATTATTTAAAGAATCTTCACAGTTCCCCTGATTTGCTGACTCTATGTGTGTGTATGTTTGATATTGGGGACTGAATTCAGGAACTTTCCATTGAACTTCATTGCTAACCCTTTTAAGGCAAGGTCTCACCAAATTGCTAAGTTGTCCAGGCTGGGCTGGACCTTTCTGTCCTGTCTAAGCTCCCCAGGGTGCCAGGATTATAGATAATAGGTCACTCCACCCAGCCTAAAATGTTCGCTTGTATTAAAATTTTTTAAAAAATTGAAATGCTAATTAGAAACTAGTGCTTTAAAGCCAGGCTTGTTGGGGCTGGGATTTAGCTCAGCGGCATAAGCGCCTGCTTTGCAAGCACATGGTCATGAGTTTGATCCCTGGTACCGATTAAAAAAAAAAAAAAGCCGGCCTTGGTGGTACACACCTATAATCTAAGCACTCGGGAGACTGAGGCAGGAGGATCATTGCAAGTTCAAGACTAGCTTGGGCTACAGAGTGAGCTAAAGTCCAGACTGAACTCCATATTGAGATCCTCTCTCAAAAAGACAAAAAAAGAAACTTGTACTTCAAATAGAGCTATTACTAAATGGCAATATATATTATATATATTATTTTTGTTGTTGTTCTTGATACATATATAGAACAACAAAATATTAATGACCTTTAAACAAGAAATTCTGTTTCTTTTAGAATCCAGTCTAAGAATTTAAGTGGAAAATGTGAATAAGAAAAATAGTAAAATGATTGTGGCTTTGTTGAGATGGTGGAATTGAGGGTAATTTTTGTCTTCTAAATTTGTGGAAATTTTGATGTTGTTACATTTGGGATTAAGAAACTATAAAGTAATTAATACTGCTTATGTGAAAGGTCACTAAGTGGGCTTGTTAGCAAACTCTTTGCTGGATCTCTTCCTCACACAACATCTTATCCCCGCTGTCACTGCACCCACTTCATCTCAGCACCTACGAAGTGAAATCTTCATTGAGATGTTTCGGTTTTCACCTGAGAGTGCAGCCTGGGCCCACCTACCACTTTCTATGTTCCCTTTCTCAGAAGCCCATCACGTCTCAGCGGTGCCCACGGAGCTCAACTCAGACTCCATGGCTTGACATTCAGAATCATCCTGACACATGCCAACTCTGTTCCCCATGCTCACTTGTTATTCTTACATTCTATTCATTCACGTATGCTCATTCATCAATGTAGTCAACATGCCAAGCGCACTCTCAGGCCCCTGGGAGAAAATGGAAAGCGTGGTGCCTGCCCCGTGGACCGCATGGGCTGGCAGTGGTGAGACCCCTTGGCTAAATGTACATTCCCAAGAGCAGAGCACTGCGTGGAACTGTGATCATGTATGAAGAGGGGCCCAGCCTAAAGAAGGGTCAGGCATGTCATCCTTGCAGAAGTAACAATTTGAACTGTACTCGGTTGGTTGAAACAGTTACCTAGACAGTGGGTCAGACTGTCAGGTATCCCTTTGGTCCTATCTAGAGGAAGCCACCCCATGACCCAGCTGGACCAGTCCCATTCCTCCCTACAAGCCCAATCCTGAGCACAGTGACCCGAAGACAGAAGACAGCTGTAGCTGTCTGACCACTGTACCCCAAAGAAGCTGTTTCAGCTCCCACCTCCAGGATCTGGAGCTGTCTGGTCTCTGCCCATTAGGGCATGGTCATCTAAGTTCTCTTTTGATTTTGCATGTCAGACAGTATCCTCCTATTTCCCCAAACTGCCACCGAGTAGGAGTTCACACACTGGGAGAGTTTGTCATGGTTTATATGTGGATGTCCTCACAACACCTCATTGCTCATAGGTGGGGCTGGGGAGTGGCAATTGGATCTCAAGGGTGTGATATCCATCAGTGGATTCATCCTAAATATGATGGGAAGTGAAGGAGATGGGTTCACCTCCTCCCCTTCTCCCTGATCTCCCTCTGCTTGCAGCTGCCATGCTCTGAGCAAGCCTCCTCTGCCGTGGGCTTAGCCATGCTGCAGCTATGGACTGTGGAATCCCTGCAAACTGAGCCACAATAAAGCTCCTCTTTTCCCTGTGGGCATCAGGTACTGTGTCCTGGAAATAAGAAAGTAATTAAGACAAAGCTCAAGGGCCAGTATGAGAGAGGCCAGGGTAACAGGAATTTTCAGTATCACTAATCTTTATTTTATTTGTTTGTTTGGTTTTTGAGATAGGATCTTACTTTGTACTGCAAGCTGGCCTTCTGCATTCATTCTTTGAATATTTATAGTATGCCTGAATAATTTTTTTTTTAAGAAAGGAAGAGAGAAAAGGGAGAAGGGATCAAGTAAAAGAGAGGCAAAGCTAGAGGAATGGGAGAAGAAAAGTGAAAAGAAAATAAAGTAGGCTCAGAAAACTCTCCCCTTCTGGAAGCCAAGAGGGCCCCATGTGGTCTCACAAAATCCTGCCTTGCACTGAGGCTAATCTTGACTGTTAGAAGGCACCTAGGAGATTAGTAAAACACACCTCCACTTGTGTCTGGGTGGGCCGTGGGCCCAAGACGCTGGGGACAGTATCTGATTCCTGCACCATTCCTCTTGGGCTCTTCCCCTGTGCTCTGCATTCTGGCTTCTGTGAGGTGAGCAGCTTCTCTTTGCAATCCTCTACCATGATGCTTCTGCCTCAGAGCCTGCCCACCATGGTCTAAACCTATGAAATCCTGAGCCAAACTAACCTTTCCCTTTTAAGCATTGTGTCTCAGGGAGTTTATCCCAGACACTGACTAGCACAGTGTCTGTCTGCACTGCATAGAACTCCTTTCAGACAGGATCTTATAAATTAATTATTTTCTCCACATAGTTCCTGTATCCTGTGCCTTAACCTAATAGATGCTAAAAGGCTATTGGTTATTTGACCCATATAACTCAGAAAAACATCCTACAAAGCTTGGAGGTAAAGGCCTGAGAGACAGTGTACCCAGTAACATCTACCTTAATTATACCTGTAGATGGTGACCTACTATCAAGCTCCCTGAGAAATGATAACTTAGAGCTGAAATTTAATTACTCTGTAAGATTGAGGATATTACCAAGATTTCGTTTTTAAAACTCGGGATTGAACTCATGACATTGCGCTTGCCTGGCGGTGCTTGTCTAGCCGAGCTATCTCTCCAGCCTCCATTATCAAGGTTTTTGCATGGTGCTTTTATTTTCCTCCCCCAAATGGCCTAGCAGAAAGCAGTGTAGTGTAGGGATTATGTTTTTGTTTAAGACAGAGTCTTTTTTTTTTCTTTTTTTTTTTAATTTCACAGCCCTGGCTTGTAAAAGACAGAGTCTTGCTATGTAGTTTGAACTGGCCTTGCACTCATGTAACCTAGGCTTGCACTATGTAACCTAGGCCTCAACAGTGATCCTCCTGCCTCAGTCCCCTGAGTGCTGGGATTATAGGCATGCACCACCATGCCTGGCACTGTGTGGGCATTATGAATCAGAACTGAGCTCACATTCTGGCTCTACAACCTAATGACTTGAGTTCATTTATCCTTGTTCTGATTTGTTTTTGTTTGTTTGTTTGAGAGGTCTTTATGTAGTTCAGACTGACCTGAAACTCACTCTTTGTAACCCAGGCTGAGCTCAAACTTGCCATAGTCCTCCTGCCTCAGCCTCCCAAGAGTTCAGATTATAGGTATATATCACCACAATCAGGTGTTTGTTTAACTTTGAACCCTGAGCCTCAGGTTCCTTTACTGAAAAATGATCAAAATAATATTACCTCAAAGATGGGCATATAATACAACCTTGTTACAGTAGTGGGCATGTCCTTATTTAAAATTTGTAACTACTTTTAATAGTTTTGGTGAGGGAGGCTTGAGACAGGGTCTTGCTGGCCTTGAACTCACTCTGTAGTCCAGACTGGCCTCAAATTCCCAGTGATCCTCCTGCCTCAGTCTCCGAAGTGCTGGCATGTACCACCACACCTGGTAATGATTTCATAAAATATAGTGACTGTATTTAGCTATGATCCGCTTAATTTATTATTAAGCTATTATCTGCTTTTGTTTGTCTTGAGTATTTTTACTATTTTAAATAATTTTGTACATAAAATCTTGGAAATAGAACTTTGATCAAATGTAAATTTATTTCTTAGAATTGATTCCAGAAATAGAATAATATTAAAAAGATTTTTTATGACTGGATATAATCAAATAGCTTTTCAAGAAGGCTTTATGTTTTCACTAGTAACAAAAATTTCCAAAGATTTTATGGGGGCTATTTGTTTGTTGCAGTACTTGGGATTGAACCCAAAGTCTTCACACTGAGTTACATCCTTTTTTATATTTTATTTTGAATCAGGATCTCACCAAGTTGCTCAGTGAATCAGGATCTCATAAGTTGCTGATCTTATACTTGTGATCCTCCTGCCTCAGCCTCCCAGAGTACTGGGATTACAGACATGCATCATGAGTGTGGGCTTTTTAAAAGTTGCACATTTGATAGGTAGGAAGTGTAATCTTGTTTCCATGTGTGGTTATTTTGAAGTTGAATGTATTTTCAGAGGTTTTGTATGTGTGTGTATGTGGTACCAGGGATCAAACTCATGACTTTGCGATTGCCAAGCAGGTGCTTTATACCACTGAGCTAAATCTCCAGCCCCTATTTTCAGCGGTTTTAAAACTAGTTTTCTTTTTCTTTTCTTTTTTAATTTTCATAAAAATGAATCATCTATTCCCATTCTGAAAGGTGTTCCTAATCAGACAGTATGCTTACCAAGTTTTAAAGTGCTCCTTAAAGTGCTGAAGAACCTTCTCTACCACGTGATCAATGAAGTTAGCGTTGCCAGCACTCTTTTCAAGAGGGCTGCTGAGTGTGAAGTTAGAGGAAGGCAGGAGGCTTGAAGGAACCACTGTGTCATCTTGATCAGAAGAATTTCCTTCATGAGCACTTAGGGCTACCTAGAGAAGAAGGGTTATACAGCAAAAGGCTTACTAAGTCCCAGTGCACATTGAAGTTAATACCACAGTAGTCAGGAGAGACTAGCCCCAGCTTCCCAGTGGTTTCATCCAGAAATATTTCATCGCTTTACAAAGACACTAGATTCCAGGTGACAGAAATGTATCATCTCATGGCTACAGCTTGGGGACACCTGGCTTCCCTAATGTACTTAACAGAGGAAGAGAATGGGTAAGCACACAGGTAAGCACTTCACTGCATCACCCTAGAAATACTCCATGTCATTTTGCTTACATTTCACTAGCTAGAATTTGCCCAGTGGCCCCACATGACTGCAAGGGAAGCCAGAAAACACAAGAGATCAGGTGAAATGTTTAGTGAGTGCTGTTTGTACCAAGACACCACTGTACAGTGCTGTGTTCATGCTACATTTTCCTATGAAATGTGTAGTATATGGTTGTGTGTGTGATTTTGACAAGAACAGGTCAGGCAAAATATGCATTAGAAACTCTTACTGAATATTTCTTTTTGAGACAGAGTCTCACTATGTAGTTCAGTCTGGCCTTGAACTCACTTTGTAGCCCAGGCTAGCCTGAAATTTGTTGTGATCCTCCTACCTCAGCCTCTTAAGAGCTGAGATTACAGGTATGTGCTACCATGCCCCGCTATCTCTTACTGAATTCTGAAGTACACATACCAGGTAGTGCTTCATTTTTTTTTGTCTTTTTCGTTTTTATCAGTACCAGGGATCGAACTCACAACTGCCTGCTTGCAAGGCAGGCGCTTATGCTGCCGAGCTAAATCCCCAGCCCTAGTGCTTCATTTTAATAATGTACGTGAAATTTAAATGGCATGCAACTTGATGTGGCCTGTAGAGAACTATTAAGAAAAAGAACTTTTCTAAGCAGTATAGCATGGCGGTTGAGTGTGCCGCTTCTGGAGACACCACCTGAGTTTGCATTCCAGTTCTTACCAGCTGTGTGAGCTCGCACAAGCTGCTTACCTGCCTTTGTGCATCATCTGAAAAATGAGGAGCATAATTCTGCTTACCTGCATTGGTTTGGACAGCTTGTCCCCCAAAACAACTCATTTTGAAATTTTATTTCCAGTGTCACCTTATTGCAAGGTGGTGGGACCTTTCTTTTTTTTTTAACTTTTTTTTTTATTGGTACAGGGATTGAACTCAGGACCGCCTGCTTGCAAGGCAGGTGCTTATGCCGCTGAGCTAAATCCCCAGCCCCAGAGAGGAAGTTGTTTTGGTTTTTTTTTTTTTTTTTTTTTTTTGTCTTTTTCCTTTTTATTGGTACCGGGGATCGAACTCGTGATTGCCTGCTTGTAAGGCAGGCGCTTATGCCGCTGAGCTAAATCCCCAGCCTGGTAGGACCCTTCTTTAAAAGGTGACTGGGACAAGGTTGCCCCCACCATAATCTTAACACTCTGGAGTGCTAAGTCAGGAAGATCATAAAGTGACTTAACTCTGTTTCAGAAAAAAAAAGTGGGGGTAAGGGGTTGGCAGATGTAGCTCTGTGTAAAGGCCCTAGGATCAATCCCTAGTAGCATCAAAAAGGAAGAAAGAAAAAAAGATTAGTTCTTGGGGGAGTGAGTTAGGTCTAGAGAGACCAGATGAGGCACCACAAAAGCTGATATTATCAAGCGGGCCTGGCCTCTCCTCCTACCTCCCCTTGGTCTCTTCCACACTTCCTTTCCACATGCATTTGCTTTCCATTTTCCTCCAGTCACAGAGCAGCATATGCTTCTTACCTAGAAGTGAGAACCAGAGAAGCCTCTTTTCTTTGTAAATAACGTAGTCTCAGGGTGTTTTTTTTTTTTTCTTTCTACTTTGTTTTGATGTTGGAGATTAATGCCCCTAAGGACTTCACACAGGCCAAGCATGAACTCAGTCACTGAGCTACACCCTCAGCTAGGTCTCCTGTGTCCTAACAATAGAAAATTGGCTCAGACCTTGCCTTACAGGGCCATTCAGAGGATTGTATGACGTATACAAAATGTTCTTTGAACACTACCTGATCTGCACTTTAGAGATGATTATTATAAAGATGCATAATTGGACAACAGTATTTTATGTGGAGGTTTTCATATAGTGGTGCCTTGTTATCAATGTAAAGAATTTTAAACCAGCACAGTAGCACACACCTATAATCCAAGCTACTAGAAAGGCTAAGGCAAGTGGATGACAAGTTTGAGGCCAGCCTGAAGGACTTCGTGAGACTCTTTCTCAAAGTTTATAAGAAGGCTGAAAAGTAGGCGTGGTGCCACATGCCTGTAATCTCAGCACTGGGGATGCAGAGGCCTTGAGTTCAAGGCCAATCTGGGCTACCTAGTGAAACCTTGTTTCATAGAAAAATAAACAAGTGGCTGGGAGTGTTGCTCAGTGGCAGGACACTTGCCTGACATGTGGAAGGCCCTGGATTCAATTCCAAGTGGCATACAAGAAAAGGTGAATTAATTATTGTTACTCAGTAGAATAGGAGAAAATTGAAGCATAGAAAGGAAAATACTGACAATAATAAAAATAAATATTGCCTGTAACTTTCTAAAATTAGCCCCGCTAAAATTTTCTTAAAATTTCTTTCTTCATTGAACCATAAGTCTATATATGTGAGGTTGATTAAATACATTGAATTTTTTTTCTTCTGTCAGTACCAGGGATCAAAGTCACAACCTCGAGCTTGCAAGGCAGGGGCTTATGCCACTAAGCTAAATCCTCAGCCCCCTTTTTTTCCTTCTAGAACATGACAATGGAATTATAGCGTCAGAGTCACCAAGGGTGGGAACAGTGACTTTTTTGTTTTGTTTTTTTGAGACAAGATCTCTCTATGTTTAGACTGGCCTTAAACTTACTGTGTAGCTTAGGCTGGCCTTGAACTCATGACAATCCTGCCTCAGGCTCCCAAATGCTGGCATGACAGGCCTATGCCCTCACACCCTGCTCAGAAACAATGGCTTTCAAATCCTTTGGGGTTGTTTTGTTTTGTTGGTCTTTTCGAAACAGAGTCTTTCTCTACAGTTCAGGCTAGCCTTGAGCCCCCTTTGTAGCCCATGCTGATTTCAAACTTACAACAATCCTCTTGCCTCAACTTCTTGAGTGATGAGATTATAGACATGCACCACCATGCCTAGCACAAATCCTTTGGTTATTCTCTGTAGTAATGTATACATTGAATATTATGACTCAAAATATGCATGCTTACCTTGTGTATGGTTATTTATACTATGTCACACACAATGGAAATAAAACACGCATAATAGTATTTAGTGCATTGCATCCTACTCTTCTCTATCCAGTTTTTTTTTTTTTTGGTATTTTTAATGTTTGTGACTTCCTAAACTTTTTAAATCATGCATGACCTACAATTTCACAGGTTAAAAAAGCAAAATCTTGGGTTACAGCCCATCACAGACCAAATTCTCTAGAAGCAGAGCCTGAGTGAGATTCTAATGAGAATGGTTCATAAAAGATTGTGCATGTCTCGCTTTGAAAGAGATGAGTAAAGCAAACTAGAGCAGAGAGAGAAGCTAACCAAGGATGTAGTGACCTCTGAGCCCAGCTCAAACTCACAGAGAGCTCTGGAGCATAGTAGCCAGGAGTGGGATCCTTGGGAGAAGTTGCACAACAACCTGGTAGCAGAGCAGGAGTTGATGAAAGGAATTCGTGGGAATCAGGCAGAGCACCAACATCTCTCGCTGCACAGAATGTTGTATCTGTACTTTCTGTGACCGGTGATTTTGGCACCCAAATCTGTTTGCGAACTCTTAACACTAGCCTCATCAAGAATTGCTGTGGTGCTGTTATGTAACTAATGCTGGCAGGTGGTGTGATAGGTGCATGTCTCAGGAAAGAAAGTCTATTTTGTGCGCGAAAGGATTTTGTTTGTAATGCTAGGAATCAAAACCAGGGCACTGTACATGGTAGGCAAGTGCTTTACCACAGAACTACACCCCCAGCTCAACAAGAGTTCTTGATTAAATATGGGAGTCATAGTCTATGAGCAATTTAAGATGACAGTATATGTTTATGGGAAGATAAATACATAAATAAGTTCAGTGCTCAAGGTAACTCAGCAGTTTATTGTGTCAAAATCCAAGAGCTATAATTTATAGAGCTCTTACTCTATAGGAATCTTTTTAGTCAGTTTGCAGAGAAACATTTTAAGGTAGCTATTACCATTCCCATTGTACAGGTGAGAAAGCTGAGGCCTAAAAAGATTAAGGAAATTTTTCCAAGTTTTTTCAGCTTTTTAACTGAAAAAAAGTCAAATTTTGAACTCAAATTCCTTTTTCACATAACTCTTCTTAAAAATGACCTTTGCCAGTTTTCTTCATGGTTATTTCACTCAGCAAAAGCCCTGTAACTATGACAGAATTAGCTATCTCTGGATTAGAAAAGTACATTTTTGTTTTAAATTAATATCCTTTATAGTTTCTTGTTTCCTGAAGTCCGTGAACTGCATTACATCAAGTCAGCCTCAAGTCAGTTGTAATGAAAATATGTGTTTTAGCCCTCTGGCTGGTTTTCAAAATCAGATATAAGTAATAAACAGAAGCATCAAGGTGCACATATATAACCTCTGTGTCCACTCTTGGGCCTCACCATTACTTTCACTGGATTAAAGATGTCCTCAGCTCCTGGGGACTGGTATGCCAGTTCAGAAACCCAGCCAAACTGCTCTCTCATCTTCTCCATCAGAAGCGTGGTGTCTTCCAGGTGATACTGGGTCATCTGCACCACCTGGTCGTATTGCTGATTGGATCTACTGACCAGTCGGAGGGCCTCATTGAGTTCTCTGTATAGTTCAGGCACATTAGGGCAGTCTAGTAAAGAAAAAATAACAGTAAAGGAAATGCTTATGAAGCTTCAAGGTGGGCGGCATGACTTCAGTCCCAGAGAATGCCTAGTTTATGCCGTGCCCACGTCAGTTTCGTACAACATCCAGTTTACTGTTAATTATATGGTTTTATGTCACAGAAACTGGGCTAGAGATAGAACTTCATTATTTGACATGATGTCAAATTATTTGACATTATTTGACAGATGACATGATATTCTGCATAGAAGACCCCAAAAACTCACTATAAAACTGATAAATTTAATAGGCAAATTCAGCAGCATAGCTGGATGCAAAGTCAACCCTCAAAAATCAATAGCCTTTGTATACATGAATAACAAACTCACTAAGAGAGAAATTAGGGAAACAATACCTTTCACAGTAGCACCCAAAAAAAATGAAATATCCAGGAATCAATTTAATGAAAGATGTAAAAGATCTCTACATTGAAAACTACAGTACTCTGAAAAAGGAGATAGAAGAAGAAATTAGAAAATGGAGAGATATCCTGTACTCTTGGGTAGGAAGAATCAATATAGTAGAAATAGCCATACTTCCAAAACTGTTGTACAGATTCAGTGCAATCCCAATCAAAATTCCATAACTTAACTCACAGAGTTAGAGAAAACATTCGTAAAATTCATCTGGAACTGGAAGAGACCTAGCATAGCAAAGGTGATCCTGGGCAACAAAGGCAAGACAGGGGGCATCAGAGTCCTTAACTTGAAATTATGCTATAAAGCTATTGTGATAAAAACAGTATAGTACTGGCAAAACAAACAAACAAAAAACATATCTGAAGATTAGTAGACAGATTAGAAGATGCTAAAACAATTCCAGACACACTAAGCCATTTTATCTTTGACAGAGGTGCCAAATATATTCACTGGAGGAAAGATAGATAGCCTCTTTAATAAATGGTGCTAGAAAAACTGGCTCTGCACATGCTGAAGATTAACATTGAACCCATATCTTTCACCATGCAATAAACTAAATTTGGAATAGATCAAAGATCTAAATATTTAAACAGAAACATTAAATCTGCTGGAACACAGAGTAGGTAAAACTCTTGAAGATATTGGTGTAGGGAAAGACTTTATGAACAAAACCCCAGTTTCACAGGAACTATCACAAAGAATCAACACCTGGGATCTCTTATTGAAGGGCTTTTGAATAGCAAGAGAAACTACCAACAGAGTAAAGAGACAACCCACTTTGCCAGCTGTTCCTCTAGCTGTTCCTGTTGAGAATATACAAAGAACTCAAAAAAATCATCCCTCGCAAATTTAAAGACCCAATCCAGAAATGGATAGCTGAGATGAATACACACTTCTCATATGAAGAAATACAGCAAATAAATATTTGAAAAATGTTCAGCATCATTGATCATTTGAGAATTCTGAGATTCTACCTCATCCCAGGAAGAATGACTATTATTAGAAATCAACCAGTAGCAGGCTTTGTAGAGAAAGGAACCCTTCTCCACTGTTGGTAAGAGTATAGACTGGTGCAACCACTGTGGAAATCAGTGTGGAGATTCCTCAGAAAATCTAGCATTCAATACAGCTACCCCCCCTTCTAGGTATCTTCCCAGAAGAATTAAAAACATCATACCACAGTGATATATGTGCACCCATGTTAATAGTGGCACAATTTGTAATAGCTAGATCTTGGAAACAACCTAAATGCCCATCCACTGAGGAATGGATAAAAAGATGTGGCATTTCTACACAATGAAGTATGACTCAGCCATAAAGGAGTATAAACTTGAGACCATGCTCATTAGTGAAATAAATCAGACATGCATGTGTAAACATTGAGTTGTCTCACTAGTGTCAGAAGCTAAAAGAAAGTGTGTGTGTGTGTGTGTGTGTGTGTGTGTGTATGGTAGTTAAGATAGTTACACTCCTGATTTCTCTGAGCTCATTGAAGAGAAAGGCTTGTGCTAGTATTATTCAGATGATTAAATGCAAATGACTTGTACTTTGAGTAACTGATTTGAAGGTAACAATATGCAATGTATATACCATTGTTACCCCCTAATTATTGTGTTTTGAAATTTTGTGGGTTTTTTCTCTTTAAAATAAAAAAGAACAACTTGTTATATCTCACATGCCTGGCATCTATTTTAAGGGAAAATAAATATTATCAGAGCAGAATCCCTATTACATCCCTTATATAGCACATCCCTTTTACACATTCTTAGGAGGAAACTACTATTTTGAATTTGGGAATGTATGTCTAGAACTAGTAATTATACGGGAAAATAGGAAAAGACCCCTTAAATCCACTTAAAATTGGGACCAAAAATATACAGTAAATAGTTTAAAAAAGGACTAGTGGTATTTGGGAAATTTTTTTATCAATTATGAAATTATGGCTATGTGTTTAGTCTTGGAACACAAATTTATTAAGTATTGATTAAAAAGGAAAAATTATTGTTTGGTAAAATGGACAAGAGTCATTAGTAATAACAAAACTCAAGACAACACATTTGCACCAGCTTGACTCTTCGGACATGCATATATTACCATTACTTCCAGTCACCCAGCAATGAGCTGTATGAATTATGGCCCCATCGTGAATATGTTAAAGGTACTTCAGCTAGAGGATGGGTAATTTGTGATATATCTCCATGGACCAACCTACAACCTACAACAGTAAGTTAATGAACTAAAGCAACACAAACACATATGGCTAAATCTCACAGACCAGAGTAAGTGAAAAGTTGGAAGACAGTATTTATACTGTTAAAAAATGATGCAGGGGGCTGGGGATTTAGCTCAGTGGCATAAGCGCCTGCCTTGCAAGCAGGCAGTTCTGAGTTCGATCCCTGGTACCGATAAAAACTGAAAAAGACAAAAAAAAAAAAAAAAGATGCAGAACTTGGAAGTAAGGCACAAGAATATCCATATGTCCTTTCAGTATCATACATTGTCTGAGGTGCCCCCATAAACTTATTTCTCTAGGCACATGGTCTTTTGTTGGATTTACTATGTACTGTTGAATAGGGCCAAACTCTATGAAATTACATGTAAATTAGGGATTGGCAAGTTGTAAGTGACTTTTGTCCAGTAGATATAAATGATCTTGGACTGAAAGAAAGAGTAACTGAAAAAGCCCAGTTTGTAATGGAAGCTTCTAAATGCAATACCTCTCAAAAGTTTTTCTACCAACCAGATTTTGATGTTAGAATTTTCCAATACACATTCTAAGGTGGGATAAATATATTTATGGAAAGAAAACTTGGCCCTGGAAATATTTGAAGAAATAGATGAGTCCATTTATATAATGGATGCTGCATTCAAAAGAAAGGGCATAGAAAGCTATCATGAGGCAGGGTGAAGAGCAGAGGGGATGAAGTGCAAGAGGGAGAGAAAGAGCATCCTTCCCCCTGTTCTGTAGCCCAGTGAAACTGTTGCCCCTTAAGCTGTGCCAATCTGAGAATTCAGAAATAAGATCCCAGGCTGGTGATGTTCAAACGAAGGTGATGAGGAGTGTTACTGATCCCCAGTAAGGCTGATCCAGTTTAACAGACTATTTAAGGGTGGCAACCTTACTCCTTTTGAGTTCCAAAGCCTGAGAATATTCAGAACCTTTGCACCACGGGAGGACCTGCTTCAGTAGTAGAGAATGTCAGTCTTAGAGCACAGTTATCTTGAGCAGTGTGACTTAGAGAGTTTTGTTTCTTTTCTTTCTTCTTCTTTTTTTTAGGCTGTTAAGGGATCAAATCCAGGATTTCACACTTGATAGGTGTCTTAGTTACTTTTTTTGTTGCTGGGCCAAAGTACCCAATACCCACAAGTTAAGGAAGGAAAGGTTATTTTGTCTCACAATTTGTAGAAGTTTTAGCCCATATGCAGGGTGTAGCTCCATATGTAGTCCATATATAGAAGTTTTAGCTCCAATGCAGGGTGGCCTACCAGAGGGGGATCACAGAGGAGAAGCAGTCCATAGCACAGCAGGCAGGAAGCAGCAGCAGTGAGGACCCTCCTTTCCCTTTTATTCCATTCAGGCTGCAAGCCTACTAACTAGCTGGTAACACCTGTACCAGGGTGGCCTTCCCATTATCCATACCCAGAACTATGCTAAAATAATCAGTGGGCTAATTCAGTTATCACACATCATAGAGTAGGCCAATTCTGAAAAACCCCACTGTAGGAACCACAGAAGATTGCTTCAAGGGCTGAAGCATCTAAGGACCTATAAGGACGTGACCCCACTATTTGGCGAAGGCACACATGACAGTATCGATAACTGCATGTGCTAGATGGTTGTGACAGTATGCAAGAATATAAACTTGACTATGGCTACTATATATGAGCAAGAGTAAGGACACTGCTTGCTGTTGTTGCTGATATCTGCTCTGTATGCTTTCTCTGGGGACCTCACCCATGAATATACTCCTTCAGCTCCCAACCCCAACACCCCCCTATAAACACACTGAGGCTTTGAGGGGACATCTGGATACAAACTGTAACCGTGGGCAAATGCTCTGCCACTGAGCTACACCCCAGCTCAAGCAGGGTCTGCCAGATGCAGTGGCATACACCTGTCATCCCAGCTGCTTGGGAGGCTAAGGCAAGAGGCATGTGAGCCCAGGCCTGCTTTCACAACTTACTGAGGCACTTTTTGTGGGAGTTTTTGTTAGTTAGTTAGTTAGTTAGTTAGTTAGTTAGTTAGTTTTGTTTTCTAACATACTGTTTTAAATTTTTTAAAAAAGATGTAAAAGAATCAAAATAAAAAGAGCTTAAGATGTAGCTCAGTGATGAAGTATCCGTGGATTAAGTCCCCAGAACCAGAAAAAGTCAAGCAAATTTTAGAGATATCTAATAATTTCTAATATTACATAGTGTACATATACACACATATAAGTTTTAGGTTAAAAATGTTTGGAAAATACAGAATGAAATATTAATCTAAAAACCAGAAGTAATCTTTATTGGTATTATTGTGCATGTAAAGACACTTTAAAAACCAGTGTATTTTTCAGATTACCTTGTTGACGTTCAGAACAATTGTGTTCTCCCTTTTCTCTAAACAGGTAGGTGAGAGTGGGTTGGGAAAAGGAAGTGAATGGGAGGAGAAAAGCATTCTCATTGGCTCTGCTCATTACTCTTCCTGCTGATGTAAATATTACTCCAGTGATCTTTGCATTGGGAGAACTTAAGGGTGCAAGAACTCTGATTTTGCAGCTAACAAATTACAATCCGCTGTCTCCTGAACTTTCTTTGTAGAGTTTTTTTTTTTTTTTTTTTTGTCTTTTTCCTTTTTATCGGTACCAGGGATCGAACTCATGACTGCCTGCTTCCAAGGCAGGCGCTTATGCCGCTGAGCTAAATCCCCAGCCCCGATGTTTTTTTTTTAAGTGTAGGCTTGGTGGCACATACCTGTAATCTCAGGGCTAAGGAGGCTGAGACAGGAAGAATGCCATAAATTCAAGGCTAGTTTGGACTACACACTAAGTGTGAGACTCTGTCTCAAAAAACTAAAAGAAGGGGGAAAAAAGAATAATTTGGACAGAACTCAAAGGAGATCTTGAGTCCTTTATTTTTATTCATTTATTTATGTACTTTTTTTTTTTTGAGACAAGGTCTTCCTATGAGCCCAGGCTGGCCTTGAACTCACTGTGTAGCCCAGGCTGATTCCAAATTCACATGATTTTCCTGCCTCAGCCTCCCACGTGCTGGATTATAGACGTGCACTGTCAAGCCACACCCAGTATGAATCCTCTATTGAGCGATTATTCAATTCCATTTTAGACAGCAAAATTGATATGCTGAAAGTCTGGGGATTTAGCTCAGCGGCATAAGCACCTGCCTTGCAAGTAAGCGGTCCTGAGTTCAATCCCCGGTACCGATAAAAAGGAAAGAAAAAAAAAAAAAAGAAAATCACAGGCTCCTGTGATGGGATAACTTAGCAAGATATTAATCCTGTTCTTACTGTGTCTCCCAGTCTCCTTGTCCAAACCCTTAGCCACACTTTTAAAATGTCCCTCCTTAGGATTTTAGTGAGATGAAATGTAGAAGGACAGGAATCAAGAACTTCTTGTTTTTTTAATGAAATTTGCATTCTAGACTTGTAGGTTGGGAGGAGTGGTTTTAAATTAGGACAGAGAGGAGGAGAGAGGTGAAGAAATGGAGAAAGATTTCATACCTGGGGAAGGGCATAATTGGCCAGCTCTGGGAGGGAAAAGCCTGCCTAGAGCTAGTGAGAAGCCACTTTCCCCATTTAAATACTAATCAGGTAATTAACTCACCAATTGGAAAGGACTAGTGTTACTTTCCAAGAAATATCTCCCTTGGCTAAAAATTGATTTATTCAAGGGAAAGTTTTCTTTTATTAGTGGGTTTTATTTTTCAGTTGCATTAAGAAGGAATGAGTTGCCCTCACTTGTTAATTGTTTTTCTGTCTTGTGCACATTAGTGTTTTTGTGGTCTTTAATCATAAAATATTTTTCACAGAAACAATGACGAATTAAAGAAAATGACAGGAGTTGACATGTGTGATGGTTAAACTGCACTGTCAATTTGGTTGATTTGAGAGCCACCAAGAGGATCAGTAAAGCATACTTTTGGGTGTGTTGCGTGGGTCATAGAGCCGTGACCTTGGGTACTGTGTGTGGCCCCTGGATCCTTCCTCTCTGATACTGTTCACCTGCTCTTCTTGTCCACCGTGAACTAAACATCATTGCTCAAACATACCCTTGACATGATGTTCCTGCCTTGGAGTCAGCTGACCATGAACTAAAACTTCTGAAACTGAGCCAAATAAGCCTCTCCTCTTTTAAAATACGGGTGTTAGATAATTTGTCCCAGCAATGAGAAAGCTGACTACCACAACATACTTTGAAATTATTACAGTTTATGAAGCTTCAGTGAGCATTCCTAGATGAAAGTGGGATTACAAAAAGTACTTGAAGGAAAGCAGGTGTGATCCCCAGAGAAAGAGTTCGATTTCTGAAGAAATATTTCCTCAGGAAACATAAGAAGATAACCTTACCATCAGATAGATAATCCTGGCATTTCTGGCATCTCTTGCGAAAATTAACGCAATCAGACAAATTCTGGCCAAGTTTCCCATCTGAGCCTCTGTCTTGCTCAGGTAGTATCTTTGAAATCGGGCCTCCCTGGTTGGAGTCTGCAGGGAATATAGTATTTACACATTAGTGGCATTAGAATTTGCACTCTCAAGAAGAGCCAGGAAAAAAGAAAAAAAGAAGAGCCAGTAGTGACAGTGCATGCCTGTAATTCCAGCACTTGGAAGGCACTAGCACCAGGAGGATTGCCATGAGTCAAGGCCAGCCTGTGCTACATAATGAGGCCAAGGCTGGCCTGAGCCACATGATGAGACCCTGCCTCAAAAAATGAAACAAGGCAAGTGCCTGCCTTGCAGTCGCACAGTCATGAGTTTGATCCCTGGTACCAAAAATAAAATAAAATAAAACAAAACAAGGGGCCAGGGATGTAGCTCAGTGGCATAAGCACCTGCCTGGCAAGTGCAAGGTCCTCAGTTTGATTCCCAGTACCAAAATAAATAAAGCAAAACAGAAAAAGGAAGTATAGTCATTGATTTTTCATTACCAATACTTTAAAAGATGTTTTTTCTTATGCTTAAATAGAGGAGTATGTATTAGTACAGTCATTTGGTAGAACAATTTGACATCAATTTAAAAAACTGCACATACCTTGAAAATAAGAATGTAGTTAATGGGGGCTGGGGATTTAGCTCAGTGGCATTAGCGCCTGCCTTGTAAGCATGCAGTTGTGAGTTTGATCCCCAGTACAGGGGAGGAGGTGTAGTTATTAGAAATTCATTACTGGTGCACACACAAACATGCACATGCACATTAATGAATGTGACTTTATTTCCTTGAAAAAATCATAAGTAATTATTAAAAGTATTTTTTGAAAGAAGGATTTAAAGTGAGGGAGGGCAGCTTTGATTTGTCTCTGTGAATTTCAATTATTTTAAATTTAGTGTGTCTTATTCTCATTTTGTCATTATTATTTCTAATACTAATAGGGTTAAGTAATTAGATGATTGCAAGGCAATTTTTCTTTGGACTTTTAAACAACAACAACAACAACAACAAAAACCTGTAGGGCTGTGGCTGTAGTTCAGTGATAGAGCACTTGCCTAACCTGTATAAGGCCCTGGGTTTGACCTTCAGCACTGCAAAACAAAAGTATCCTTTAATAATTACTTAAAATTCTTAAATTTATAATTGGGAAGTACATGAGAAAGTCAAGGATAGGAAATACCTTAAACTGGATGGTTGACATTATTTTATTACAGTCCTATTCTTTTTTGCATTATATATGCATATATAGTTGGGAATCGTGTGTTTAAAATTTGGAAAATAGGGCTGGGGATTTAGCTCAGCGGCATAAGCGCCTGCCTTGCATGCAAGCAGTCCTGAGTTCGATCCCTGGTACCGATAAAAACGAAAAAGACAAAAAAAAAAAAAAAAGACAAATAAAATTTGGAAAATAAAGGCAGATCAAATTTTGAGAAATAATTTTTATAGGAGAATTAAAAATGGATATCAAATCAATAGAAGAAAAATAAATATTAAAATATTCAGTGTGAGCTATTTCTTCTTTGTTTTATTTTTTGAAACAAGATCTCATTATATAGTCGAGGATGGCCTCAATCTCATGGCTGTCCTCCTGCCTCAGCCTCCCAGGTGCTGGGATTACAGGTACACACTACCATATCCAGCTTAATTTGGCGCCTAGAGTGATCTTGACTAATGAGACCTGTCCATGATGGCTTCCAGATACAAAATAGTCACTTAGGGAGGGGTGACTATTGTAGTGACAGGCACATAAGAGATTCCTATTGCTGCTATGAGTGACCACAGAGTCTTATCCCGCAGTTCTGTCAGAAGTCTGAGTGGGGCTCACTGAGCTGACATGATAGTATTGGCAGGGCTGGGTTTTGTGTAGCTCTGGGGTCGGGGAAGGCAGGAGGGATCCATTCCAGCTTCAAGGCACCACCTACATTCCTTGGCTCTTTGTCCCTCTCCTCCATCGTCAAAGCCACCAAAGTAGGAAGATGTCCTCATGCTATCTCTAACTCATTCTTTTCTTCCTCCTTCCTTTACTTTTAAGGACCCCTGTGACCGCATGGAACACATCCCCATAACTCAGAATAATCTCCCTGTTAGAGAGTGAACAGATTAGCTACCTTAATTTCATCTGTGACCTTACTTTCCCTTTGCCTTCTAACAGAGTCACAGGTTCTGCTAGGACAAGAGACAAAATTCAAAATGTCTCCTTATTCTGCATATTTTCTAGGGACAGTGGGTTTATTACTTATCACCTATCCAGAGAAGTGATGGAAACCATATACTAATGTCCTGCAGCTCCTGCCTGACTCCTCCTGATGTGTAAGCCCCTAGAATGAGAATCACTGTGCTGTGTTTGCTGGCTGCTGTCTGGCTCGGGAAAGGAAAATATAATCATTGGTAAGTTTGTTCAGACTGGGCTCAGACTTGTGATCCTCCCACTTTGGCTTCATTTTCCTTTTTTTACTGTTTGCATTTACAGTGTTCCCTGAATATCTGGGTTGTCACAATGGTAGAGATGGTGGGGAATGGCAAAGTCGGAGGGTGAGCGGGAGTTGCAGTGTGGTGGGGGAATTACTTTGATGTGGATGTGCCTGAGTCAGTCTTAATCCTGCACAAGTTTTAATGCAGCAACACATGTCAGGTTGCGAGCACATGAACAGATGGCACCACTGTGTTCTGATGAACACATTCTGAGTGTTATTCGAAGACAAATGGTACCGACTTGAAACATCTGGCAAAAGTTTTTTGATGCTGCGCCAGCACTGATAGGTTTCATCTGCCCTGGAGCTTCTCTGGAATGCTGAATGAATCTGAAACCTCAGAATGGACTACCAGATAAAACATGTGACTTCCAAGAAAGGTCCCCAGGCCTTGAAGCAGAACCCAGCAGTTCCAGTAAGGATGGCCATCAGGGAACAATGGGACCGGAAGGACCTGTTTCCTGGCTTCTGTTTCTGAGGCTGTGGGTCAGCCTTCTAGAGGGGAACCAGTTGTGCAACACCCTGGAAGTTTTAAGAATTTAATTCACATGGTGCCAGCTACAGCTGACAGAAGTGGAAAGAGTATGCTAGAGGAGCTTATTTTATTTTCAACTCCAAGGGAGTCGAACAAAAAAATGAAAATAAAAGATAGAAGAGAAGGATATCACAACAATTATACTTAATTTTTAAAAAAACCTGCATTGCTTCTCAGCCTTTTGGCTAAGATCAAGTGTAAAAAAAACTGCAGCTTCCAGGATACAGCCACAACTAAAGTTCCCAAGCCATAAAATGACCCGATTAAGAAAGTAAGGTATAGGGGCTGGGGATTTAGCTCAGTGGCATAAGTGCCTACTTTGCAAACACACAGTCATGAGTTCGATCCCCAGAACCAAAAAAAAGTAAGATGTAGGAGCCAGCAAATTGTGTATGTGCAGAGGCTGTGAGCAGGGTCCTGGCAAAAGCAGGTATAGGCGGCCAGAAGGCCAAGCCAAAGAGGGAGTCCAAAAGATTAGGTGAAGGAAGGATGCCTTAGTGACCAAGGCCAGGACATCTGGAGGCTCAACAAACAAAGCCCTCATTAGATTGGTGGGACTTCACTGGACTATATCCATAGCTGTTTTTTTTTTTTTTTTTGCCTCATGCTTGCAGGTAAGCGCTTGTGCTGCTGAGCTAAACCTTTGGCCTGATCGGTGGGATATTCTGCCTAGGAACAAGATATTCATATTCTCCACTCTACTCCACCACCCCCCCCCCACTTTTTTTGGGTACCGGGGATCGAACTCATGACCATGTGCCTACAAAGCAGGTGCTTATGCTGCTGAGCTAAATCCCCAGCCCTTCTCCCCCTTTTTTGAGACAGGTCTCACTATGTAGTTCAGGCTGTCCTTGAACTCACCATGTAGCCCAGGCTGGCCTCAGACTTGTGGTGATCCTCCTGCCTCTGCCTCCCAAATGCTGGGATTATAGGCATTCACCACCAGGTCTGGCCAACTGATTTGTGAAATGCTGTATCTATCATACTCCACAGAACCTCTTCTCCAGGTGTCGTGCTACATGCCTGTAATTTCAGCATTCAGGAGGAGGCTTTAGGCAGGGGGATCACCACAAGTTTGTGGCCAGCCTGGGTTACACAGTGAGCTCACTGCTAGCCTAAACTGCGTAGTGAAGTCTTGTCTCACATAATAAAAAAGATGCTCTCTGGCTAGAAACATAGAGCATCTTTGTTTTTCCAACATGAAACATTATGGGGTAGGATTGTTATTGGCAGCAAGGCAATTCTTAACCAGCCCTCCTTCTGTAGTGTGGGGTTTTGTGCATCGCATTTTCTGTGCTTAGGACTCAAGGGATTCTAACAGTGACCCAGAAGAGGCTGCGGAGGGTGCCCGACCCAGTCATACACAGAGCCAGGAGGTCAGAACCCTCAGCCGGCTTTAGAGAAGCCCTGTGGTATTTGAGCAGAATGGAACCGAGCATCTGTTTCCCTCAAACTGCACAAAAGGGAGGAACCACGTTTTTCATGTTCTCCCCTATTTGCTTGGTTTGCTTTCAGCTTTGAAAATCTGCTGTACAAAGAGAGAACAGCAGTGGAGTTCTCAGCAGTGATGGGAGAGGGGTGATATTTGGCACCTTGAAGCGGCTCTGGAACTGTTATTATCTGTAAATTGTTACTTCAAGGAACCACTATACAGGGATTCAGAAATTTCTACTTCCTAAGCTAAACAAAACATAGACAGCTCAGAAAAAGTAAACTTTGAATACTAGCCTTTGTCTTGTTTTGGAGGGTCCTCTGTGGCACGCAGGGTTGTGATGAGTTTTTCACTGACACTTTGATAAACTGAGAAACTCAAGTTGCAGAGCAGCTGGAAGACATTGGGAATGGCCCAGCTTGGCTCAGCATCTGCTCTGTAGGCTGGCTCCTTGGACAAAGATGGAAAAAAGAAAGGCTCTGTAACGTCAGTCCCCGATGTGAAATATGACTGAAAAGCCTGGTCAAATTCTCGCCGCAGCTGTTTGAAGACGTAAAGGCTTCTGTTGAAGAGAGATGTCACATCTGCGCTCAGCTGGCTGAACACATGCTCTATGTGTGACACCTGCGCATCTTCCTCAGTGACCCCTTTGCTGACAGGGCCACTTCTGTCATTTTCCTGGAGAGGAAACAGAAACTGATAGATCTTCCTGAAAAACTGTTCCACCTGTAGGGTGAGGTGAAGGGAAAAAATGGAATAAAATTTTATTTTTTGGACCTGTTTTTTTGTTTTTTTTTTTGAGGCAGGATCTTGCCAGGTACTTCAGACCAGCCCTGAACTCATTATTAGCTCAAGCTGACTTCAAACTTGTGGTGATCTCCTGCCTCAGCCTCCCAAGTGCTGCGATTACAAGCATGTGTTCCATGCCTGGCTCTGGACCATTTCTTACTGAAAATTTTAAAGTCATCATCACAAATCAAGAATAGTTTCGATCAAGACAGGAAAAAGTGAATACCTTTTTTTTGTTTTGTTTTGTTTTGAGACAGGGTGCCTTACTTCCAAGTTCTGCATCATTTTTTTTTTTTTTTGTCTTTTTCCTTTTTATCGGTACCGGGGATCAAACTCACGACTGCCTGCTTGCAAGGCAGGTGCTTATGCCGCTGAGCTAAATCCCCAGCCCCCATGAACTTACTTTGTACCCCAGGCTGGCTTTGTAGTAATCTTCCTGCCTCAGTTTCCCAAGTGCTGGGCATACAGACATGCACACCACACCCAGCTCTATTTTGAGACATTGTACAGTATGAACACTCTTGTACCTGGCTTGGCTTTGATTGTGGAGATAGAATCTTAAATTTCTGCTGGTTCATGTTTGCAGCTGAGGATCTAAGAAGGTCAAATTTTCAATACAGCTCTCAAGCTACAGTCTTTTGTACCAGTGGTTGTTAGCATTCCTTGCCTATAGGGCACCATGGGAACTGCCTGAAAACTGAAAAGGATTAGTTTGTTTTTTTTTAAAATCTCTTTAGTGGACTGCCACTATTGTCTTTTCATGGTTGTGAACTTACAGCACACATGCCACAGTGGGCTGTTTGTGTCACTGAAAATGCTACCAGGGTCACCATTACTATTATATGCTTCTTTTTGTCATCTCATAGATCAGTCTGTGGAAGGAATACACCCACACATCTATGCTGAATTATAGATACCAGATACAATTCAATAGGTTACTTAGGGATGGACACATATTAACAGTGATCAAAGCGCTTCTTGTTATATATAGTTAAAGGAATGAAGCTTTAATTGTAGAATTTTAAGGATCATGCAAGTGGAAAGATTTTTCAGCAGTCATGCTATACTCTTTTCTACCCATGTGACGCCAAAGTCTTGGAGGACCATAGTTCTTATAGTATAATGATATTGACATAGTCATTATTACTATTATTATTATTATTATTATTATTTGTCTTTCTGAGACAGGGTCTCACTGTGCAGTTCAGGCTGGTCTTGTGCTCACTGTGCAGACCAGGCTGGTCTCGAACTCTCAGGGATCCTCCTGCCTCAGGCTTCTGAGTGCTGGAATTACGGTGTGCACTACCATGCCCGGTGTAATAGTTATTATTAAAATTAAAAATTCTCTAGGAATTTTTAAAGACTTGTGACTTTCTCAGAAAATAATCTGGAAAAGTTATCTGTCTCTCTGTCTGCCAGCTTTTGTTTACTTGACTCCATCTATAAAAACAGAGCTCTAATGCTGGGTGAAGTGGTACATGTCTATAGTCTGAGTACTGAAGCTGAGACAGAGGATCATTTGAGAGTAGGAGTTTGGGACCAGCGTGGATAATTTAGTAAGATCCTGTCTTTAGAAAAGAAAAAAGATACAACTTTAAAGCCCCAAGATATTTTCAGAACCAGGTATGGTAGCATATGCCTATTATTCCAACATGCAGGAGGCTGAGGCAGGAGTGATCATGACATTTGAATGCTATAGTAGGTCCTATCTTCACACACAAAGTTTTTTTCTGCAAACAACAGATGCAATTAACAGTGGAGGCAAATTAACTCAGTGCATTCTGTATCCTAGGGGTGTATTCTGTATCCTTTGTAATTGAGTAGGGCAGTGCCAAGCCAGGCACCTTCTCTAACACATGCAGACATATGGACAGTGAAATTACACTGTGCTTCGTATCCAGCTCGCTCCTTGAAGGAGGAGGAAAATCCAGGCCAATGTGAGATTTTTATGGGGCAGAGCTCATCCTATTCAGGTCACCACCCTTTGCGAATCCCTCTGCCCCACAGACAGCCAGAGGGGATAAAAACAGGTCAGTCCTGTAGGATGTACACGGAGGGGGGAGGTAGAGGTGTGTCTGACATCTGTGTCTGTGCCGCAGTTAAGAGTGCAGGTGTGGAGAGACTGGGAAAGCTTTGTGAAGCAGAGACCCTTTTCAGATAGGCGCCTTGAGGGAGAACAACTGTGAAGCAGGTTGGAATCAGAGACTTTAATACTGTGATTGAGAATGCAGGGCAGCAAGCATTTATTAGATGCCTACAGTGCTCAAATGAAGACAAGCATGATCACACGATCCCTGCCCTCAAAGAGCTTACAATCTGGTGGAACAATGTTCATGAGTAACAAATGCAAGGCTGAAGGACATTGAGTCTTTCTGAGAAAGATACAGATGGTATGGTTCAAAAGAGGGTAAAAACTAGATGTCCTGATGTGTAAATTATACAGGTACAGAAGCATTTGTGTTTGATTTTAAATTGCAAAATGTCATGTTCTGATGTGTAAATTATACAGGTACAGAGGCATTTGTGGTTGATTTTAAATTGCAAAATGTCAATGTCACATCAGACTTCTCTATTCTATTAATATAAGTTAATGAAAAGGTAAAGCTGATGGAGATGCTTTATGAACTTTTGAGCATCCTTTTCTTCTTACCATATTTTTCACAGAGGACCATGCAGGTTGGCAGGTGGTATCAAACCTCATGCAGTTACTTTCCAGGCAAGCCCTGCATTCATCCCAGGAATCTGCCAGAGAAACCTGGCATAAGCTTTCTTCCTCCTCCAGGTGTTCATGAACTTCATTCATAAGTTTCAGGGCCTCCTAATTAAAAAGTAGAAAAGAAGTACTATTTCCATTCTGTGATTCTGTTTGGATCTTGGTTGATTTCAGGCTTTCAAAAATGTGCATATTCTAAACTACTTGCAACTTTCTCCTCCAGGCCTCCAGTGACTGACAGATCTGCTCTAGCACTTTCTGTTTCAATTAAGAAAAGGCCACTGACAGAATCATTAAAGCCTGAGTAAATCTTATTCATCTGTTCATTTGTTTGACAAGTATTTATCGCTTTGTGATGGGTATTAGACTAGATGTGGGAGAGTCAGTCCCAAAGATCCACTGTGATCCACCTTTTAACTTGTCTTTTATATGACTAGGCTATCGAGGATGGGGATGGTGGGCTTTAGGGCTTATGACAATGGTGTTTTATTGCTTTCAGTTTTGCTCCTTTAACTGTTGTGCGCTTTTAAGTATTGCAGGAAAGCGCGATGCTTATATTTCACCATTTAGTTGTATTCTAAGAGCAGAGGTACTGTCTGTCCACAGAGCAGTGTCCTTCTGTCCCTATCCTGAGCACTCCCCCTTGTGGTACTGGCTGGACATGGCCAGGTGGAGCCCAGCATCCTTGTCATCTGGACGTTAGAGCCTCAGCCCTGCCCTTCAAGATCTCCACAGGCTGGCACATAGCACAATGAACCCCTCTTTTGCCCCCGAGACTCTTTGTAATGTGGGCTCCTAAGGCTGCTCTGTATGCCTGGCCTGGAGTTCAGGGCAGTGAGGGGAGAGGAGTGAGGAGCAGAACGTGATGGCCCTGTCCCTAAGACAGCCTCAGGCACACTGTGTCTGCTTTGCAGGAAAAATGTAAGCAGGAGAAGTCTCTGTATTTGAAACCAAGATTTTTGCGCTTTTTCTTTCTCAATGGAAAAGAAAAAGAAATTACCCTTTTCTGGCCCATTAAGCCCACCTACTACCACAGCTCCATAGCTCCACCCTCTTCTAGGTTTTCTCTGCCCCAGGGTGGATTTTTCAGCTGCCCTCCTTGCAGACCTCTGGTGAGATTTTTGACTCATGTAGGAAGATAGGAAGGCCTTAGCCCACCAAATGCGCATGTGTGCATGTCTTGGGCTTTGCAGAACAATGTTGGAATCCTACATTTTCTTAAGAACAGTTGTTTCGGGCCAACGATGTAGCTCAGTGGTGCAACTGCTGCCTGGCAAATGTGAAGTCCTGAGTTTGATTCCCATTACTCCTTCCCCCCAAAAAGAAAGCTCGTTTCACTCAGGTAGGCAGCCATACCTCCTGGGTTTTCTCTCAGTCAGTTGCAATTTTAAATATTCTACTCATGTTCGCTTCAATCCATATCCTAGTATTCCCATTTGTGAGCTACGCTTACCATGTGTCCATGGGTGAATGACCTAAGCCTCAGTCTCCTCCTTAGCAAATCTGATGACTTTTGCTTTACATGAAATAAGGAAGTGAGTCATTGAGCACCACACTGTCATTGAGAAGCCTCAGACTTAATTCCTCTTAGTAGAAACATAATGAAGGTTACTGATCAGGTCACGCCTCCCAGTTATCAAGGGTAAAGTCAATTTTTGTTTTAAGAAAGTCTTGGCCTACAATGGAATATTACTCAGAAAAAAAAAAAAGTCTTAGCCAGCCCAACATGGTGATGTACTACTATAATCCCAGCACTGGGATTACATCCCTTTCCCCTCCTCCTCTCCTCTTTATGTTTTAATCCTTCTTCTCATTTGAAAAAAAGATCTCTCTGTGCTTCCTGTCTTCTATTTTGCTATTTATATTTTAGGTTTCTCATATAAGAGAAACCACATGATATTTAAGCTTGTGTGTCTGATCTATTTCACTTAACATTGTGGTCTTGAGTTACATCTATTTTCCTACACATTTATCCTTCGAATTTGACTTTCTTTATGACAGTAATATTCCATTTGTATACAAAGAAAATGTGATATTTATGCCAATTAACTTTTTGAGTACCCCAACTTGAGTATAATACAATGAACTGTATATCAGAAGTAAATTTTGAAGGGTAAATAAAAATTCTGTCAGTTTCTGAAATTGTTTAGGGCCAGTATTGAAATGAGTATCTGCTTGCTGCTTTGACCTCTAACTGGAATGCTCTTTCCATTAGACTACACCCTGAGCTGGTCAGGAGGCTCGGGAGAGTGAGAGAAACAGAAAGTGCCTGGGTCCCACTTGTGCACATCTGCTGGTTTTCTCCTGGCTCATTCATTCCAAAGCAGGAGTAACATGCAATTAATGGCTCCAACCTCAGTTTTCTGGAAAATGAAAGTATGGTTGACCCAGATACTGGAGCATTCCATGTGATAATGGGTTTTGTAAAGGGCCTATCAGTGACATTTGGTGTCACTATTCCAGACTTGCAAGCCCACCAGGGACGATGCCAGCTTGAGAGGCTCCCACATTGTCCTGATAAGGGACTACATTAGATTTTCTACAATCTTCCAGCTGTTACCAAAAGGGAGGAGGGTTTGCAGCTGTTGGCCAGGCAATCTTCCTTCCTTGCCAAGAACCTGGGAGGTGGGCCTGGCTACAGTGTTACAGACAGCTAAGTACAGGGCTTAGGATCCTTGAAGGAGTCAGTGCACACAGGGTTACAGCTGTGGCTGTATTCCTGCACATTCCTTGAAGGCCAGGCCTCAAGATAAAAATGGAATGACTAAACCTACCTGCCAATCCCACCCCCTGGGATAAACAATAAGGATCAATATTCCAAACAGGCATCAGTCATCCCAAAGAGGCATCAGTCATCGGGTGGGGGAGTAGGACCCCTGACTCATCTCTTCCAAAAAAGGTCCTTGTTCTTTCCATGTATACTTAGTATGTGTCTTGCTTCCCCACTGGGTCAGCATTACCTAAGTAGCTAAACTTGCAGTCTTATTGGTTGATTGTAGTTTTGTCCCACCGTGTACCTACCTCATGCTTTTGCTCTCTAAAACTTCCCTTGAGAAGCTGGCTCATGGGTGGCCTACTTCGGAGTCCCTTCCTGCCTCTCAGGCAGGAGGTATTGCTCCCTCGCTAAGTATTTCCTACTCTTAACCTCTGTTGTTCCTCACAATTCATTCTTGGGTTTTGGGGAACATGGACACAGTGTATGGAACATCTAACAGGGTGGGAGTTACAATATTTCCCTACAGCATCTGGAGGTCTTATAGCAATAGGCTGGTACAGCTTTTGGGTCAGTTTATTAAACGTGGGGTCAGTCACTCAGTGGATTCTCAGGGACCAAATGCTTAAGAGTAAAAAGATACAAGGGCAATCTGGAATTCTCTGTCTTCAACTTTATAGGTGATAGATACAGGTATGGGTAGGAAATACTAAAATTCCACTGGTATTCTTTAATTGAAATTTGATGGGAACTGGGTGTGGTGGCACACTCCTGTAATCCCAGCACTTGGGAGACTGGGTTCAAGGCCTGCCCAAGGCCAGCGTGGGCTAGATAATGAGTTTGAGTCTAACCTGAACTACATAGCAAGATCCTGTCTCAAAAGAAAAAATTGACAGGGGCATCTGATCCCTAGGATGGCTGAAGATTTAAAAAATAAATTGACAGGGACTGGGGAAATAGGACATTGTTTAATAGACATAATTTTCAGCTTTTCTGAAATGGAAAGAATTCTAGGGTTTGATTGTATAACAATCTAAATGTATTTAACACTACCAAACAGTATGCTTAAAAATAATTAAGATAGGAGTTAGGGTTTAGCTCATTGGTAAAACATGTGCTTAGCATGTGTAAGATGCTGGATTTGAGCCTCAGCACCAATGAAGAATTAAACAAGATTCAGATGATAAATTTTATTAGTATTTTACCACAATTTAACATTTCTTTAAAAATGAAAAGTAATTTACTCCTAACGTTAAAAAATTTTAAGTATTTTCCAAATTATTTTTGTTTTAGTTCTGTTTTGATGAAGGGTATTGCTGGAGAGTAATAGTTTAGAAAAATGATCATTTTGAGTGTTGTAGTGTTAAGTCTTTAAACTTTGAGGGATACAATATGTACAGTTTGAGTTTTATACAGTAGTTTGTGAACAATTTTTAGTATCTTCCAGGCCATTTGATTATAATGTGTGTGTGTGTGTTTCTCCCCAAGAGAAGGTCTCACTATGTATGAACTTGAACTCACTTATGTATCCCAGACTGGCCTTGAACTCACAGCAGTCCTCCTGCCTCAGCCTCCCCAAGTGCTGGGATTACAGGCATGCATCACCATGTCTGGCTGATAATGTATATTCTTTGTTGGTAAAAGATACAACAGTAGATGAACTACTACTGTTCAGTGAAGCTATCTGAAATTTTTAAAATGTTGAGGTTTGGGGATGTAGACAGCTTGCATAGCATGCCTGATGCCTTGAGTTTGATCTCTAGCACTATAAAGTCAGTCAAATGAGGTGGTAGCCAGGTGGACTGCTTAGTATGCATTGGTGTTGTCTTGATGTGATCATGTCAGAATCCATGTGGCCACTGTATGTGAGGACCATGGACACCAGGGGACCTTCTGTGTTCCAGAAGCTTTGGCCAGCCCCTCCCCCATCATTTGCAGTTGATCGTAATGAGTTGAGTCAGGCGGCCGATGAACTTTATTCTCTAGTTGTAACTAACCCTTGTGAAATAGATTTAAAAGATTCTTGGGGTAAAAAACTCCAGGATATTAAAAGCATTTCAGTATAAGCCAATGGTGGCAAACCTGTGGCATATGTGTTATTTGTTTTGTTTGAAGATAGGGTTTCACTATATAGTTTAGGCTGGCCTTGAACTCTCATTTTGTAGCCCAAAATGGCCTTAAAATTGCAAAAATCCTCCTGCCTCAGACTCCCAAGTGCTGGGATTATAGGTGTGCACCATCATGTCAGGCAAAGAAGTGAGCTTGAGGGGCTTTTTTTTTTTTTTTTTGTATCAGGAACTGAACTCAGGACCTTACACTTATGCCACTGAGCCATATCCCCAGCACTGTACTTCTTTTAAAATAAAAGATGAGAATGTAGGGCCAGGGATTTAGCTCAGAGGCCTAAGTGCCTGCCTGGCAAGCGAGGGTGTGAGTTTGATTCCCTGTACAAAAAAAAAAAAAAAAAAAGATGTTAATGTAGAGTTGTTTTTCGTAAACTAAAAACCTCAGTATTCAGGTTTATTGTAGTACTAGCACTTAGTGATAAATAAGTGTGTTTGAGGTTGCAGTTTGGGCACTTGGTCTCTAAAACATTTACTATCACTCATATAAGCTCAAGTTGACAAAAAGCATAAGACGGGGCACTGACATTTCTTCATGATAAGCTCTTTATTGATCATGTGACAAAATGAAACCATGATGATCTAATTGAATCTGGCAAGTTGGTTAAAAGTGTCACAATATCTAGCCAGATGTGGTGGTGCATGCTTTCAATCCTAGCACTTTTAGAGGCTGAGATAGGACAATTTCATGGTGGAGCTCAGCCTGGTCAACTTAGGGACTTAGTGAGATTCTGTCTCAGAATAAAAAAAATATTAAAAGAGTGCGAAGCTGTAACTCAGTACAAAGGTCCTGATTTCAATTCCTGATACTTAAAAATCAAAATATCTGGAGTATTTGAAATATGAAGCTAGTGCTGAACCTCATCCTAAGTGTCTATTTTACATTCAGAGACTGATGGCAGCAATTCATGTATCTAATTTAAAAGTAAATTAATATGCACATATTTAGGAATGAATGCTAACAAATTTTTAGTAATAAGGATGAGAAATCAAAACACTTTGGGCACCACTAATCTAACCCAAAACTCCATGAAGTTTGCCTCATGATGAATTAAGAATGAAGCATTTGGGGGCTGGGGATTTAGCTCAGCGGCATAAGCGCCTGCCTTGCAAGCAGGCAGTCATGAGTTCGATCCCTGGTACCGATAAAAATGAAAAAAGACAAAAAAAAAAAAAAAAAAAAAAAAAAAAAAAGAATGAAGCATTTTTGAGAAGTAGCACTTCTCACATAGGGATAAATCCCCCAAATTCCTGTGTCAGAAACCTGCAGAGTCCCATTCTACAAGGAATATGTTCTTCAAAAAAAGTTGAAGTTTCCTTCAGATGTTTCCTCCACCAAAGGCTGTTCTCCAGAAAATTTGTAACTAGGGAAAATATGTACTTATCAGTTGCACTAATAACAGCAATATTTAGAGTCCACATGTGTTTATGAATAGGTGTCATTTTCAATTACAGTACCTGCTTTTCTTCTTTGCACTTCTTCAAGGTTTTCATTAGTTTGCTGTGTTCTTCCTCTCTCCTTTCCATCATGATTTTCATCTGTTTAATGCCAATCAAAGCTATCTTCACCTCTCCATCTACGTCTATCTCCCCAGCCTCAGAAAAACCTAAAAACATATTGCAATTTTTGGAGATCTGATCAGATTACCAAACAATGAGATCACCATTCTTTCTTGTGCCTGAAATAGAGGCTTAATTGTTCTTTATAGCCTCTACTCTGAAAGCAGATCATAGTGAATTAGCTGTCAGCTGCCACATGGACTCAGCTGTCACATGATGATACCTTCTGTTCTTCAGTTGTGAGCTCCTGGACAACTCAGAGCTCATTCACCCTCATTTTCTCTCTCCCTCTCTCTTCTTTGTGAGTTATTATTTTCATTTTGTTTTGCTTTTTGATATAAGGTCTTGCTATGTAGTTCAGGCTGGTATTAAACTTACTATGTAGCCCAGGCTGGCCTGGAACTATAGGTGATTCTCCCTGCCTCAGCCTCCACCCTCACCCCCTAGTGCTGGGATTATAGTCCTGGGCCACCCCACCCAGAACACCCTCATTCTTGTCATTTTCCTCATTCCCTGTTCTCATTTAATCTTTTTGTTCCCTTTGATCCTGTGTGTTTATTTCTGAATTTTCTTCACCAACTCACCTATATAAAATGTCCAGGTCGGAGCTTTGAACACAACAAACATTTTCACTTACTTAGCTTCAGTTCCTTTCCAAGAATCATTGAGCCAAGAAAATATCTCATAAAATACAAGATTCCTTAATAACCTAGTGGTTTAGATTTTTGAGATAGGGTTTCATTAGGTAGTTCAGGCTGGTTTTGAACTCACTGTATAGGCTATGTGGGCCTTGAACTCCTGGTGATCCTTCTGCCTCAGTCTCCTGAGTACTGGGATTACAAGCGTGTGCTCCCACATCTGGCTTCTCTTTCATACTTTTAGTAAGACTTTGGTGGATATAAAGTTCATTGTCATTCTCTTTTCCCAATAGCCAGAGTGGCCTCTTGAGAACTTATTCCTGCCTCTGAGTTTAATTATATTCCACATCAGCTCTATGTTAGTAATTTATTTTTGTAAGTGTTAAAGACCCAAAACCTGTATCACTAAACAAAGGTTACAAATTAATGACCACAGAACAATCACATTCAGTATAATTATAACCCACCTACTCATTAGTTGTAGAACAATCACAGATTGTTCAGATGGTTTAAATTCTTTAAATGCTAGAGAAGTTATTTCACTGTTCATTAAAAGCTGTGCTGAGATGACATCAAACATCTGGATAATACCAAAAAATGCAGTAAAAAGTTTGGCAGGTTTCATATACATGATAGCAAACATCTGTATGTGTGATCGCTCCATTGCAGAGACTTGACAAGAATTTTCTATTTTTATCCAGCTGTTTGGTGTCATGACATGACTTGGTCTCAGTTCTTAGAGAACTTTTCACCATGAAACAGTGAACACAGTTCTCTCTCAAGCGAAGGTCACTGTAAATGCCACTGCGACATACAAACATGCAGACAAGACACAGCACAGACAAGGCCTAACATACTGTTCGCGTTTTCACTGATGGCAGTTTTGTCCTTCCAAGTAGGTGCACAATGACAGTCTTTCAACCATAGCAGACACACGGGAAACATCAAAAGTGGCAGCTTCATGTTCTCACTGTTACTGCAGAGGAAAAGTAAATCCACATCAAATGCTTTCCACTGAAGCTTGTTTCTGTCGGCATTAGTTGAAAACACATGGGGCTCCAAAGTATTTGTCTGTCAAATTCTCTTTATGACTTTAGACATCTTATGCTAATATGCTCGGAAGCTTAAAATGCATACTAATTTTTTTTACAAATCTGAATCCCTATTGAATTTACAATCTTCACAGCGATTATTTAAATAGGGTCCTCATCTGAGGTACTTGAAAACCAAGTAGAGGTCATAGCCCCATAGACTCCAAACTTCATTTGAATTTCTTGTCAACCATAAACATCACTGAAGACACAATTAATGAGATCATGTCAGTTTTTTCCCTCTAAAATTCCAAGTGCTCAAACAAGTTCATTTTTTATGAGAGCAAAACAAACATTCATGTATTTTTTATCATAAAGCCAGTTGTGCTATATGAATAATTAACAGCTAAATTTTTCTTCATTTTAAATGTAATTTGATATACCTTATAAATATTCCTAATACAAATACTAAAAGTTAGAACAACTGTATGTTTAACAAAGTTAAATCTGTTAAAGTAAGCCGTATTATTTTAACTCCCCTTTCCAAAAGAGAATATTTATTTGCTTTGTGTATATTTAAAAAATAACAAAAACTTCTAGTATGAAATGAACATTTGAAATGTCTTTCAAATACAATTATAAAATAAGATCTATACTAATTATTACATAATTACCACATTTTACATATCACTTGACCTTCTTTTCTATGAATACCCTGTTCACCAAGTGAAACTGTTGAAATCATATATTTACCCTGATTTTGCAGTGTCTCCCCAGAGAAGTTGCCACCAGCTTCTAGAACAATCTCTACTTTTCTCTGACTTAATTTTTATCTGTGTAAGAGACTTGGCACTGTTCTGTTAATTTGATGACACAGTTCTTAATCCTATTAAATCAATAGTTTGAGATTAAGAATGCAGCTTAAAATTCAGTAAAGTTTTAAAGGAATCACTAGAGGGCAGGCTGGGCACACTGTTACGAGCAAAGACCTTGGGCTACTTTATTTAGTCCTTGGGTTCAGATCTCACAAAGTTAAAAAAAAAAAAAAAGGATTTGTTGTTTGTTGTTGTTATTGTTTACTTTGAAATTCATGACATGTATTCCTAAAAAACCCCTCTTAGATTGAAAATAGAAGCAATAATGTGAAAGCAAAGAACTCCTAAGTGAAAATTTTTAAAATTTTTTGGTTTTTTTGAGGTTGGCCTCGATCCTCCTGTCTCAGCCTCCTGAGTATTGGAATTACAGGCATGGGCCACCACGCCCAGCCCTAAATGAAAGAAATTGAAAGAATATTTAGTTTAGACATTATTTGACCACAAGAAGTGATATAACTAAAGTGATGAAGTCACTTTTAACTACATAAAGTGATTTTAAAACACCTAGTGCATAAATACTGCAGTAGATGAGTCAGGCCTGCTACAATCGGCTAATTGATTAGCTGAACTGAAAACATGGTCCCTAATAAATCATTGGAAAACAACTTAGCTGTTAGGCACAGTCACCAGCTCTAGACTCTGCAGAGGTCTCTCTGGCTATAGAAATGACAAGAACATGTTGAGCTCCTTTTGAAAATTGGAGAGAGCTGCTAATCCAGGGGGCAGACCTCAGGGTTATGAACGGGTCCCCTTGCTTTCAGGGAGCCTTTAGAAGCTGGTCCTTGTCTCTGAGGAATCTGTGTCGGGAACCTGGCTCTGCTCTGCACTGACACAGAGTGTGAGCAGTCACAGGAGATGCTCTGCCTCAGCCCACACCCCATTTCAGCTGTCTTGACCTCCTGCTAATTCTCCATTTTGGTTGGAAACCTCATAGCTCTGTCAGAAAACAGATGAGCTCAAAGCAAACTCGAGCTATTACTATTTTAAACAGCTGAATGTCACTTTTGAGCAACTATAACTCACACCTATAAACAGGTTTGGCCTCTCCTGAGAGATGGCCGGTGTGTGAGCACGGGAAGCAGCACATCTGGAGACCTCTCTCAGGAATAAAGAGCACAGTTCTGAAAGAGGCGATCTGAGGAAACTGCCGGGCTCTAGCCTGACTACACGTCCCTGCTCGTGAGTTTACTGCCATCCAAGTTCAGGGGCATTAGAAGTCACAGCTGACATCCGAATGTTCCTTTTAAACACATCCACATTTTGTTGAAAATGGAGCTGTTGCTTAGGAAACTCAGCGACCAACCCTCTATTAGCAGATTTTCCTGTTTAATCCATTTTCGCCCTTTCTGAGGCAAAATTACATGGATAATTTCTGAGAACCGAACTGCACTGCTAACTGGTTCTAATTACTTTCAAAACATCTTAAGGTTCTTCCTCTAACTACTTCATCTGTTTTCATAGCTGCCATTCTGTTCTTAAGATGAAGCAATATTTCACTCAAATCTGGTTCCTTTCATAATTATGATCTCATCATGCCTAAGTTTTAAGTGGATATAAGTAGATAGCTGGTTGGTAATAAAGAGACCAGGAACAGGGCCATCTTAATAAGGAAAGACAACCAGAGGACGTGGTGGCAGCAGACAAACGTTCTCACAGATGGACTTCAGCATGCGAGGGTTATTACTGTCGCTGAGCTCAGGTGTGGACAGAAGTGAGGCCACGCTGGACTTGCTGATACCTTACCCCTGAGTTACACCTGCCCCCTGCCGTGGTTTGGATGTGCTTTTAGACCCCAAGCAGTCATATGTTGGATGCTTGGTTTTTAGTGGGTGCTGTTGAGGTGGTGGAACCTGAAAGGGGCGGGTCCTACTGAGAGATCAACACCCTGGTCCTTCTCCTTGTTTTGGATAGAGAAGACTAGCACTGTCATACAGAGATGGCCAAGTTAAAAGACCAGGTTCCATGAAAGGCCGTACAGCTGTCTCATGACCCTGTGCTCATGGGCCTCAGAGGGCTTGGCTAGAAATGGGAAAATCTCAGCTTCTTGTCCCAGCTCTGAAATTCTGGGATTACCATTCAATTATTCTCATGCCAGGGTAACATTGTTGGTGTGTGTTGTGTGAGTTGAAACATTTTGTAAAATTTTAAAATTACAGCAACCTTATCTCTCTCTTAGAATTGACAAGACAGTCAAATAAGTGACTATTTTAAATGAAGTGTTTTATTGAACCATATGGTACAATGTAATTGGAAGATAGGCTAATAACCTCTTTAAAAAATTTACACTAAACTACAATTATTGTTTTAGGCTCACATGTGGTAGATAGTAAAAGTACATGATGAATCCAGACTTCAAAATATTTCATGAAAATATTTCGAGTTGAATACAATATGAGGGAATTATATCCCATTAACTCATTGTGAAACCAGAATCTTTTTAGAACAACCCTGCATAAATTTAGTTACTGATCAGGATGTATATAAATATCAAATATATTTAAAATTTTTCTTTCTACTCAGCATAGTCCTTCTCTTGTCCCCAGCAAGTTTATTTATTAGTTTATTCAGCAAATACATAGTTGGTCATATTTTTTCTTTCAGACAGTGTCTTGTTACATAGTTCAGGTTGGCTTTGAACTCTCTATGTAGTCCAGGCTGGCCTCAACCCTTCAATGATCCTCCTACTTCAGCCTCCCAAATGTTGACATTATAGGCTTACAGTACAACATGTGGATATACTGGGCATTTTTTATGGTCCACACAATGAGGAAAAGATAATCTCTGCTATTTACATACACTGCATTCAAACAAATAAATACATAAGCAGGAAAATACCAGAGAATGAAAACCATTACAAAGGAGACTGCAGCCCTTCAAGGGGGAGAACCCACCAGTGTCTTCTGAGATCTACACCATGTTGGAACTTAGGACGCTGGGAAACCAAGCAACCAGCCTGCCTCCCTGCTAAGCAATAATGAACCTACTGGTGCACAGCCTAGAGTCAAACATCCCACTTCCCCTCCCCTCCTTCCCCTGTCCACCCCGTTAGCAAATGGGAACCAGAATCTGAGCATCTCCTGGAAAGTTGACCATAGCAAATAAGAGGGGTTTCCTTCTACCATCTCTTTGAAGGCAATAAATATTTTTATTACTGTTTTGCTTTATTCTGATTCATGGTACTGCTCTATTCAATATTCTGTTTTGATAAGTTCTATATTGTTCTGTATTTCATTTTATTTTGATATAGGTGATTGAAAGAACAACTATTGTAAAAACAAAATATACTGTGATACCTATTACTGTTATATCCCTGTCACCTGCTGTGAAGTTCTGTACCAGTTTCACTACACGGTCTCAGTTGGCTTTATTCTGTCTTGTTTTGTTGTATTCTACTACTTTCAAATATATATATATATATATATATATATATATATATATATATATATCCTAAAAAAAAAGAAAACCATTACAAAGAAAATAAAATGGATATAATGTGATAGCAAGTAACTTACAAGGGCAGAGTCTACTTTAGCATAGGAGACTGAGGAAAGTTTCTTTCAGGAGGGGACTCCTCCTGTGATCCTCAAAACGAAACTAACCAGCTAAATCATTTGCACCACCCAGCACAAAATGAAAATGTAAGGTTGGTAATCAAAGTTACTAAGGATTTCAAGATGATCTTGTTATATCTGATGGCATGGGCAACTATTTCAAAAATAACAAAATATATTGTAGCTATTTTGGATTTACTATTATCTTGTTTTAAAGTCCTGTATTGTGTTCATTGTTTTGTTTTTATTGGCTATATTCTGTTCTGTTTTGTTTGATTTTACTATGTCTAAGGTTTGGGCAGCTATTTTGAAGACAACAAGAAGTGCTATGGTAGCAATTCTTGATTTCCTATTTTCTTGTTTTGAAATCCTATATCCCTTACACTGTTCTGTTTTGATTGGCTTTATTCTGTTTTATTTTGCTTGGTTTTATTCTCTTTAAAATAAAAAATTAAATCTAAAAAAAAAGGAAAGAAGAGACCACTGTGGCTGTCCCATGAAGAATGGGTGATAGGAAAGTCAGGCGGGAGAGAATTCAATGAGTTGTAGTCCCCAGGGGAGGACACAGTTACTCCCTGAAGGTGAGAGGCACCTGGGTTTGGGATTCAGCTTGGAGACAGAAATAGACCGCAAGGTGAGGGAAAGAGCACAATCGAGGACGGCTGCTGAAATTCTGACTGAGCGGCGGGGGCAGGTGACAACACAGGCTGCTTTCTTTCCTGTCCTCCTTGGGGCAGTTGACGCAGTTACCTAGCAATTGCTTTTAGAGCATCTCCTCCTTTGGTGGAAAGATGCAGTGCGCTTCTGCTTCTCTTCTACTGTCAGACCACACTTTTTATTTGTAGCAGGATAGAGTTGCTCTTAAAGGGCTCAGCATCTCCCAGCACTTGCACCAGGGACCACAGCTCAACAGTTTTGCTGGGAACAAACCACATTCACCTGTAGTGGCCCTTTTCCTCATACTCCTTTCTCAACAGTAAAGCACCATAAGGCTCTCCATGCTTTAAACCTCTTTCACCCAGCCCTCCCCAGTAGGGCCTGCATGGTGACCATGAGCCAAAGTTGTGCCTTGAGAGGCAGCCAGTCCAGTGCCTAGTGTCTCAGAGGGGGGCCACACTGAAGGACATGAAGGGATAAGTGGGAAAAACTGGCACAGAGAAACCCCATGAAGGGCTGTGGGGGAGAACAAGGAGGTATGAGGGGCACCAAGGAGGAAGGGCTTGGGTGTGTGGGACATGGACTCAGGGCCAATCTGGTGGTGAGCTGAACAGAGCAGCCAGTAAGGTGTGTGAGCCTCAGAATGACAGGCAGAAGCTGGGGTGGTGACACCCACCTGTAGTCCCAGCACATAAGGAGGCTGAGACAGGAGGATCACCACCGGCCTGAGGCAAGCCTGGGCTACAGAGGAGTTCAAGACCAGCCTGAA